AATATTGTGTAAGATCGGTGTCGTCCAAGTAACTCTAGCGCCGCACCTATTTCGACTGTCTACGGTCTACTGATTGTCAGTAATGTTAGTGGTGAGGAAAACAACTCGCAGTAGTGTCACCAGGTCTATGTCTAGGTCGCGGTGACACAGTTACAGTGACATTGTCAAAGTCTAAACATTATCCACCATATTAAAATTATATTCTGGTTAACATCTTTGCTAATACAAAAAACCTCCACGGACTTGTGTATTTAGTATTTTTGTCTTGCGTCTTAGTTTAAAACTTAGATGGGTATTACCAACAGTAAGTAAACTGATAGAAAGAGTCACTGGCTGTGACAGTTAATGCATATACATTGTATGACAGTCATAACATCAGGGTGTCGTTGTACAAAGTGATCTCAGCGCTAACGCTGTCGTTATTCCCATACCTTAACGTAGACTTACGACCGGCGAAACACTAACAATAACATGAAATTAGACTGCAAACGGTCCCAAGGTTCATCTGGCTGACAATGTCGTGCTGTCACGGTACCCGAAGCATATCTTGTCGTTACAGACCTCGTTACATGTCCTGACGTTACAGTACACGTAACATGTCTTGTCGTTACAGTCCCGTAACATGTCTTGACGTTACAGCCCCCGTAGCATGTCTTGTCGTTACAGCAACCGTAACATGTCTTGACGTTACAGGTCTTGTCGTTACAGCAACCGTAACATGTCTTGACGTTACAGGCCTTGTAGCATGTCTTGACGTTACAGTACCCGTAACATGTCGCACTCAGCAATATTTAAGCTATATGGCGGCGGTCTGTAAATGATCGAGTCTGGACCAGCCAATCCAGTGATCAACAGCATGAGCATCGATCTATGCAATTGGGATACGATTACATGTATTAATCAAGTCAGCAAGCCTGATCACCCGATCCCATTACTCGCCTCTTACGACAAGGATGTGTTACTGGAGTTCAACTCTAACCAGGATCTTTACAATCATAATTGGCAGTGTTGTTTTATGTCGCTACAGTCGTGTAAATAATACCTTCACAAACGCTACACTTAGTACTCAAATATTTGTAATTGGGTTCTCCATAGTTATAGCTACGGGTATGGTACCAAGGTCAGCGGATTCTGGTGCAACTAGTAGAGGTAATTCTGCAACATGGATGCGAACTGCTCAGACCTGGAACAATTGGTATTGGCATTTAACTTGGGAACGGGCACTTAATAACAAGGCGAAACTGAATAAAAATACAATCTTGCATCATTTCTACGGAAGTAGACAATATGTGCATTACTTGGTTTAACCGTGTTCTTTTTAAAACAAATAAATATGAATGTTTACCAAACATTTACTTATTTCAAAATGAGAGAAACGGTGGCCCTTGCAAATATCTTTCTTTCAATCTTGATTATAATATATTGTAAATATTTGCGGCTATATTGTATTACAACAGATGAAATGTATTCTTTCACGACGTGCTGGAGGAATTTCACAAATTTTCAACCTAAAGCAGTTGTCTCAATCTAAGTATGGACATCGTATATTGTTGCTTACAAGTCAGGGTCCCGATCCAGAAAGCCTTCGTAACGTTACGACGTACCGTAACTCTATCATTTATCATAGGCTTACGAATGTCTTAGCGCTACGAACGCTTTGTGGAATGGGACGCTGGGGTTCGATTCACAAAGCGTACGCAGCTCTACGTCATTCGTAACCCTATGATAAACTTTATAGGTACAATACCTCGTAACGTTACGAACATTTTGTTGATCGGAACCCGGGAAGTTTGCAGAATACGGATAAGCAAACACTTGCCTAAACTCTAGGTAATACAGCAATGGCTGGGATATTTGAAAAACATATGTGCATAGAATACAAAGTATCCAGGGCGTTATTTCAAACATCAATACACAAGGAGTACGTCTGAAAGCGCATAATACAAATTGTTCAGGCTAACCAATAAAACGTGTTTCATCACATAAAGATACCACAAGTCCCACTGTAGGGTAAATACAGGACACAGCAGGAACCAATGTGCTCTTGTAACTCGGTCCACAAACCAGGAAATCTCCTCGTCATCAATAACCTTTAGGACAACAATGTATGTTTTGTATTATACACACTTTGATAAAAGTAAACTCAGGTGGGGAAGGGTCCTTGTTGAAGAGAGATACAAGGATGTAGATGTTTAAGTTGTCACGGCTTCGTAGGTGCGTCACACAAAGAATACAGAGCTGTGTGTGACGTTCTTCATTTGCCACGAGACATCGGCAATACAGAGGCATTGTAGTTATACGTTGTTTGTGTAAATATTACACACATGGGTGGGTTTCCTAGCATTCATGTGATAGACATTAGAGGCTAGGTATGTGGGTACGAAGTTGGGATGTTGGGGAATGGGAGACTTTCCCATCAGTTCCATGTGCAAGAATCATGACCACTGAACCTCCAGTAGGGTTGCGTTCAGCGAAGCGTGTCCTCTATGATCACAAAGAAGGACGTTCAGAAAACCTCTCTAAAACTCTCTATTTTGTATTATAATACAATAATACCTTGCTTCATGTCGTATTCGCATTTATCTGTTATTTTCAATGATATTTTTACATAATTTTGACATACCTGAAAATCATGTTCCTTTGCGTTACAAATACATGACCTTGCATGTGCAGTTAAATGCATGTACACACGGAAAACATGCATTGTGGGCTACTTTCACACAATCTGTCGCAAGTACGAAAGTAAACACATCATTTCCTAGCTTCACAACTTGCAGTTATATCACATGTCCACCTGTATGTAAAGAACACCTCACACAGCAAGATATTAAATACTGTACTTTGTACCTGAAAATTCGGGTCACCTAAGACAAAACTGTATAATTACCGGTATGACAGAGTTGTATCCCTTAGGTTAACGCACCACTTGAATCCACGCAGATTCATTTTTGGTATTCACGCGTCTTCGCTCGGTTCAGTTGGAAGCAATACTATAAACTTGGAAACTCAAATGCTTTTCAAAAATTGTTTTTGAATAAAAGAAAACTACTCTCGCTCTATACCTAGGGTAAACAAATGAAATATTTACTTGAGCAGCGATAGCAATGTGTAGAAATCTGCCAACAGGCACAAATAGGGCGAGACATTCTTCTCAGAAGGGACCGTTCAGAAGACATCAGTGTTTGTGATTTTTGTCATTAACAACTGATTGTATAAGACGATGAATCTTTGTACACGAGGGAACACAAATTGGAAGCGCATACACGAAGGATCACCAATACAATCTTCTCCCCGATCGCGATCAAGATCAGCTCTACCTGGACTGTTTCAAGTTGAACGTTTGATCACTCGTCGTAGACTCAAAGAGGTAAGAAGTCATTCTATGTGATTATTAGATTATTAGAAGCAGTATCTTCCAACTTAACACCGACAGTTCGTTAGTAAGGCGTTGTTGTTTTTATTGAATTAAGGGTGTATTAAATTAATCATTGCATTGTCAGTCCATATTATTACACCGAGATATCCAAACATTTGCGTACGAATCATAAATGCATAAGTGAACCTTGATTGCAATACTCATATGCAATGATATGTTTATGTTTATGTTCATAAACATGAACAAACATCGAGGGTACATCAACCCATGGGCCCCGAGGGACCAGTGAACGACGTATTTATCTTACCGAACACCTTAATGTTAAATTTGAATTGTTTGAACCACGGGTACAAATCTCTTTGTAGCCATCGCTAGATTTTGCTGACAAGAAAAACAGATTTAGAGTTCTCTCCTTTCCATCGATTTGCATTCGCAAAACATCGCTAATTTCCGTACATCATACGTGGTTCAATGTTATTCGAGATAAAGAATTACTAACACGAAGCACCAAATGAGGTGCCATTGACAGCGGGGTACATTGAAATGTTACTCGCTTGTAAGCGGGGTACATTGAAAATAATAGAAGAGCGCTCAGCCAATCAGAAAGCGACATTTATGTGTGAGGTAAGATAAAGTGTATTGTCGGATACTTGGCTGGTTTTGTTTGTAGTTTTCCGCAGCACACACTCGTCAATATTTCAGATATATGATCTGTAAAAAACCGAGTCTGGACCAGACAAGACAGTGATCAACATCATGAGCATCGATCTACACAATGGGGATGCGATGACACGTGTCATCGAAGTCACCGAGCCTGTCCACCCGATCTCGTCAGTTGCCTCTGACGACAGGCATGGGTTGCTGAATTCAATTCTAACCCGGATGTTCACGGGATGACACTAGGAATGTGTTTTAACACGAACAAACAGAGCATCGTTGTCTTGAAAGTATTAAATAACAGGTTAACCAGCACGTTCACTGTGACATACCAGTTCATGTTATGACTACGCTAGCATTCACTCTCACCACATTACTCCCGCGTGCTGCAGCTGATCCCTAAACTACCTTGGCTGCAACTAAAATATCACTTGATCCTAATCTATGTTTGTGTTGATGGGCGTATATCCGTTGAGCATTGCTCATAACAGAGGTATGAATGGTGTTCCCGGGTCGACCGTTTACGGGCGTTATAGAACAAACAAACCTTTGTGAGGAATCCGAGATAGACCCCATTTTACTGATGAATTTTTCATTCTATGTTACACTACGTGACCTGGCTCCTTGAGTCATTGTGTTCCCACAACGTGAAGTATCAAGTCTGAAGTTACCGAACCGGAAGATCCGGGTTAACATTTTCAGCAGTTGTTGCTCATCGTAAGAGGTGACTAACGGGATAGGGTGGTCCAGCTCGCTGACTTAGTTGACACGTCATCTTGAATATTGTCAAGTACGGCGTTAAACAGCAAACAAACTAAAATCGCAAGTTACCATACATACATCTGTAAGGTTCAAATGTTGATTAATGATATTTTATATAAAAAATGATAAAAGATATTTGTTAATTTGCTGGGGAATAATGCCGATGTCGGCCCTGGACAACATTAGAATCACTGACACAGCCGGGTTGAGTTTCCTAAAAAAAGCCATTTATTCACATATACATCATGAGTCAAAGCAATGCTTGTTTTCATTTAATATTAATTATTATACAATGAAATTATGTCTTCTGTGCATTTTGAGAAAATACATAAAAACGATAATATTACAGTAAGAATTCATACAATGTAACATGATGTACCCCGACCGCGATATAGTTCTGACAAAACCAACAATGAGTTCACGTAGAACCCTGTTAAATATATACATTATCATTCTTACTAAAATATAAAAATATATATATACGTATAAAAAGCTTAGTCTCAAGCTTAGTGAACTTCACCGTACAGGGTAGTAAACGTGTCCAGTAAAGGCTTGTAAAATGTATATGAGAGTAATAACACAAACTGTCCAAACTGTCAGTCAAACTGTTATTTAGTGAAGGATGACGTACTGCTGTTTTAAGGATAATTTACCTACAGTCGTCGCTCAGCTGTGGTTAATTATGAATATGAGAAGCTCGAAATTGTTATGCACATCTTGCAATATAAAAAGTAAAGCAGGATAATAAAAGTCCATGTGATATAACTCTTCTATATATCAAATGCCTGTTTCTTGAGATGTTTTATAATTCTCTATATAATCTGATTATTATTGATCGTGGTGCATGTCATTATGTGACTATTATACAGTCTTTGTATACAAAGAAACATTTGCAGCTACAACTACAAGGGAACCTGATCCTAAGACAATAGTAGTGTCGACATTCTATGAACACAAGTATGCTAGGGCAGCAATCTTTGTCTTACAGGTTCATCATACAAATCTAGTGTCTTTAGAAGAAACATAAAAAAGATGCTCAGATTTAATATGGATGTTCACATGCTCCCCCCGAATATGAAATACAAAAGGGGCAAATCGAATATTCACAATGATATGTATGTTGTATACATCAGTATTCCCGCTACAACCAAAGTCCAAACTCGGGACAGGTTGTTTGTTGCCCCGGATGTTGACACGGTAGTACCAGTGGGAGTGGGAACAGAACTCGAGCCTGAAGTAACTGAGCTGTTAAAACCAGAGCCTGTTGATATGTTGCTGAACGAGGATGATGAAACCGTGTCCATAGTTGGAGAGGATGTATCTACAGCATTTGTGTTGTTCGTGGACGAAGCTGTAATGCTGGTGGGTGACGTGGTGATTGACGTGGCGATTGACGTGGTAGGTGACGTGGTGGTTGAAACGTTAACCGGTACAGTCACAGCAGATGTCCCTCCTGAAACCTGGGAAGTGGATCTACCGACTGAAATTCCTGTTACTGAAGATTCGTCAGTAGAGGTTGAAACTGTCGTTGGTGTTGAGGTGGACGACGACCTGCTGAAGTCTCCAACCCTCACCACAACCTTTGCTGAACTACTCAAGGAGGGGGATGCCATCATCAGTTACTGTCACAGTCAATTCATACAGCATATTTGTGAGGGGTTCAATGCTTCGGACTTCTCCAGACAGTTCATCTATAGCAAACACAGATGATCTATCAAGACTGTAGCGCACTTGCGTGTTGACATCTTTATCCGTTGCTTTAACTCCAAGAATGGGGCCGGGTAGCTGACCAAATGTAACGAATATCTCGTAAATACCCTCATTAAATATCGGCTTGTACATATTTTTTGGCCCAAAAAACCAGTGAATAAGAGATATTGGTTGATTCAGTAATGTTCTTGTAGTGGTCAAATATATGTAAGTAAAACTTATCATGGTAGTGGGATGTCTGCCAGGCATTAGGTCCTACCATGACATCCTTCCCATCATCTCTGGTAACCTGCAGGAGTGTTTCAGTCAAACTGTCCCTTGTCACGTTGTTCACCAGGCGAGTGTAGGCATAGATTGTGGAGGGACTCTTTGACATCATAACAGTCAGGCCTACGTAAGTATACGTCCTAGTTCCAACAGTCTCGGTTCTTCGTAAACTGAAGGCCGTAACATTAGATGAACTCACTGGAATCGAATCAAGTCCATTTGAACTGTCAAAAACTGCATCAGGCATTTCATCCTCATCTATGATATCATTAACCAGAAAGTCATCTTTTGTGTCATTTGTAGACTCGAGTCTCACCAGATGGACCAACTCGTGATATCCAAGGTCTTCCATTATGGATAACTGAGGATCACCAAGGGGGTTAATGTTCTCAAACGTAGCTGTGTAGTTGTAAAATTTCCCCCTTAGACTTGATGTTAGAAACCAGCGAGCAGTCTTGGTCTCGAAGGACTCAATATCTCCAAAGTCTATAGACAGAGAAGGACTGACAGGATTTCCATCCAACTGCGCTCCAATTATCTTGAAAGAGACTAACAATCCCTTTTCATTTTCAATGATCTCTGGCTGTGCGGAGGTTATCTTCAGCTGGCGGGCTACACCGTAGGCTTCATTGGTGACCATGACTGCCAGTGTGAAGGGAACAACTGGCTCCGTCACGTTTGAAGTCATCGGGTCATCACCCTGGACGTATTTCTCCTGGAAGTAGTTGACGGTGAGGCTGGGATTTGGTTTAACTGTGATAGTGTCTGGCAGGAGAGGGATGGAGAAGTTGGAGCCATCAACTGTGTAGGAAAGAGTCCCGCCGACATCATAGAGGGTGTCTTCTTTGACTGCTGCTGTTGAGTAGGGGATGATCAGCCATTCTGCTGTACCTGACACGTCTGTCTCCAGCCTGCCTGTACCATCAACTCCAGTAAGACCCACCAAAGTTGGGGTTCCTTTGGAAAAAAGAAGGAACATCATACAAAGTGTTCACAGCTCGTGCAATTTCTACTACTTTAACCTAAATCCTACTCAAAATGAAGACGTGTTTTCTGTTCTATATGATGCAATAGATATAGTTTGAACATGTCCGACTAAATATACTTACCAACTGAAAATTTGTCATTAGCTGATGTTCCAGCGCCATATGTTGCCCTTATGTTTACGGTGACCCGAATGCTATCCAGGGCTGATTGTTCTCCATTTTCTATCTCTAAACGAGCAGTGAAGGCATCTCGGGTGAGGACCAGTTCTTGCACAATACGTACTCGAACCTTGGCACACACTCCATCATCACTCCCACCCTGACGAAAAAGATGACATGGACTTTCAAACAAGTACAGTATCATTCTGCACATCAACGTATTCACTTGAACCATGGCGTAAACGTAAAATGTGTGGATACACTATTTCCGATGTGTTTCCAATAAAATCCCATGAACAATCATGTGCCTCCTACTAGCAACAGTCGGGCTAAGTATTTAGAAATACGTTTCCATCGTGATCTAATCTAGGATGGAACTGTTTCTCAAATAAGCAAGCATTAAACTGACATGGGGGATAGTTAGGGGTAGGGGTTGGGGGATGGACTTTAATCTCAATAATCTGAATGACCTAGATACAGTTAGTTAATCAGTTCATGATAATGTACTAACTTTAATGTGACAATCATAGGAAGCGTATGTCATCTTTTGGAAAGTGTGACTGAACTTTGATACACAATACACAGGATTACAAAATATAATAAATGCGTAGTCTTGTCATGTATTCACCTTCTTTTCTTTTTCTTGATAGGCATTGACTGCATTTCCAAAGTCATCAAATATGGAGTCAAATCCTCTCTGGAATGATCAAACATGACACTACTGTGTATTTGAACAAGAGGATTATTGAGCGATTATTACCCAAATCTTCAAGGGGAACAATGTGTTCATGTTCATGATACCGAGACAAAAGAAAACAATTTGTTTTTAGCAGGGACGACTGAGGCATCGTCGGTTGAGTTATCGATTTGACTTCACAGGCTGTGCATAATGAAAAAATGTGTACTGAAATATTCGTCAACATGCTGCTTCAATCAGTGGTAATTATTATGATTTGAAACCTCTGCTTGCGGCTTGTGAGATGCAAGTATAATTCATGTCTCTCAAACTTTACAATCCGCATTGAAAACGTCTAAAATACTGTAACACATGAAAAATATGAAACTTACTTGTTTGGCATTTTCCGTGTCTGTCTTAAATTGCGGAAATCTCGACATGATGACATTATATGCAATGACATTGTCTTTAGGGCCAAGGGAAGTGAGTGTTCCGTCCTCCCAAGCTGTCATTGTTTTGTTCCACCTGAGCAGGAACTTCTCTACGATCACCCCCTGCGTGGAGTTCATTGAAGCAACAATGGATGCTATCTCACTAGAGGAGAGAGAGCTTCCCCCTGCACTATCATCAGCCAGGGCTAGGTTGAAGGAAGACATCCAACTGTTATCATACACACCGAACCTGAAAACACAGACACCGTGAATCATGAATACATCAATGTAAACTCCATTAGTTAATTTTCATTATTGTTAGATGCCACTGGTGGGTTAGTTATCGTATATGCATAGCAATAAACGCCCGATGTTCTCCAATTAACTTGATGATTTAACTGTGTTGGTTGTTAAAAGCTGCACTCAATAATATTCCATCTAAATGGCAGCAGCCTGTATATAATTGTGTCTGGACCAGACAATCCAGTGACCAGCATCATGAGCTCGATCTACGTATTTGGGATACGATATGTCAACCAAGTCAGCGAGCCCGACCACCCGATGCCCTGAGTCGCTTCTTACGACAAGCGTTGGTTACTGAAGACACATCAACACGGAAGTCAAGCCTTACATTTCTTGTCCTCCAAAGACTTCCTCCAACATTATCATGTAGTTCCTGAGGGCAACGTTACTGTTCACCACTCCTTGGATGATCTCCCCATTTGTAGCACGTCGACGTCGGTTTGAGCTACAGTCTCTGTTCATTTCATATATGCACCTAAAGAGAGCGAATGATTTGGGATTAACGCTAACTGATCAATTATATATGCATTCATATCAGAGATGCTAATATTTATGTGATGCTGAATGTAGATATTAACCAATTTTGGGAAACTCATGAGCACATGTGCACACATTTCCTACAAATCATTATCAGGTCGAAGTTGAGATTAGGATCTACGAAAGTTCATATGGTAGCTATAAATACCGTCACGTTTAAGGACAAGACATGGTGAGATCTATTACATACACTGGAAAGTTTCCTTGAATTGTCAAAATAAATAAAGCTTTTAGATAAATGTTGTAAAGTACACACCCTCCATAATATAACAGCAAAGGTCAAGATTTGTTCATGTTCAAATACAGAAACGTGCTTCTAACAAGGTCTGACAAGAGTCTTAAACAGTACAACAATCATGTCCAACTCTAAACATGAACCAGTCATCGCACTTATTACACATTCACACTTTATGTATTTTTAACTTACACAACAGCTTGCCACAAAGTAAGACCTAGAGCACACTGAGGACACACGACAGGGAGGACGCATGCAGTAGCAAAGTCAAAGATTGCTTTAGCAAATCCCCAGAAGCCACTGGCACCAGCAAAACCTGTCACTGCTACGGCGCATCCAGCAATTGGATGAAAACCCAAAGCACACGTCTTGATGAGCGTCCCAGCACAGTTACAGGTGAGTGGAGTCACGGGATTGTAGACAACAACTGAACTAGATGGAGATGACCCACCACCACCAGTACCTGAAACCAAATACTTTACATGAACTTTGTTTTGTTTTCAAATAATGAAAACGGGCAGGGACGCACGGGACACTGATAAATAGATGATACATTATCTCTGTACGCATTACCTGATATTCCAACATAACCTCCTCCTCCTCCTCCTCCTCCTCCCCTTCTTCGACTACCTCCACCTCCACAGGGCAAGGGAGGGCGTCCTGGATACACCCTTGTCAGAGTGATGTCCTGGCCTCCAGTTCTTGTACCACCACAAAAGTAATCGTAAAGCATTTTCAAACCACATGCCGATGTGCCTAGGTTCCTCTTCACTCGAGGCTTCAGTTTAACCAAGACTGGAACAATGATGCTTGTGTTTGCCGCTACATCTCCTATCGGATCTATTGTCTGGGAGGGCGATACAGACAAATGTTATTACACCACTTACGCAATAGAGACTTGGCATTATTGAAAAAATTCATTGCTGATTGCACAAACTCACACATTTTTAATCAGTGTTTATATTACTGAGATAACATTCTTCCAGGAGGCCAGTCTGTGATTGATCAGTTTTTACAATACTTAATCTATGATTACACAATCCCATATTTAATATTTAATCTAAACAAATATTTGTATTGAACTTAAATTGGTTATAAGTACTTATAGTTTTTAATGATCGGTGCATCATGTTGGTAATGGGCGTTCCACTTAAAATATAATCATGTTGTGGTGTGTTTGTTTACCCTTAGTATACATGGTCGCCAAAACAGTTCCAGAATATAATAATAACTGAAATGTGTAGAATGCTTCAAATGGGACCCACGAATGTTTTAATACGGTACTTAATACGGCCAGATGTTTCAACTTTAAATGATGGAGAAGAGCTAAGGTATGGTACTTCTAGACAATGCCATAACTTAATAACTGAAATGTTTCTGGTAAGCAAAACATCCTAATATGCATGCAAATATTTGACCCTTCCACGATGTATATATTTGAGAAATATGAGGTTAAGAGACACAAGAAATGATGTCCACACGCATGTGTGGTTATAGCAAGCAACATACTCACCTGTGTAAAGATCAATGTCGGATGACTTGGCAGAGCAAACCTGACATTGTCTGCCCTGATCAGGCCGTGATTGGTGATGTTGAAATTGATCACGTCCTTCTTCCCTTCCTCATAAGGAATCAGATTCAGGCTGGCTGGTTCCACGGTGACAACAGGCATAGGTACCTTTACAGATCATTCATATATAGCTTACACAACCATGGATCACCACATACCCATGACGCCATCACCGAGATAGAATAAATATACGCCTTATTAAGGAGAATATGTATTTGTATACCGAGAGTGTAAAAATGGTGAACACCTTGTGATTAAGATAATAAGATCTCTACAATGATCCAATGTGTAAAATAGTCATCAATAAAATATCAGTTACAATTATCAACAAATCTGTTGAGTAATTGCCTAGTGAGTAAAATAACTATTTTCCTTTCAAGAAGCACTAGTGTTTACAATTTACCTGTGTTTCAAAGGTAGAATCCAGAGTGACTATGTATTTGTCCTGAAAGGTTGTGGGGGTGACAGTCCACGTGTACTTTACAGCAACTCTCTGCAGGAAGACGGTGATGGAGGGGTCTGAGGGTTTGGCAATGATCACAGCCGAGTAGGACCCATGTCCAGGAGCGGTGGCAGTCAGCGTGTATCGATCTTCATGCACATCCTCAAACACCACAAACTCTGTGAATAGAAAAACACAATTACAATTAAAAAGTAAGTTTTTTACGTATCTTTAAGCAATATTCCAGCAATACCACGGCGGGACATACCAGAAAAGGACTTCACACACTATACCCATATGGGGATTCGAACTCTTTGGCGTAACATATGTCAGCTGTATATGGTATATAAGAATTCATATTACAAGCAGGGATATCATTATTACATGATTGTTGTGTATCTATATTTTAAAAACAACCACGTTTTGTCATGCTTAATATATATTTCACTGAAATTAGGACCCTTGATCATTTGTCTTAAACCAAAAGGGGCGGTGGGGTAGCCTAGTTGGTAAAGCGTTCGCTCGTCACGCCGAAGGCCCGGGTTCGATTCCCCACATGGGTAAAATGTGTGAAGCCCATTTCTGGTGTCCCCCCGCCGTGATATTGCTGGAATATTGCTACAAGCGGCGTAAAATCAAACTCACTCACTCACTTAAACCAAAACATTACCATAGGAATTGTTTCCGTAGGAATATTTGATAGGCAACATACCTGTTTGATTATTGGTTATTTTCCGTTCCGTGTATCTTCTTCTAGGATTTTGAAGAGTCACAACAGCACCAGACACCAATGGCTTGTCAGAGGCGAAATATGTGTATTCATCTTCTACCCGAACTGTGATGTTTAATTTCTCCTGGGATGTCACATAGAACCTGTAAGAGATACTAGCAGAAGACAGATCCGAGTTCAGGGCTACGCTGCCACTAAACTGGCCTAGACTGTCAGTTGCGCCAGTCGTGACTGTCAGGACCAAGATGGCCGTCTCATTTGGGTGTAGGTCAAGGCCATCTTCTGAAGCTGTTGTAGTTGTTGTAGAGTATGCAGACATCGTAAGTCTTGGTTCTGAAGGTAGTGTTACTCTGAGTGATTTAGCGCTGACCTCGCCTTCGTTCTTGATATTAATCTGTTGACAGGAATTACAAGTTTGTTCCAGACATGACATTCCTGATATTCGAGAACTTGAGATTATTTTGGTGATGTCTTCAAAATAAACCATGGTATATATAGGTTTTGTTGGCATTAGTGCCGATGAAAAGATAAAAATACACACAGAAATAGTTAAAGGAGAATACGAGTGAATTGCAATAATTTGCTTGGTGAAAGATAAAGTCATCAGAAACATATTCCCAAATTTCAATTAAAAATTATGTATAATAATGTTTTAATCGCAAAAACAGTTTCTGTAAATCTCAGCTTCGGCCATTATGCATATTTTGCTGGAACCCACGTGACCTTTCCGTTCGTGACGTCAAATGTGCCTGGAGTCCGCCATATTGCCAAAGACCAAGCGCTACAGTAGTACAAATCGTGTTGTTTCTGTCCTTTTTGTAAATGGTACGATGGTGTATTCTGTTGCCTAGGGATGCACGGAATCATCGAACAATGGAGAGCCACCATTTCTTCCGTTTTCCAAGTAAAGAGACAGACTTAGGCAGGAGAAATGCTCCGATCATTCCGAGTCGGACGCATATGAAAGAGACTGTGACGTTCTTTTCGGTTTGGAGCCCTAAATGCTACAGACTACCCGAAACATTGCCGAATACAACGGCAAATCATGAAGTACTTGTTGCTTTCATTGTTTTCCATTTTTTGCAATTACACACGTCGGCATCAGACTCGCTATTTGTCTGTAGTGTGTGCCGTGAAAGTTGTTCTGTGTTCACATTGGTTGAAAAGATGCCATACTAAGGCTATGGCCGAGAACCATAACTATTTCCATAACCAAACACTGGGGAAACATACATTGTCCTGACAAGTATTTTATAATTCACCAGTTTTCGGGGAATAACTTATCTGCGCCACGAATATTATCTCTGTTCGACCAGGCTGGGATTTTGTGTGGAGACTTGCTGCGTTATAAATGAGAACTAGGATCCTAAAAAAAATTCAACAAAATAACTCCAGTGTAATTTTTGTAGCAGATAATTTCTATTTTCCCCGTCTGAAGCAAAATTATTGTTTTTAAATCCCAGTCACCCATTTGACACAAAAGGAACTGCAATCACATTGCAAAAAATATAATTCTTAGGGACTGGTCATATACTTATAGGGGTGGGTTTGCTGGTTGGAACTGTATCACATTTTTCAGGCAAATAGTATTCTTGTTAAATGATAAGGTACATTTTTAATTTATTTTGAACTCAAGCGGTGCCTCCGTTTCGCTTGATTCTTCTTCTTCATCTTCACTGGAAGATTGTCTTGCAAGATGTAAAATCGGATCGTATTGATACGGTCTAACATCCATTTCAGAAGTGACATCAGGAACACCTTTTACTACTTCCATGGACACTGTTAAGTTGTGAGGTAAAATCAAAGAGGCAGCCATCAGCAACAGGCACATATGACGTCATGTCACGTGATACCCCCTCTGCTCATTAACTGTTGGGTGTTTCCGTAAAAGGTGGAAATACGAGTACGTTTTTTGTGGTTTTATTGCTATTTTACAAACTTTTTGTTCAATTTTAATCACGGAAGGTGACTTTTAGAATATCCTTTACAATATATCAAAAGTTTTGTTTTCGTCTGGATTCTCCTTTAAGTTAGCCATCTTATTAGACATAATTTATATTCCACAGAAAACGTACCTGGAACGTCTTCTGTGTTCCTCTGGGAACACTATCTGACAGAGATGATGGCGAGAGGACCAGAGCAGGTTTTCGGACATTCAGCTGCAATCCTATCCTAACTCTGGCTGTGGTGCCATCGGGTGTACTGAACACAACAGCAATAACACCACGGAGGGGATGAGATACTGTGAGGATCACATCTATGGACACTTCAGAATCTGTATCCAAGAATACTATAAGTGGTTGAGAACCATCGCTTGAAAGTCTGTTTCCAGCTCTCACAACTACAGATGATAATGGACCACCAATGCCTTCTACCTGATAGCACAGAAACAGAACAGTTGACTTGTCAACATTATTGCTTCATGAAAAAGCAGATGAAGGAAGACTTTTTAAAGGATGAACTTGTGTTGTAAATTTCATTGCACTCGGTGACAAAAGACGTGGACGATGTCTATGAAATTTGCTATTATCATGTGGATATATAGTTAAAAGCCCTACAGAACATTATTTCAACTCACTCTGGCTGTGATATTACTGATCCTATTGACGCCATCATTCTTGAGTACAGAAACACCCCGCATCTCCACCACGTCCGTGTCCAAGTAGGCTTGTCTATTCACATATCCTGGCACACACATCATCCCCAACACACTCCAGGATTTCTGAGGAGTGAACCCATTATCGGATGGATGGCGGCCATCCTAAAGGAGAGGCAGCAAAAGAAAATTAGTAAGATAATGAACCAAACAAAAGTATTACACTAACTGAATGCTTCAATGGAGGTATGTGTACTAACTGAAGGATAGTAGAATACTTTACCACTTCAAACAGTCCACTGTCACCAGCTTTAGGGAAGTACACTGCTTCAAAACGTTCCCTGTTCCTCGGGGATGTCACAATGGACATCGTTGTGATTCTGCCTTTATTTCGTACCCTTAATAGAAGAAGAATGCTATAAAGCGTCTAAAAATATTAAAACAGTCTCCGAGTGAAAAAAGAGTCTCATTCTAAGGTACACTACATCAGAAGATTCATATCTAACCATTAGGTTTGATAATACATTCACTGACTCACTATTATTATGCCAAATTCCAGTGCGAACTTTATCTTTGATGCTACTATCAATGAAAACGCAAAACAAGATCATATGAAAACTCACTTAACATCCACAAAAGCAATCAAAGATTGAGAGGTTCCACTAAAATAAGTGACCATTCCTCTGATTTGGATGGTTTTCGGAACATGAAGAACCCCGCTGGGTGTCACATCCTCTATTGTGATGTTATATGACAGCTGGACTTTCAGTGACCACTGGACCTCAGAACGTCCTATACGGTTGGATGCTCTGACGTTGATGATATACGTCTGGACACTGGCTACTGTCCTCTCCCAGAAGATGAGCCCGGTCTTTTGGTCAATTGTCATTCCAGAAGGGGCTCCATATATGTACCAATCAATTGGAGCATTGCCCTGTAAATTGTAGACCACTCTATATATTGCCAATGGTATTTCATCACTCCAGTATTTCACGGTCCAGAGAACTTGAAAATAATTCTTTAAGATACTAGAAATTTTGCATCCGCAGTGTAGCCGGTATGCAATTGGGATACGATGTCATGAAGACCAATTCTAACGTGTATCGTTACAAGTCAGTTCACTTAAGCAAATAATCAATCTCAAATATCTGGTGAAACAGTTAGCACTGGGAGAAAGGCAAAATAGGGATTAAAATTATCCGAATAGGTCATTGAAAATGAGCGTCATTAGGTCTTGAGCTCATGAAAGTAAATCTATATATGACAGATGATTGAGCACAGATAGCTAGGCAGTGGTAGTTAACCTGTCATTACAGATAATATGTGACGTCCTGAAATATCATTCAGAACCAACAGATGCGCGCGGTGACTACATCTTTTAGGAAGAACATTTTTACTACGCACCTGAGGTAGCTGTGACGTTCACATGGGCAAATACGATGCCACAAGTATTGTGATAAGCAAAATATTACAACCTACCTGAATGAGTGTTAATTGAAGTTGATATTTATTTCCTTCAGCAGCAACCTGCATCTTTTCAAAGAAGGAGATAACTGGTGCCTTCAGCTCGACGCTGCAGTCCTGACCTGACCAGGGCAGGATACATATGCATCCTCCATAGAGGCAGTGGCCATGAGGAGGGCTTTCCGTCTTCCCACAGGCTCCGGGTGGACAAACTTCATAGTACGTAAATGATGTCTGGAGAACAGGAGTTGATAAGATCACATAACATTCACTGTGTACTTTCTTGCGAATGTCACTAGACATCTAGTTCTCAGTTTTGTTTCGTTTCGTTTGGGTTTGGGTTTTTTATCGCCGCACTCAGCAATACTCCAGCTATAAGTCTGTAAATAATTGAAGTCTGGACCAGACAATCCAGTGATCAAAAGCATGAGATACGATACACAACTGAGATACGATGAGAGCTATCAACCAAGTCAGCGAGCCTGACCACCCTATACCGTTACGACAAGAATGGGTTGCTATAAAAACAATTCTAACCCGGAATTTCATGGGTATCTCGTTCTCAGAATATATAGGGATCAAACTTGATGATTAAGCTTGACAAATAACCACCTTTCTCACACAAGACCCTCTCATTCCGTCTCACTTGCATTTATGTAGACTTAGCTTTTTACCTGATTTCGAGTAAACTGTAGCCCATCAGGAGAAATCTCCACAGTTATACTGCCTGCTTGATGCTGAGCATTCCTACACATGACGTGTTCCTTCGACATGCGCGTGCCATTGACCACTGTGGAGTCGAATCTACAGTAGAAGATATTGTTGTCTGTCTCTGGGAAGTTGTGTCCCCAGATGTGCACGTCTGTTCCTCCAGTGTCAGGGCCAGAGCTTGGGATGATGTTCAGGACATTTGTGTATGGAAGACAGTTGGGGCCATAAAACGTCTCACTGCACGTGTCGCACAAATCGCCTGACCAGTTGTCAGCAACGCAATCACAGTTGCCTGTTTGAATTAGAATACGAATATGTAAACAAAGTACTTTAATGATTCCATACTATTCATCCGACTGCAAAATTGCAATAACAGGGGTCTATTGTAATATTTTACCCGATTTCGAGTAACTTTTCTGAATCAGGATAGATATCTTTAATTACAACGCCCGCTTCATGGTAAAGACTGAGGGGTCACATTGAAACAAGTTTCATAATTTCACAAGATCACATGTAAATAGAAACATACTTGTTAATAATTGTCAACTTACCATTTGTGAGGTTGCAGTATCCATGGTTGCACTGAGGACAAGGAAGGCAACGGTCTCCCCATCGTAAGGGTGCACACTTGGAGCAGTCAGTTCCGCTATACTGGGGAAAACATGTACAACTCTCAGGCAACACACAATATCCTCTTTCATTTCCACCACAGTCATTTACTTCATGGCATGTGGCAATGACACAGGATGGCCCCTCCCATCCCAGAGAACAATCGCATTGGTTTGGCCCCTTACACAAACCATTTCCATTACAACTGCTAACACCAGAACAGTCGAAGTCAGAACAATCCACTCCAGCCCAACCTTCGTCACATCTGCACCCATTTGGCCGAACACATTCACCCTTATCACTGCAGTTCTGCACCTCTGAACAGTCGAAATTCTGATCAGTGAGAAGTGGAAGGTAGTCCACCTTGAGGAGCCTCTGGTCAAGATCCTTGTGTAGAATCCGTTGTCCGGCAATGGCTGGATCAGCACTTCCCCACCAGTTGTGTTCAGCATTAATCTGCTCCTCTCCAGTTAACAGGATCTTTAGTTCGTAATCAGCTCTCGGGTTATCAAACGTGTTATAATAGAGACTAACGTTTTTCGAGTCTAACAAGACTGTCCCTTCATCGGTGGGGGAACTGAATATCTGGTTATAAGTGAGCGTCCCATTAAATTCAAATTTTGTTGATTTTACATAAACAACACATCGACCTGTGATATTTTGGAAACTATTGGTTGACAGACTGATATTTTGAACTTTGTCACCACCTCTTGTATCATCCACCTCCACATTCAGGAAACATTTGTCCCCACCAAATGAACTCTTGAAAGAGTTGTCTTCAATGTAAAGAGATGCTAGGTTTCCTGAATACGCTGATACTTGACCAGTTGATTTGAATATGTTCCCCTTGATGACGCAACTGTTTTCACTGTAACGATAATACGTACTCCCCACTCTGGCATCCATGGACTTAACATTATTACTAAATGAATTCTGTTCCACGTACACCTTGGTATTCGACACTGATGTGTAATGCAGTTGAAGGCCCGAGCCTCCCAAGCCATGATCCACAAATCTGTTGCTCTTTATGTGTAACACTCCTTTGTTGATATGTTTAGTCACCTGTGTTTCCAAACCATGAAGACTGTTATTAACGATGTTCATTGTTTCAACCGTTGTAGGAGCCGATGTCCCAAATAAGACAATTCCACTTCCGTGATTGTGTTGTGTTGTGCCATTCCTGAGACGGAAAGCTTTAGTTACTTTAGCCAATATACCTGTTGACTGCCCATGTTCTACAACTGTTCCGTTCAGGTCAAGGTCAATGGTGTCAGTCTGGACAGTGAGGCCTACTTTCTCTGTGTTGTTGATATGGCAGTTGGACAAGCGTACTGTGGGAGTCTCCACCACAAGACCAGTTATCGAATCCTGGATGGACACTCTTTCCAGGTAGGAGACTGGAAACAGAACATATACAATAAATCCAACTTGTCAAAGGAGATACCGGAGATCACCTTCATTAAGTAATGCGACATCTTGAGGCCAAAGAAACTGTATACACGCACGATATTTCACACCATGTAAACAAACTTTAACTGTGAATATTTCAACTTGTGTTGTCATCCCATCAACATCAACATCAACCATCAACCATCTATCCACCACAACAATCTAGTTTAATCTCATTCTATGCTTAACACTTTAAACATATCAGCAAGTAATAGCTGCGTATGGAGAAAATAGATATACCAAACGATTTTCATATAATAATATGCAAAACCAGTAAGCAATATTTGAATCTGACAAAAGACTCACTATAGATGATTTTCACACACTTTCCCTTTATATGTTTGTGTTTTACAATGACTTCACATCAGTTTGGCCTGGATATGTGAGTTTTCCTTACATGTATGTGTCCCTGTGTGAGCTACAAACTTATGGCATCGGAGTCCTGATCCTCCATGGTTGTCACAGTATCTACTGGAAGAGAATCTGGGCTGGCAGTCAGATAGAGATGAGGCCCATTCTTCACAGTTGAGATCCTGGAGAACTGGTCCATTTCCCCCACCATGCAGGTACGTCTCATATTCTTCTGATCTAAAATATTGTCCATTTTGCGTTAAAACCTTACACTGATTAGAAAAGACGAACAGCATAAACAGACTTGGTTCAGATTGAGAAACTGTGTTTTGATTTAAAAGCATCAAACATTCCAGCCTTGTGATACATGTAATTGTTTCTCAGAACGTCAAATATGTTGACGTTTATGGATAGAAAATAGTTTTGGAAAACTAGTTTCTCCCTACACAAAATGGCAAAATAAACGAACACAATGTAGATATTACATCATGAATGAGCATCATTGATGTCACATATTTTCAGCAGGTTAAATAAATATTCAAGGAATTAGTTTTGAACCAACTGTGTATTCTTTCAGTTAAACCATATGGTTGACTCGAACACTTTTAAGAGACCTTAAAACCTAGCCAGACAGGATGTAAACAACCCTTGCAAAAAGGTCCAAATTCAATTTTTACAGAAATGCACAATCTACAGTTGCAACAAATGTTAAACATTGTTCATATTAGATAATGTTGAAATCAACTCTCGGTTGTTCTCACAATTCGCTGTCTAAAATATATTTCGATGCTTCTGCAAAGTTGAGTAGGCAAAACAGTATTTATAACATATCAGATTTGTGAAATAATTACCATGAAATGATTATTTCTTTGGTAAGATGGTAATTGTTACATTGTCTAACATAGGTTTGATATAGGTGGTTCAATCAGAAAGCAGGATATTATATAATGACAAAATAGAAGGCGATTTGTAGAGAAACCTAGTACAACTAGGTTTGTTTGTTTGTAGTTTAACTCCGCACTCAGCAATATTCCAGTTGTATGGCGGCTCTCTGTAAATAATCGAGTCAGGAATAGACATTCCAGTGATTAACATCATGAACATATATTTACGCAATTGGGATACAGTGACATGTGACATGCGAGTCTCCCCACCCGATCCTGTTAGTGGCCTCTTACGACAAGCATGGGTTGCTTAAAGACCAATTCTCAACTGAATCTTCACGGGTCTGGTACAGGGAGGTGTTCTTAATCCAAACAATGTCAGAATAGACAGAGAGTTATGCCACTTATTGTAATAATTCAGCCCAGGAAATATCCCGTATGGCTTAATAACTTCAATTATAAAACCCCGATCATCAAGTGCAAGTTGTAACAGGAACCTGAATTTTTCACACTAAATGCTATCATTGGCGAACGAGTGTGGTTTTACGTCGACTTAACAGTATTCCAGCAATCTCACGATCGGAGACCCCGAAATTGGTTATTACCTTATTGCACCTACATGCATATTGCCCTTTACACCCTCGTCCCCAATGCTATAAACAATCCAATATTCAGAAGTGAATGTCTCAGAGACCCCTACCCCAGTGTATACATAGTAATCACTGATTCCTAATGGTTCAATAAATTCAACATTATTAATCAAAGTAGATTTTACTTATATATATCAGCAGCAAAAAAAACGTCAGTACGATTTCAAAATTAGATAGGCACTGTTATCAAATCATTCCAGAAATGGACATAATAAGCGGATCAAAAACATTTTTTTTGTACAATATCCTGACACATCAATGAATAACTCAGCACAATTTCAAGACATTACGTGAACGTTTGCAGTCCATTCAGACCCTTGACTTCAGTATCTTGTGTGACCACCACGAGCGGCAACAACTGCAGCACAGCGTCTATGCATGGAGTGCACCAATCGATTGATGAAGGCCATTGGCTCCTAGAACCACACTCTGAGAAAGGCCTGGCGCAATAAATCGGCTGTGTTCGGCTTTGGTGTGGCATTATTCAGTCTCCTCGGAATTTCATCCCAAAGATGTTCAACTGGGTTTAAATCAGGAGTAAGGGCTGGCCACTGCATAATGTTGACACCGTTCTGCTGTAGGAAGTCTCGTGTAGCTCTGGCAGTATAGGCCCGGGCGTTGTGCTGGAAAATGTTGTTCCGGTGACGTGCGAAATGTGGTATAACGTGGGGTCTGAGAGCCTGGTCGATGTAGCGCACCGCTGTGATTCCGCCTCCTCTCCCTGGACCAAAGTTCTGAAACACCACAGGACCCACTCTCTGGTTCAGGCCTATTCCACCCCATACCATGATGCTTGCACCTCCCCATGAGTCTCTTTCCATAACACATTGTTCTGAGTAACGCTGGCCACGTCGTCGCCATATTCTTGTTCTGCCATCTGCAGTTGATACGCAGTATCGACTCTCATCTGTGAACAGAACAGTTCTCCATTGCCTGTATCGCCAGTTTTGGTGTTCTAGGGCAAACTGTAGACGTTCACGCCGATGACGAGGGGTGAGGAAAGGTCCACGGTATGGTCTACGGCAATGGTGGTTCCCGCTGTTAAGACGTCGGAGTACTGTATCAGTACTGTATCAGTACTGATTGGTCTTCCGTGTGGTCCCACTGTCTGGTGTGCTGTTTCGGATGCCTGCATGAAGGGATTCTGTACATGCCGTCGCACAACATGGCGGTTTTGTCGTCTTTGGGTCACCCTTGGTCTGCCACTTATACATTAAATAAGTTTACAGTTATCCATTTCTGCGAAGGAAAATTCCTAACTGACATTTCTTTTGTTGCTTAGTATACATACCCGTAACCCAATTCCTTGCAGACAAGAAGCGCCTCCGCCCTGTCAATGCCACACATGGTTGACCACGCCCCACTCACGAAAATTTCAAGTAGTCCTTCATTCGGCTTTGTTCCGTTGGTCAGTCTGACGCTCTTAGATACCCCCTCTGTGAACAAAAGCGTGTATCTCAAAGTGAAATTGTGAATCCTATGAATTGCAAAACTGTCACTTAGATACATCATGTTTTAAAACATATATATTGGTTGCTATTAGGGATGGCTATCGATATAGATTATTGAGATCGATAATCGTTAACTAAATATTCTTTAATTATCGATAAATATCGGAGAATTAACGTAGCCCCAATGTGTGAAACAAATGAACATATTAGACATCACTGGTGAGTGCATGGAATACTAACAGAATAGCGTCCTGAACATAATTTAGAAGCAGCCCCTGAATGAATACTTATCTTTGTGTATTGTGAGAGTAAATTATATATCTATTCTATCACAAACGTTGATGTACGATATTATTGATAACCCCATTTCAATATCGATAATCATAAATACTTTTTTTCCTATCGACTATATTTCCGATTGTCGATCTCTTTAGCCAGCATTAGATGTTATCACATTCATATTGCAAAAGGAGCATTGGTGGCTCAGACACTGCAGTTCGCTGTCTGAATAGTTCGATTGAAACTCACATTTTAATCTGAACTTGACATGATCTTGTTAGCCAAATGGCATCCAAGTCTTACAACAAAAGTATGAACATCACCATTGTTTGTTTACATCCAACCTAACATGCTGACAATCCTTGAAATGGTGCTGAAACACATGTTAAAACGCTTCACAGTACCTGTCTTGTACGGAAGCACAACCCCAAACCATAGCATCGTTGTAGATCCGGTCAGTAGGACTCTCTCTCCAGTTCCACCTTCTCCAGCCACAAGCACGCCTTTCAACAAAGGGGATAATGATTACGACAAACTTAGGATAATTCTGAACGGTATCTGTATTATATTTATGGAAATATGTTTGCATAATCACACTGTAAACCGTTTTGGTGAATTTCACACATGGCAGCATCACTTCCACTTTGCATTTGGAGCGATGGGGTAGCCTAGCGGTTGAAGCGTTCGCTCGTCACGTCAAAAAGCCGGGTTCGATTGCCCACATGTGCAATGTGTGAAGCCAATTTCTGGTGTCACACTCGGTGATATTGCTGAAATATTGCTAAAAGCTGCGCAAAACCATACTCGCTCACCACCACTATGCATATACATTGAAGCCATCAACACCAAACTGCCCATACCATTAACATAGATTCCAGTATTCTTTTCGAACTGTAGTTCCACACCACTGTCAATGCGTAATATGCCCTCCGACCTGATAAAAAGAATGAAAAATTAACATGTGGTAGTGATAATAAAGCATTAATAGAATAACTTCAGACATGCTGCAATTAGTCTAAGATTGCCGTGGAAGTTATATGAATGAACCACTGGAAATCAGATTGTCCAGAAAGTTAAAATATGCAAAACATGACCATTCTGAAATTGTCTTGATAATGTCAGTTATGAACTGTTAGCACATGGCAACAAGCTGCATAACAATGATATTTACATGAGCCAATGTATGTTAATAAAGAGTTTGTACATACCTAACAAATATTGATCTCTTTATGCTGTACGGTGATTCAGATGTTAGAAGATGTACCTGACCAGTGATCTCACCACCTGTGAAGGTTGTCTGAGGTGACCTTGAAGCATCAGTTAAATCTTCAGACAGGTAGTACGGCAGATAATGCACAAACAACTTCGCCATGTCAATGTCAAATCCACATATCCTATGCGTGACATAATCCATGTCTTGCTTTCCCCAGAAGTTCCATCGAGCATCAATGTCATACCATCTTGCAAATGCTGGTGCTACTAGCTCGCACTTGGAAGATGGGTTACTAAAAATATTGTTCCTCAGTGTGAGCTGATTTGAAGCAGTATTTACAGTCTCAGAGCATATGTTATCCTTGAATATGTTCCCTGTTATGCTCATGTTTCTTTCAGGTTCTTTAATATCCCCGATGAGTATTATCTGTGATGCTTTATTCGCAAAAAATGTATTATTGACAATGTTGAGATTACCTCCTGCATTTTGCTGATCAAGGATTTTCATTAGTGGTTCAGAAGATGGCATTGATGCATTCTCTACAACGTTATTTACAAACTGAAACTGAAATTTCTTGTAATTTAGTTGTTGTAACCAAACAATACCACCGGTAATATTTTTGAATGTGTTGTCCTTAATATACATGGAAGTGGATTCGTACCTACTGTAACAATACACCATATTCGCATTTATCCTATGGAATGTATTGTTAATGAGTGCAATATACAAGCCTTGACGAAAACCTGATGACGGTATATGAAACAAATGTCTTCCATCTCTCCAGCGATAGTTAATTTTTAAATCGCTGTCATAAAACTGTGAATCTTTAACAGAAATTTGTAAATGCCTTTTTGTACTCCTTCTGTAATACATGTAAAATGCACTATTGCTGCCGTTTGAGAAAATGGAATCTTCAATGTTTATCATAGCGTCACTTTCGGAAAAGATCGTTTGATAGGAATTCCCAGAAAAGCGGCACGATGTCAGAGAAATGTTCACATATTGCTGGATGTAAACACCATATGCTGTATTTGAATGTACATCACAGTTCGATATCCTGATTTGTGACTTGCTTATAAAATCATCTGTGTCCAAGTCAACTCTGACTCCTGACAGATGGTTGTTTACTGACTCCAGTCCATCAATGTGGATAACAGGAGGTATCCCTTTCATTCCAAGTTTGAAAGTGACACCGTGTCCTCCTGAGTAAGATGATACGACATTTTCCATGAGTGTAACATTTCCATTGATTTCAAGACCAGAATCTGTGTCATTCATTTGGAAATGGCGAAGCTGCACATCGTTCCCGATATCTACAATTACAAATATCTCAGTTATCCTCAATATGGATTTGGCAAATCATGACACTTGAAACTTATGTGAAAACCCTTGATGTAATAAAGAAGAATGTTTGAAGGTTTGAGAAGTGTCCGTTTTGGCATGGTCAGAGCTGCCAGAAACTCAGGTTTTAGGTTATTCAGGTGGCCAAATGGGTTGTTATAATTCATAAGATATAATATGAAAGTGTTGTGATTACACTTACCAAATAATTAATTTCCTGAAATACTGTCTGTATGATACATGTGTCTTTTACCACCACGTTATGTGTGTTGAAATTTAAGTTTTCATCCAGATCTGCCTTATGGTGGACCTTAAATGTAAATAGCTCAAACACATAATGTCCACGTACACATATTTATACTGGACAACAACACATTTCCATTCTGACTGGAGGAATATCTGGAAGGGAAATGTGTCTGGCCGGGAATTATCATTTTCGATAGCATTGGCATTCAGAAAATAATAAAAAATGTTACTTGACCACTGACAAGTAGATTAAAAGTAACCGAGACCAGAACCACCTAGCTCCATCCCCCAACCACCAACACACACACACCCGCCAACACACACCCCAACTACTACCGCCACCACCCACTCCCCCAACACACCCACCCTTCCCTCAACTCCCACACATTCAATCCTCACTGGCTACCATGTTATACTGGAAACAGAATGGATGCTGCTGGACAAGGCGCTGAACACGTACCTTGAGGAGTAGGCAGTAGCTTCTCACCACATCGTATTGCTACATCCTCTCTGTGGTTACAGTTAAACCCTGATCTATCACATTCCATCAGCGTTTCCTCGTTGCCTGTACATCGCAGGTTGCCAAGGTGTATTGGGCCCGAACCTTCACCAAAGTCATTTGGACCATAAAACACCTCAGGTGTTACTGTGTAGCTGCAGACAGATACAGACGTATATTCATAGACCCAATCCACACACGTAAAAGCTAAGAGAGAATGATTAATTCCATCATAATTTAGTTTATAACACAAACGTCGATAGGTCTCGAAAATGATGTTACACTGTCGTTTGGGTGATCCGAGCCTTGAGTCATAGTTGGCCTTGAAATTTTGACTAGTGGCAGTATATGACTTTAATCTAGGATATCGGTTTATCATCTCTCACTAGCTGTAGGTGTTTCCATTTTACTGATAGGGCGAATATTTCACTCCCATCCACACAACAGATCTAATCTATATTTTATGTTACAATATCATATGGTGTTTGGATATAGGGCGCTATACAGATGAACTTATTATTATATGTTTTGCAGATTCAGATACAAATGCAGTAGAGAGGGGTCGGGTGATCCTGGCTCAGGAAGGTAGGGCTCATAGTCTGCTCAGGGTTCTTGCCCCCTCTCCACGCAGCCCATACAGCGAATGGGACTCCTTCCAAGAAACGTTGCTTAGTTGAACCAACAAAGGACTTTCCTGAGAATATGAAGGCCCCAACACTGCAGCCTTCTGCATTACCCAGAGTATCAGAAGGGCTGTGCTCCCGATGGAGAATCCGGGCACTCTCCTGATCTGCGCCAAAAGATCAGGAGGCACCAAACTTCTCTTTTTTGTTTTTTTAAAAATCATAAAGTAATGATCTAATTAAAACACACACTTACTCATATCCAAGCATTTGGCAAACGACTTTGGCATCATTTCTGTCAAAACCACCATGACAGACAGTCCCCCAAGTTCCATCAATCTTAACTTCAAGACGTCCCTCGTTGTTTTTCACCCCTCCGACAAGTCGAACAGTTGTGTCAGCAATGGGAAACGGACGGTCTGTTGAGTTTAAAACAAAGTACACACTCTGGTTACTTTCAAAGTATATTGTCATGTATTTTATTTATCAAGGATGAGTAATGAATATATTTAATAAACAAAAAATTGAGTGTCAAGGTAAACGCTTCTTTTTCCACTTTATGCGAATGTATATCTAAACGTTTATTTATAATCATCTGACAATCATCGTACATGGAATGTAATAATAATTGAATATGATTATTGACATCCCAGCATATCCCCCTTAATTGCGATACGTGATGTTAGCTACTTCCAGAGGCGGAAGTTTTGCTATCTGTAGTGAAATTCTCAAAACATAATATTCAAATTCTTCACTTACAACGATTAGCTAGTAATCTTACTCCTGACCATTTCACTCCTGGAGTAACTGGCACGGCCCTCACGGGATGACTCTTGTTGCCGCGAACAATAAGTTCACCTAAATAGATTAAGTTCTTATAATCAACAATAAGGTCGCAACATTATGAAATGTTTATCATGGCAATCATTCAATCTCATTACATGGTATTTAATGCTCTGAGGTATTCCGTTTGCTGAAAGAACCTCAGTTTTTTAAAAAGATAGGAATAGAAGTCATATTCGTGGTTGTCAAACGGTCGTCAACACCTTCAATAACATGTTGCCTGTGAGACCCTCTCAACATAAATGGTCACACCTTTGACTTTCAAACTGTGTGACAAACATTTAATAAATAGCCAATCAATGCACGACCGTGAATCATCCATTGTCTGTCGCCGCTATTGCCAACACAATGTCAAACAGATACCAAGCGGGGAAGGCAATATCTTACTGAAGCAGCAGTGGATTTGAGACTATCAAACAGATACTGAAACAATGTGGAGCAGTGGAAAATGACACTTCTGCCAGTGAGTGAAAAGATAGTTCATATCCACATCACAAATAAACGATTGGTGGAGAAGGCAAAGTGCCTGTCAGTAGAAGAAATCACAGGATCAGATCACATTTGACGTAAAGAGCCATAGCTCTGCACAACAGAACCACCATGTTAATGACATAGTCTTGCTGATATGCTTCATTTTGAATTGTCTAGATTTTCGACAACATTTCTACCCATAAAGTAGTAACGCAAGACCACAAAGGAGTTATTTGAAAGGCTCCTTTTAGAACCTGATGCAACCAATTTGAATGATCATTATTTGAATACATCATGTGCTTTGGTGGAATCATTTTCACTATATGGCTAGATACATGCATTATGCAGTGCAGAGAGAATAACCACGAAAATAAGATCTGAAATGATATTATACCACTGACGTGTAACTAATAAACGACCATTGCCTGATAATATAGAGAGCAGATGAAAAGATAATAATTACCTTCTACAAAGATTCCAGATCCCTTCTCAAACCGCAAAGTCACTCCCGCCTCAATTATAAGTGTCTCCAGTTTTCCGACCACGATATTTTCAGCCACAGTGTACGGGCTTTCCTCGGGTGTAAGGGTAACAGTCCCTCCAACGCTTCCACCAAGTGTACCATCAGCAGAAATAAAACTATGGACCGGAGACCTGGGATCGGTTAAGTTGGGGAATCCATAGAAAGGTACATATGTGATTGTTGGAAGAGAAGTGTCATATGATGAATCATATACTCGCGATGCTATGTCCTTGGCATCTGTGGTACCCCAATAGTTGTGTGTGGAGTTGATTTCTTTGTCTGCATAACCACTACCTTCAAATCTGATATCATAGTCCTGGCCAGCAAGGAAAGTGTTCTCATTCAAAGTCACATTGGGGCTCATTAGGATGATAATACTCGAGTTGAAAGTGTTGCTTATTAAGTAGAACCTTTCCCTGTCGCCTTCAGATTTCACTTTTACATCGCCACCCTGTACACGATTTTGACTAATTCTTGTGATACCACCTTTGGGCGTTTGAACATTAATGTCCATAGCTGACTTTTCAGTCACAAAAGTGTTACCATCTATTGATGTATTTGGAGCGCTACCTTCAATTTTTAATCCACAATTTTCAAACCTGTTGTCATGTATGGTCATACTCCAAGGAAGGCTGTCCCTCCTGATAAGCGCCTTAACACCTTCATAATTCTGATTTTGTATGCGGAATGTGTTATTTATAAGTAAGACGTCATGTCTTGCATTATACTGGTAGTATAGTCCCCCAAAGTCCAATGCAACTACAGATTGTACATCAAAGATCGAATCTTGAATATCTATGGCTCCTGCTGCAAGATATTGACGACTTCCGACACATGTTCTGAAATACGAGGCTCCCCTATCTCCAATAACTGAGACTCCCCTGAATGTTATGTTTAATACTCCTCCACCAATATCAAAACTGTAAGAACTATATGTACTCTTAAAAACAGAATCCTGTGCGTTTATGGTAATATTTGAAGTACATGACCGCATGTAAAATCCTGTGTACGTGGAGTACAGTTTTGTAGACCTCATTTTGACATGAAAGTTGGCCTCATTGTTTTTCGTTTGAAGACGTGTTCCATGCGAACATTCAATTTCGCACTCAATGATGTTCAATGACACTGGGTGTGAAATAAGGCCGTCCAAAAGTATGAATCTGTTGGTTTCATTTACTTTCACTCTTTCAAGGGACAAGGAGACTTCAGACCACAGCTGCCCAGCTATGCTTGTTGTGCATTGGGAAATGATGGAATCAGAAGCTCTAATTTCACCAGAATCATTGATGGATAAACGTATTCCTGTCTCCGCATGTTTCAATATGGTGTGTTGCAGGGACGATCCTGAAACATGAAAACTCTTATTGAGAGATTGTCAATTTATGTTGGTTCATTGATCAGTCGTTTCCTCTTTACATATGATATCTTTAACATTGACAATATATGTATGAAAGGTACATTGTTACCATTGTGTCGGAAATATGGACGTTTCTATTAGATTATCCACAACGCCTCCGATATGTTTTCTGATTAGGGTTGCAGTTTTCAGTTTTAACAGGGCAGAAATTACGCAATTATGCAATGTTACGTTGTAACAAAGGAATGTGGGTTTTACCTGTTCTTATATCAGGACAGAAAGGTCTCACCTGTAGCATTGAATATGATGCCACCCCATCGCTGATTGCTGGGGGAACCATCACTCCTTAGTTCAACGTTGGCATCTGCCTCTCCTTGTATTGTTAATATTCCTGAAATTATCAGCCAAATAATGTGTAGACATACACATATAACATTTACTCTCTCAAAAAATTGATCTAAAATAGATCAACTAGTTATAGTCAAAATATGTATTTGTTAAAGGTTAGTTAAATCTTGTAAAGAGATGAGAGCGGAACACATTTAGAAACTTGTACATTTCACATATAGGACATTCTATCTGAAAACTAACCTCTAACCAAAACCCCTTGCTTGTATGGAAACACCAGTGTGGTGTTCTTGCTTATTGTCAGCTCAGTCCCTTCTGGAATATACACACTTCTGTTCACATACAGTACTTGGTTGGGTTGAAGAGTGACTGACTTGTCCAACATTCCTCCAAACTCATTTTCACTGTTGATTTCAAAAATGTCCGAGTCTAACTGCGATGACAGTTCACTGAGCATCGCTGAGACAAAGGATGGATCCACTTCCACAATCATTTTTGTGACATCACAATAGAAGTCACAGATTCTGGACCGAACAAAGAACCGGTCACTGCTTCCCCAAAAATTGTGGCTTGCATTCAATTTTTGGTTCTCAGAATAATCCACATCAACAAAAAGGACGTAGAGTGCCTGTGGGTTCTGGAAGACATTGTTGTGGATCTGTACAATTTTCTTTGTGTGAATCACCGACGTCGTGGAACAGTTGGTGAAGATATTACCAGACAGGACTGTGCCCTCTGCGTCTATAAGTATCCCGATGTCTCCTTTGACACCAGTAAACATGTTATTTGAAATATTAAATGCGACAAAATTTCTGCCTTGTATGCGAATGCCTTTTCGTGTTTGAAAAACATTTTCGGTCATAATAATATTTCCATACATAGAATTTCTTGTATCAATATACATCAGGTTGTAGTTCGTGGTTTGGCTCCCCTCCATTGTATTATTCCTCAGCAGTATTTCAGGTCGGGTGCGAGAGAACTCTCCTTGAATCACAACACCATGCCAGATGTTATTGGTGAAGTGAGAGTTTGTTATAGAAATGTGCATATCCGAGACTGCACCTCGTATGTACATGTTAAGGCCCTCTTGTCCATTCTTCTTGAATTGAGTTTCGTCAAAAGTAATGTTCATTTGTCTGTTATATCTTGCATTACTTATGACAAATCCCTTGTACAAATTGTTCTCAAACATACACTTCTTTATGGTCGCACCAATGCCTGCATAATAGGTGTATATTCCATGCAAATTATTAGAAAATCTACAGTTATGAGCAAATAGCACAGCTTCGGTGTAAAAATTTATACCACCCCTTCCATTACGCAAGATGTCACTATCTTCCACACCGATATAGGAATTCTCTTGAGGCCAATCCTTTCCGTATATGCCCTCTTGGGTGTTGTCTGATATGATGGTTCCTGATATTTGAATTCTGTCTTGGACTGTATCCCCAATCTCAAGGTTTATTCCTCTGTCGTTGTGATGGATGTTGCAGTGTCTTATAGTAATGGATCCAAGAGCTCCTTTGATGCCGACATCTGCTCCATATATGTGGCTGAATTCCAAAGTCAAATTTCCTGCAAGTTAAAAAGAGGCTCACATAAGGACACGTCATAATGTACGCCATCTTGCAATGGAGGAATTCATGAACACTTTATAATAATGCAGTTGTGATATAGAAATGTAAAATATCCAGGTACGGAAAGTGAATCGGAAGAGACCATTTTTGTTATGATGGTCACAATTATTATAGCTTTAAGCATCTGGTAAATTTAGAAGAAATGTTTTCATCTGTTACAGGACGACTGAATATTTATTAGAAAAGGGTACCATATAGCAGAACGTGACACCGATTACTTACCACAGTTAGCTTAATAAACAAAGTGGGTATTTTATAACCGATGCAGTAAAACCAATGATTCCACGTTAAAGGATGTACTCGAACATAAATGATCTTATGACCGCACATTCCTCAAACTGCGTTGGACCTTTCACAATGAACTATTTGTATTTAGAAATACCCAAAGTGAGTGATAATACAAATTGAAATTTCTGTATGGTTACCACAGTGACCATGTGTATCGTCATGTTGGGATTCTAGGAACCCATTAGTTGCTGATGGCAAGCACCACAGGAACCTTCGGGCAAACTGGAAACAGACAGAACATCTGTTGGTATATCTAGAGGTTGGTTCTTTGTTTGCTCTGACCATTAAGAGTGAGTAAGTGAGTTTGGTTTTACATCATGGCGGGGACACCAGAAATGTCAGGGGACACCAGACAAGGGCTTCACACCTTGGACCCATGTGGGGAATCGAACCCGGGTCTTCGGCGTGACGAGCGAACGCTTTAACAAGTAGGCTACCCCACCGCTCCACCGTTAAGACCATACATACCTTGACTGACAACTTCAATGCCTGCCCACATGTTTGTCAAGTTTGTGAAGGCATTTGAAGCTGTGAAAACCACAGGTAATCCACTGAGACCTCGGGCCTCCAATGTACCTGAAATAGAAATATTCCAAGTTGTATTCAATGGTAACACTATGTTTTTCTGTCGTCCTAGTTTCCCGCCTTTTCATTATCACAGCACTGAGACACACATCATGAGGAGCTTGTTTACAGCAGTAAATGCTTTCAGCCAGAACCTGTTGATTTTGTCACTGTCACTGGCAAGTGAACTGTTTGTTTTAAGTACAAGTTAGGAAAAAAAGCTGTGTAGACTAAAGTTGGTATCAGATGTAAGATTGCATCTCTGTATGTCCTTACCAAGAACGATGAATCCTGCGTCTGAAGAATTGAATATAACCTTGACTCCGGGCTGTATTTTGACATGTGCTCCTGGACGAATCCTGATGAGAGTGTTGATGACATATGGACTCTGGCTGGGTAACCACTCACTGCTTCCCTGGAATATTGATTGGATGATGAGATGGTGTGTGTTCATGCAGATATAGATGTAGAGGTTTTGATGCAGATGTAAAAGATGAAGAATTAGATGCTTATGCAGACGTAGATTTGGATTAGGTGAGTGAGTGAGCTTATTTTTACGCCGCTTTTAACAATATTCAAGCACTATCACGGCGGGGGACACCAGAAATGGGGCTTCACGCATTGTTACCATGTGGGGAATCGAACTCGGGACTTCGGCGTGACGAGCGAGCGGTTTAACCACTAGTATAGGCTACCCCACCACCCTTTGGATTATGGAGATATCGATGTCGATGCTGCTGCAAATGCAGATATATAAGCGGATGTTGCTGTAAGAGGAACAGGTGTCTCTTGATGCTGATACTTTTTAACAGGTTTAGCAGCACTTACATAGACGAGACAAACTATACAATGTGGGCAAAAGCAAAACTTGTATGGCTTAATGATCATGTGCTTAGCTAGTTCGTCATTTATATGGCTTAATGACCATGTGCTTAGCTAGTTCGTCATTTATATGACTTAATGATCATGTTCTTAGCTAGTTCGTCATTTCTATGACTTAATGATCATGTGCTTTGCTAGTTCGTCACTTGTACGACTTAATGATCATATGCTTAGCTAGTTCGTCATTTATATGGATTAATGATCATGTGCTTAGCTAGTTCGTCATTAATATAACTTAATGATCATGTTCCTAGCTAGTTCGTCACTTGTATGACTTAATGATCATGTGCTTAGCTTACTTCTTAAAGCTATTAAGCTTTAGCTAAATATTTCACGTAGATCAGACCATTCATATGGCAAAGACTTCATTGGGATATTTTTTGTGCCAAGAATTCTTCAACCAGGTAAATGTTTTTCAAAATTATATTTAAATGTGTTGGGTTTTCCTTTGCAATATTAGAAATGTAGATATATCTCTATATATTTTAATAATACGATCATTAAATTTAGAGTCCTTATCATTGATGACAATTGTATTAATTAATATTCTTCATGGTCTCTGTTTACCTGTATGTCCTGGGACACTAGTGTATTTCTCACGGGGATTGGTTGTTGAGCCTCACACCCATACAACTCCAGTCGCAGGCCTTGTCTACTGTTGTACCTATTGCGTTGAGGTACAAATGCTAAGTACCTCGCCTGAAAAATATATAAAAAAAATATACATATATATATCAAAGACATCGTTACAGGACATCCACGTGGGAGTCAGGGTTGAAGAGCATTACACAGAAGCACAACGAACTGGTTACTTCACGCTTCAGAGATAATATAATAATGGCAGACTAAAATGATCGATAATCGGAAATATCTTCGATAGGAAACATTTTTAATGAAACTTGTGTTATCGGTAATAATTTTAAAAAATTAATTTTCATGCAATATACACATTAGGACTGTATTCTTGGTCTGCTTCTAAATTATATTCATGACGCTGTTTTGTTAATAAGCCATGCAAAAACATGTCACCACTCACCAGTGATGTGAAATATATTCATTTCTTTCAGACATTTTATGCATTTTTGCTCAAAGTTATGTCTCCGATATTTATCGATAATCGATCGATATTTAGTTAACGATTATCGATCTCTGTTACCTCTATCGGGGGCGGTGCAGTAGCCTATTGGTTAAAAGGTTCGCTCGTCACGCCGAAGACCTGGGTTGGAATCCCCACATGGATACAATGTGTCAAATCCATTTCTGATGTCCCCCGCCGTGATATTCATGGAATATTGCTCAAAACGGCGTACAACAAAACTCACTCACTCACCTATCACGATAGCCAACGTGTATCACCGTAACGTATCCCATTCATTTCGATCTGTATGTTTTACTTTCTGTTCTCTCATGAGGACGGAACTGATATAGGTCATCTGATTGGATGAGGTCAAGTAAGATTATCGAGACACACCCAATTTATGAAGGTCTGTAATTCGTCGTACCTTGATGTTAATGGACTGTGCTACATTATGTAAATTTTAGTGGTCACATGTAAGATTATTTGATTTGTGGTGTGAAACGTGTTCATTACTAACTGAAACTAATGTCCTTTCTCTCTATTTGCACATGTCTCCGTCAAATTTGGGAAATGAAAATCATGTGCAAGACGATATGTATATAGCTATGAAGAAGAATTTTATGTAACTAACCGCGGACAAAAACCTGGAACTATCATTAGTGACTATTTCATAACGAGTTTGAGGATTAGATGGTATCACTCCTACCTGTACAGCTGACCAATAAAGATCCGGGTTAGAATTGGTCTTCAGCACTGATTGTCTGGTCCAGACTGGATTGTGTTACAGACCGCAGCAATACAGCTGGAATATTGCCGAGTGGGACGTTAAACAACAAACAAACAAACAAACCTGTACAGCTGGATTTAAGACGACTGTGACGACATCCCTTGTATTTGTCCCTGGCAGTCTCTGTGTCCCATTGCTGGTGACGTAACTCTCCCACACAAGACCATCCTGGCTGTAGAACAGTAGCACTGCCTCTGGGTACCACCCATTCCTGCTTCCCTGGACTGAGTAGCGGGTCACGTTATGCTGAGTCAGCAGGTCAACCTGCAGGTACTCTTTGCCATTGTGTTGGGATACCCATCCTTCTATAAAGTGACACATTAGTGTTTGAGACGATTTGAATGGTTTTGATTAGATTTTATTTCCTTTCGAGGGTACGTACATTGTTAATCTAAAACTGGTCAAGGGGTACCCATCTGCTTTTACTGTCCTGTATCAGCGATGTACTGGACAGCAACACGTTGACTAATCATTACTATTCTGTGGACATTTCTAAACTTGTATCTCCAGGACTACATGACACTGGGTCACTGTCTGTGTTTTATTTGCATTGCAGCGATGTTCGGTCCGGTAGCCTGGTGGTTAAAACGTACACGCCAAAAGCTCGGGTTCGATTCCCCAAAATAGCATAATGCGTGAACCCCATTTCTGGTATCCCCTGCCGTGATATTGCTGGAATATTGGTAAAAGCGACATAAAACAAACCTCACTCACTCACTTGCATTGCATATAACTACATTTTAGTCCATTTCATAACAATTTAATATATATTTCACAGTTTGGTATTATTCTTGCAAGATCCCTAACCCAGTCAAATTCTTTTGATGATATCTCGAAAACAAAAGGACTTTTCAATTTGGAATTTGGTGTTATTTCTTCCACGCGATACATACTTTATTTCAAGCAATAACTGTGTATTGGTTTGTAGCAAGCAAAGACTAGAACATAATGCATAATTATAACTTCACACTGTTCTTAGGATAGAGAGATGGTTCATTTATTAAGCTAACTACAACGTTTAGGTAATCAACATATCATACTCAATGCTAAAACGTAATTATACAAGACAAACACTGCTTACGTCCAACGTTAAGTCTTGCTGCCTTTGCTGCGTAGGTGGGATTGAGAGATGATGATGCAGAAAATTGATCATCTGTGATGTTGCCATTCTCAAACCCAGAGGAGCATCACATTGTGTTGATTTTGTCAGCGCTGAAACAGTTGTGTGAGAGAGTGAGAAACGGCAATATGATACAGCTAATATACCTGCAGATGCAATGGAGCTACTCAGCGTTTTCCTATGCAATATATCAAAGAGTTGGATGAGCCAGTTTAATCCTCAGAAATGCGTCTTATTACAATGACGTCCATTTTATATCACACTCCTTCTAATACAGATCACATATCTCAGAACCTGTGAAGATCAGTGATAAAATTGGTCTTCAGTAACTCGTGCTTGTCGTAACAGGCGACTAACGGGATCGGGTGGTCAGGCTCACTGACTTGGTTGACACACGTATCCCAGTAGCGTAGATCGATGCTCATGTTGTTGATCACTGGATTGCTTGGTCTAGACTCGAACAGTTTCAGGCTGCCGTTAAATAGCGTGAAAATATTGCTGAGTGCGACAACAAACAAATCGTATTAGTGTGTGATAATTAACAATTATCAATTGACATAAGAACGGATATATTGTTATAAACTTTTCTATGGTCCTCATTCCCAGTCATACTCCAATGAACTCACAGAAGGTACAACTCAATTCTTAAATATAACTACAAAGCGAACATTTGGTTGGACAGCGCTGGCTCCATCATTTCACAAATTGTAACATGATCAATGGATCTTTGTACCCAAGAGTACACAACCCTTTGTGTTTGCTGGACGTTGGTAAGTGCATGTTGTATTCAATCTTATCCAATCTGAAAAAGTACGGGAACTTTAGAAATGGCCTCCACAAAATGCTTTAACCTTGATCAAACAACTTTTGAGGAAGATTCATATGACGCTATTTGTAAAAGAAGTATGCTCAAGTGTACCTCAAACATCGTGAAATGTAAACACCCCTTTGGATGGATCTGCTAACTACAGAATTGCTGAAGTCACGCCTCTTGTCATACAAACTTGTGGAAAGTCTTTGTCGCTCTTTATTGATTGATCTAACTATGAAACAGGTGGGGCGATTTCACTGGTTGCCTAAATTATATTACATTACAAATCAGTGGGTAAATCGTTTACTATATCTTCTATGAAATGTTACCCAAAAGGCTTTAGGCTTACATATATAACAACGGACAGCCTGTTCACACTCACTGCAATAAAGAAGAATCTATCCATAGAACGTGGTTTCCTTCATCTTTACAACTTCTGAAATGCCTCTCAAAGAAGTTGTTCACACTAACCGCTTGTATACTAAAGAGTTTAAGTAAACGTAGAGGTAGATTCAATGTTGCCTTTGAAGATTTCAAAAAAGCATTTGATTCAATCAATAGCAATAAACTTATGTATGTCCTCAAAAATATGGTCTACCTGTTAAAATGTTGAATATGAACAGAATGCGCACGGTGTAACGGTGGTTTTACTGAGTGTTTTGACTGTCCGGTTGGGCTAAAACAGGGCTGTGTATTAAGTCCAATTATATTTACTCTTTTATTAATGAGTTGGCAGCCGATATTCGTGATACTTGTCGAAGGGTAGCTTCTCAGCATATTTCAAACCAGATAAAAATATATGTACATCCAAGAATGAACAAATATATTAGCATCTAGCACTATACACGGGGTACTCGTACTGCTGTCAGTCGCTCTTTAGTGTGCTTTGCCGGGTGGCCCTCGAGGACCAAAAACTTTATGACTTCTCTGTAGTCAAGCTTACCCATTTCAGCCGTTTCAATAGGGGTGTACGTGATTAGATGTCACATGACCGGAAACTAGCGATATGTGCATGTTAATATTATGCTTATGTGAATGATATAAACCATTCTTCAGTATCATACAGTTATTTTATCATACACATATCAGAAGTATTTTAGACTCAAAACCTTTTGATAGCCCCTCGAATGCCACCCATGAAGATCCGGGTTAGAATTTGTTTCAGCAACCAATGATTGTCGTAAGAGGCGTCCAACGGTATCGGGTGGTCAGGCTTGCTGACTTGGTTGGCACATGTCATCGTATCCGAGTTGCAGAGATCGATACAGCTGTTTTGGCAGCTATTGACATGATTGACAGCTATTGACATGATCTGTTTGATTGGCATTTAGAAGTTGGTGACTAATAAGAAAGTAAGTCCTACATGTTGTTATTACTTAATCCCTGTTCATGTATATAAGTCTGTTCTGTGCTGTAGTAGTTCACTCTTGCTTGACAACGGTATAAGAATCCATACCGAAACGTCGCATCATATATAATAAAGAAGTTGTTATCCATAAACTTTCTTACTTTCTTAGCTATTGACAAGATTGCCAACCATGTCGAAGTTTGGGTTGTTGATGGAGTCATTATGGATGTGTACTTCAACTATTAGAAAACTATTTGATACTACCAGGCACAGAAGCCAAACAAATTACCTTAAACACTGTGTAAACGCTAAGTTATTGACTCCACATTTCTATGGCATCAAGTCCAAACATTGCGTAAATGCAACATATGACTTTGAAAGTATACGCAAGCAAGCACATGCACGCACGCACGCACGCACGCACGCACGCACGCACGCACGCACGCATGTCACCGGTCTACCATTCATTCTCCACAACATAAAAGATGTTCTTGCACAATTGTTCGTCACTGGCCGCATACTTAATCAATAGAAGTTATAGAAGTTGTTTCGGAATATACGTACTTTGCACTAATGATGATTCCATCATTAAATCTAACAAGAGAAGTATGATCACATTTTGGCATTAAACGAAAAATATGCATTAACGAAGGTTTTTATATAAACATTTTTCACATTCTGTAAGGCCGATGTCGTCCAAATAACTCTAGCGCCGCACGTATTTCGACTATCTACGGTCTACTGATAGTCAGTAATGTTAGTGGTAAACAGCTGTGTCACCAGGTGTATGTCAAGGTCACGGTGACACAGTGACTTTGTCAAAGTGTAAATATTATCCACCATTATAAACATTAAAATTCCACTCTATAGTCAGATTAACATTTCATCTGCTAATACAAAAAACCTACACCGACCTGGTTATTTAGTATTTTTGTCGTACGTCTTAGTTTAAAACTTAGACGAGTATTACCGACATAGAAAGAGACACTGGCCGTGGTAGTTAATGCATATTCATTGTACAACAGTCATAACATCAGGGTGTCGTTGTACAAAGCGATCTTAGCGCTAACGCGGTCGTTATTCCCATACCTTAACGTAGACTTACGACCGGCGAAACACTAAGGTTCCTTTTTTACAACGACACCCTGGAGTATGATAAAAACAACAACATGAAACTAGACTGCAAACGGTCCCAAGTTTCATCTAACTGACAATGTCATGCTGTCACGGTACCCGAAGCATATCTTGCCGTTAAAGCCCCCGTAGTACAGGCCTACCAAAGAAAACGTTCCCACTGTGCAGAAAAACGCAGAAAAGCCCACATTAATCGTGGAAATAGCAACATAAACATAATACCTCGCTACCGAAACAGTAAAAACGGCAACTTTAAATCGCTAACACTGCATCATAAAACGAGGAACCCGCAACTTCGATTTTGCGCATGCGCACATGGAAGAGGAAGTCTCGACCGCATATTGACATTTTCCAGCTTGGACAAAAGTTACATTCCTTTTTAAGCATTTTTGTTGTGTTATTTGGCATTTATAATCATGATACGTGTGTGCACACTTGTTCCGTTTATTTTCCATTCGTATGAAACGATTGACAGCAATTATTTCGACATATTTAGTACTTTTCTACGCGAGGCGATTCACGGTTGCTCGGAAATTGGAAAGAAGCCGGGATTGTAATGCGCATGCGCAGTAGAGGTCAAAGTTTGCTGATATAAAAATGTTGCAGTTTCATAGTTTTTCGTTGCCGTTTTTATTGTTTCAGTAGCGAGGTAATGTGTTTAAGTTGCTATTTCCACGATTAATGTGGGCTTTTCTGCGTTTTTCTGCACAGTGGGAAAGTTTTCTTTGGTAGGCCCATAACATGTCTTGTCGTTACAGCCCCCGTAGCATGTCTTTCGTTACAGCCCCCGTAACATGTCTGTCGTTACAACCCCCATAATATGTCTTGTCGTTACAGCCCCCATAATATGTCTTGTCGTTACAGACCCAAAATATGTCTTGTCGTTACAGACCCCATAATATGTCTTCTCGTTACAGCCCCCGTAACATGTCTTGTCGTTTCAGTACCCGTAACATGTCTTGTCGTTACAGCTTTGTAACATGTCTTCTCGTGACAGCCCCCGTAACTTCTCCTGTCATTACAGCACCCGTAACATGTCCTGTCGTTACAGCCCCCGTAACGTCTCCTGTCATTACAGCCCCCGTAACACGTCCTGTCGTTACAGCCCCCGTAACACGTCCTGTCGGTACAGCCCCCGTAACTTCTCCTGTCGTTACAGCCCCGTAACACGTCCTGTAGTTACAGCCCCCGTAACGTCTCCTGTCGTTACAGCCCCCGTAACTTCTGTCATTACAGCCCCCGTTACTTCTCCTGCCGTTACAGCCCCCATAACATGTCCTGTCATTACAGCCCCCGTAACATGTCCTGTCATTACAGCACCCGTAACATGTCCTGTCATTATAGCCCCCGTAACTTCTCCTGTCATTACAGCCCCCGTAACATGTCCTGTCATTACAGCACCCGTAACTTCTCCTGTCATTACAGCCCCCGTAACATGTCCTGTCATTACAGCACCCGTAACTTCTCCTGTCAATACAGACCCCGTAACACGCCCTGTCATTACAGCACCCATAACATGTCCTGTCATTACAGCCCCCGTAACATGTCCTGTCATTACAGCCCCCGTAACAAGTCCTGTCATTACAGCGACCGTAACATGTCTTGATGTTACAGTACCCATAACTTCTCCTGCCGTTACAGCCCCCGTAACATGTCCTATCGTCACCAAACCGGTCATGCCGTTACAGTCCTCATAGCGCGTCCTGTCGTCACCATCCACATGTAACATGTCCTGTCGTTACTGTTTCTGCATCATATCCCGTCATAGTTCTCGAGCCATGTCTTTCTATCACAGTCCTCCGACCATGTCCGGCTCATGCGGTGATAACAGATCCGCTGAAACCCTGCCAACTGAAATACTGATTACATACATTGTACTTACCCGGTAGAGTAGCCACAGCCACCGTGCAGACCAGTACAACATACCCGGTCAGTCCACCACTGACACTTGACATGTTGAATGTGGAGGTTCAGCCAGCCCACAGCTGCTGTCTGTCAGTTATAACTGATAACCAACACGCCGCATACACTTTATATATACCATTCAACCTGTCGTCTTATCACAAGCAGTCCTCGTCTCAAGCAGCCTTCCATCTTGTTTACACGACTCGCAGGTTCATTGCTTTTCTAGGTCAGCTAAACCTACAATGCGTGACTGTCCGTGATCACGACGTGTAATGAGAATCCTCGAGCAAGCACAGATAGCAACCAATGTGTTTTCACTAAAACAGTGTATTTATACATCACTAGGCCATTGTTATGGGACAATACGTAAATGGGTCATGGACAATAGTGACGTTGGTCATCCCTGGCGCTCTATTAGTAGTTCGAGTTGCGTAGTTCCGCGGCTATTTTCGGAAGCTTATGTCGACGTGTCTTACCTGTTGAGACATGGCACTATGCCAACCTGTGTAGCAGGGGTGCCATTCAAATCGACCCAGCTACAAAACGCCCCAGCCAATTTGGTCAAAATGCCCCGGAGTTTTGGTCAAATCCCCCCAGGTTTGGTCAAATTGCCCCAGGTGGGTAGTCAAAATGCCCCAGTGTATTTAAATTGGTTAAATATATGCCACAAATGCATAGTTTTTGTCAACTTCCATATTATATACATCGTATAATATTATATAGTAATATTTCAGATAAATTTTCTATTAGTATAAACTGATAAGAGCAAAAGTAATATTCATGTATAGACAACACTGTAATGCCAATTATTTGGTAAAGAATAAAAGTAAAATGAAAGGTTTGTATAATATGTTTATTGGCTGTAAATAGTTTTTGGTCAACAAATGGCATTGTGTAATCATAAAAAGGTGGTATAATATTTATGATTTAAACATATTTATTTCCAAAGAAAGGAACCGGATTGGTAAACAAGTATGAATACCGCTCCGTGATACAATGAAAGGAAGGATAAACACATCATGATGAATGTACAATGTGAATGATATGTAAATGTTGCAAAAACGAGAAATAACGCCAATCATTGTTAAACAGTATATGTCATATAAACAAAATATTTTGGATCAAATCTGCCTGTTAAATTTATAAAAGAGTGCACTGAAATTAAAAGTTCTTTGTTTACTATTGAGGAGCAGCTTTGGTTTCCAAACAAAATTGATTTTAGGTCAAATCCTTTGGTATAAAAATACATAATATTGCCGTATATCGTTGTAAAGAGTACATGAAAAGAAATAGTGAGCAAAACCTTCAAAGCTATGGCCACAAGAGCACGATGATGTAGGGGAGATAAAAAGCTTTCATATTTGTGCGCATTAAGGTCACTACATTCAAGTCGGAGACAAGAATGTATGATTTGACAAAATCTGCTACTGAAATTTAAGTCAAAATGACTGTAGATATTAGAATCGTTTAAAATTACATTTTAGAATCTCGATAGGTGATGGTCAATTGATGGTCAATTAGTGAATGTGTTCTTATAGCCTGAAATGCTCATACATTCGAGCCTCAACATTTCCTTCAACTAAACACAGCATTGAATGTCTATTAGTGAACATGTTTTAATAGCCTGTTTTTTATCCACACTTTTTGACACGATTAATTAACAAAAGCTCTAGATTGTTTGATAAGCATTATACCATACTTGCTGACAAAAACCAGGCCAATAAACATTCTATGCAAACATTTCATGTTATTCTTGTAATTCTTTACAAATGCATTAATAACATGCACATAATTGGCATTACAGTGTTGTCTATACATGAATATTACTTTTGCTCTTATCAGTTTATACTAATAGAAAATTTATCAGAAATATTACTATATAATATTATACGATGTATATAATATGGCAGTTGACAAAAACTATGCATTTATGGCATATATTTAATCATTTTAAATACACTGGGGCATTTTGACTACCCACCTGGGGCGATTTGACCAAAACTCCGGGGCATTTTGACCAAATTGGCTGGGGCGTTTTGTAGCTGGGTCGATTTGACTGGCACCCTGTAGCAGGATGTGCTCTCCTTTTTATTCTTACACGCACATGCACACGCACACGTAGGAACACACGTCCACACGTATTATTCCAGTCCATATTGAGAGAAACAAAATTCTTTTCTTTTTTGATATATATATATATATATCATACCAATGGATATCAATATGTTGCACAAGGCACGTTTAATTAAAGATCGATTATTCAGAAAAACAACAATATATAAAAAAGGTCACACAGCTCCCTAAGGTAACCCAACGAATCTACGTCATTCAGAAAGTATATATTATACTGACTGACTGAGTTTAATTTTACGCCGCTTTTAGCAATATTCCAGCAATATCACGGCGGGTGACACCAGAAATGGGCTTCACACATTGTACCCATGTGGGGAATCGAACCTGGGTCTTCGGCGTGACGAGCCAACGCTTTAACCACTAGGCTACCCCACCGGCCAGTACATATTATAAGAGTTGATAGCTTTACTCGTCAGCATAATATTTGGCAGTTTCAGTTTTTACGCCGCTTTTAGCAATTATATGCCAGCAACATCACGACGGCAGACATCAGAGCTGGGCTTCACACACTGTAATCATGTGGGTAATCGAACCCGGGTATTCGGCGTGACGAGCGAACGATTTAACCACTGGGCTACTCCACCGCCCCCGTAATGATCAAGATTTTTATTAGATTGCTTAATGGTTCGTTGAACATACAGCTTGAACATGTCAATGGCATTCGGACAGTCGCGTGACAATGTATTTACGTGTATGCAAGGATAGTTTTTTGCCATAACACTTCCACGAGTTATACCCCTTGTGAATGTACGTGTATTTTATGTGCGCATCCAATGTTTTCACTCACTGTTTCACCCAATGTTTCATAGGTCGGGTGCCTAGCAGTACTGTCTGCCGGTCTGGAGATTTTGACTTTTCTGATTAATACGGCAAATGAGCATTCATGGACCAAAACACTTTTTCATCACTACTGACCACATATTCCTTTAAAGGACTTAATATTTCATAAATAGAACTTAAGAAATTAAGATTTGTATTCGACAACGAACGTTCAGGGAATTAAAATGTTGTTTTAATCAGAATCTCAGATTCGACTCCAAGTTTCCGGGACAGCTACATTCTCGATAATTGCAGTCTTAATCCACCGGGCTCATTGTCTCCATACGAAGCACCTAATGGAGATGCATATATCCACTAGCTGATCTACTAGTATTCGCCACATTATATGTCAAATCATTCATCGTGTTTAGCTTTACGCCGCTTTTAGCAATATTCCAGCAATATCACGGCGAGGACACCCGAAACGGGCCTCACACATTGTACCCATGTGGGGAATCGAACCTGGGTATTCGGCGTGACGAGCGCATGCTTTAACCACTAGGCTAACCCACCGCCCCTCAAACCAGTCATGAACACTATAAGAAATCTATTCGCCTCAGTAGAGCACGTTTCCACATAGATGCGTTGCATCATGTGGCGTCAAGAGACCCGGATGGAAAATACGATTAAAATGATGGGCACGAATAGTTAACCTCATTGTTAACCAAACCAATGCCCCGTGGAACATGTTATTCATCCTTGCAGATGAATCACAAACACGCCACCATACCCATGCTATCTCTTTCCATATCGAAAAAATATGTATCCGAAATGCTTGTTCTTACATGTAATTATATTCCCTGTTCTTGGGCTAACAGGGGCGGTCGGGTAGCCTTAGTGGTTAAAGCGTTCGCTCGTCACGCTGAAGACCGGGTTCGATTCCCCACATGGGTACAATGTGTGAAGCCCATTTCTTGTGTCCCCAGCCGTGATATTGCTGGAATATTGATAAAAGCGGCGTAAAACCATACTACCTCACTCATTTGGTCTTACAAGATCTTACAGAACAAATTACAACATTGTGATTCGGGTCAGTTTGTCAGTATCAGGAACAAACCGATATACTATCATATCATATCTATCATATGAAATGGCTGCCACAGATATCAGTTGAGAAACAGTGCCTGGCTTAATCACTCACCCATAATGGATCAGTAGAACCTGTAGCATACATAGTGATAAATGTAACGTTTCTTTTCTTTATAAGTATATCTGTCTGCTTCTGTTTCACTTCTCTGCTTGGTGGCAGAGTCTCAGATGAGCGTACATACTTCTGGCAATCGGGAAGAACATTGTTCTGCCTGGACTTTTGCTTTTGTTTGATCTTTTTGAGCTGGCTTCACACGGTGAGTTGACCATCTTGTTATGTATTGTCACAAATTAAGGAAGGAATTGTCTGTTAATGCTTAATAATAACGTTGAAAATATATAATCATAGTTCTGAAGGGGCATTTGTCTATTGAAAATTCACTCGACTTATTCAGTAAATGAGTCCCATCTCTTTCTTTACACAGAGGCAAATCTCTTTGTATAGGATTGCACATTCATATCTTTCATTTGTCCTTTATTGAAAGATATTTGTAGCTTCAGGGAATGGAAAACTGAAGCTAAAGGCTGCGGTCATCTCAAAGGAACCGTTTCTTATTCTATCCTAATATCAGATACCTGAAACACCCATCATCTGACATCGTCAAATATAGAAATATGACTGAAATGAAAATATGTATATATTATTACATGGTAATGTAATTAGAATTTATTGTTACAACATGTTGTAATCATATGACATGATTCCGAAAAGATTCGGTAAAAGTTCTTAACTTTGTGTTCCAACAATAACTAGTTGTCAGGAATGTGTTATCATCTATGTAAGCAGTGGTGTGGAAGATATATTGTTGGATGCTTTTATTTATCTTATTTTTTATTTTATTACTTTTTTAATTTTGTTGGTTGACTTCTTCATATATACTCATGCCAATATTGGTTGTCACCCCTTCAATTTTTTTAATTGGATGGAGGTGTGAGGTGTGTGGGGGTTGGGGTGGGGAGGGGTGACAACCATTATTGGCATGAGTATATTTTAGGGTTAACTGTGTACTAGTCAGTATGAGAAATATGAGAAAGTCCCTCACCCGAGAAGTTTAACCATATGTTTGTAATAATATATTTTAAGTACATCACATAAGAAAACCAGCTTGGGTCAAAACCAAGTTAATGTTCAAATATTAGAAAGTCATGTACACTTTATAAAAAGAAACCGCCATATATGAGCATTTCTGTAATAGTTTTTCTTTGTCAGTGCGTTTAGTTTTGTCCTACGAAGCATACAATTATTTGTTTGAGTGGCATTCTAGAAATTGGTGGTAAAGAGATGACAAAACTTTATAGATGATCAACTTCTTTATTTTTACAATAGCGACGTTTCGGTATATTTTTATACTCATGCTTGAAAACGGTATAAGAATCTATACCCAAACGTCGCTATTGTGAAAATAAAGACGTTATTCATCCATGAAGCTCACAATTGTTGATTCGAAATTTTTTTTGTCCCTATTCCTGTCCTATGCATAAATTTCAGAACAATGTCTTGAAAAAACTCTTGCTAAATTCCTATAAAAACATATAGATTCTGTTAAAATTCGGAGACATAGAGCTGCTGTTGACGACGGCCTCTGACAGTCTCTGACAGCCTCTGGTGAAGGGAATCCACGGAATCCAGGATCTAGAATCGCTTGATAAGTCTACAAAAGTCTCCATATTAACATTTCTTGTGGAACGGTTAGTTTTCTTACAATTCACCCAAATGGGAACTTTTGTTCACAAAGAAGGAATATAGCCAGATCAAACTCCAGTAAACATAGAAACCTTCCATTGAGGGGAATGTGCTCCTATGTACCATTTGCAATATAATAACCATTATTTCAAGCACCCGAACACGGTCTATCACGGGTCTATCTTTCGATCAAATGACTCCATCCCTTTGGTTCGAATGATTCAGGATTCAGCAACACAGGGTCCGTTGCCTGCAAACAGTTTCTGGAAATTGAGATGACCTGCCAGCCTCATCTTCCTGTCAATCTGATGTGCTTCAATCATACCACAAAACCGTCGAAGCCTAAAGGTCAGTGACTATGTGTATCATTTTCAATTGTTACAATAAATGACAAGTGAAAAAAATCAATAATAATGGGATCTCAGAGGACATGTACATGCTGCGGAACTACGTCGGTATATAATTATCATACATTTTTTTGTGCAATATGTTCCAACAAACGTCTTAGAATTATGGGACATAACATAGTTAACATATTAGTTATTTCATATTGGAGATGCATCAAGGATTGTTGGGCTAGTTTGAGAGACCATATGCAGCTGGTGAAGTTAGAGGGAGATATATGACAGAAGTAGACGAAGGAAATGATTAGGAAGAACCACTCATGGGTTCGGTTGGAGGGGGCGATCACAAAAAGAAGGACCGCGCTGAAAGCAAAGAAAAGCTATGAGAATAGGAATATTCTTCAAGGATAAAATTGTTGCACTGTTTACTGACGTTCTCAGCTATACCACAATTACAAAGTAAAGTATGCCTTCTTTCATGTCAGGTCGATCAAAGGGTTATCGGAAAGTACCCTTCGGTAAGGAAACGTTACTCGGCAAACTGAACCCAACCAGGAAGTCCTGGGAGGAAGCCTTGGAAACGTGCATCACTGATGGTGGTTCACTTGTCAAGATAGATTCTTCCAGAAAGCAGCGCGTCATTCAAACTATCTTTGGACTGAGCGGTAGGTAAACCTATCATGGCTATTGTATTTTATCGTCCAGCACATTCAGTGAAGAATTTCACAAATCGAGAATATACACAGGTATGATAACAGCAATTATTGGCATTCGTGATAGTGCTTAACCCTTTAGGTTTGTAGATTGTTTAATGTCTCGGCGCATGGCGTTACGTGTAATATTATTTTTTATGGACAATTTCTCCAGTGATCAAAAGGAATTGAGAAAAAGGTTTTACATTAGTAGTTTTATTGGAAAACAAACTAGCAAGAGGTGACAAGATTGTTACTCGCAGAGTGCATTAAAAAACGATCAAAACTTGTCCAAAATCCTAACCAATGTATAAGGGTCCATTGTAAGATTCTGACTGTATTGTAACCATGTGCTTATGTATCACTGTGAAATGAAAACGGACTGAATCCTGCCCCACCTGAGGCACCTGTGGCAAACACTGACAGAGGCAAGTCAATTATTCATCAGTGACACGGAAACATAATGTATTAATAAATCAACATTAAGATTGCCATCCGTAATCCCAACTCTTTGACGACTGAATGAATTAGACGAATGTTCCTATTCCCGATTGATGTACACCCGATCCCATTTTGTTTCTGAAGATCCACTTGTCCAGAAACTGTGAGCAGTGTCAGATACAGGTATTCACGAAAATCAATACTGCCATTTTCATGGCTGTATACTGAGTAAGAAATGTTTCGAAAATCAAAATTGTAAACTGTGGCCCAATTTCCGTGGGACGAGAATATTTTCCGTCGAGAGAATATTTTTGCAATTACATAAAGGCGTACCTGCAAGTACAACGGCACACAATATAACACAGTTAAACCTATTTCAGCTTAACATAGCGTTATCAAAATATCTTGGAAATGGGAGAAATGGTTTGGACCAGTTTCACTGCTTTGTGAATATATATGGGTGTGTCTACAGGAAAGTCACTCCAGGCAATGGACGGAATCGCGTTGGTCTGATGTATTGATTATGATCAGTGTTTCACTGAGTATTATCTGTTCATTAGTTTTCGAGTAAGATTGCAATTCATCGGTACGCTTTTGAGCCAAACGGACTATAGTTGGGAACAGTTTTAATGTCTCGGAATAAACATTATTTTGTGTTTGTCAAAAGGTGAGCGTATCCTGCTCAACAAATGGCACAAGCACATGCACAGGCCTGCTCGCCCGAAAATGGGAATATAGTACAGATCAAAACAGTTAATTGCACCAGAGATGCCTCAAATTTGGAAAATGTAATCAACATGTCATTCGAAACATTTTGAAAGATTCATTAATTTTCTGATATTCGTAAAAAGAGCATGCACATTTCAACAAAGATCTCAATTGCACCGTTGGAGTGTGTATGCTTCAGGAAAGTGCTGTCATCCGCCAAGAGACAGTCCAAATCACCCTGTCAATAACACCCACTTGATTTACTCTTATTCTCTGTTTTTCTTTATGTAATAACTAAAGACTGTGAGAATAACAACCATCGCAAACTCAAAGACAGAAAGAAACATAAAAAATAGAAGAACCAATGTAACCCAAAACGACCCATAACTTGACCTGTAAAGTACTGTAAAATGAATACACCAATGAGGTCACCTAACGAACAAATCCCCAGCACTACTGGTGTCAGAGTGATGAAGGTATTGCACCAGGACAACAAGGCAGCTAAGAGAGGAGCCGAAAAGAGACCTATTGCCATTGATCCAATCCACAGCCATACTTCCCCAAATGGTGTTAGAAACATTACCGAAACTGCTGCTACCATCACCCCAGTAAGACAGACGTAGATTAGTACTGTCTGTCCCAGATACAAGCTAAGAATTGTTCCTAGGATCCTCCCAAGAGTGAAGAGCATCCAGAATACAGATGTCATCATGGCCATTCTCTGCGCACTGAGATGCAGATGACTTCCCACACCATAAACAGATAAATAACTACCATAGGCAAACGGTATGCCACCGGTAGACATATATGCGGAGAGAAGACATATGTAGAATACGGTGGTAGTCAATCTATGCATTGGTTCTTGTTTTTCCATGTTGGCATAATCATCCTTTGTCAACACATTGAATTTGCAACTATCTCTCCTCTCCAAGACGAACAACGTGACAGCACCAAAAACAGCTGGCAGGTGAATCAAACCGAGGATTATGTACACAATATGTACTTGCGATTGTTCACCATCCATGGTGGAATTAGTTGAGTTATATTTTGATGCATCGTTTGAGTAACGTCCGCATAATGTTCCAGAACATGTTGATCCAGTAGAGCTGTTTGTTGGTGGTATATCAGCACTGAGTTGTGGCAAAAAAGTGTGTTTTTTAAAGGATTCATTTTTCCATGACAGAAGAGTTCTGTCTTGAAGTTCAAGGAAAGACTGAGCCGTCACAGGGGCAATGACGCTTCCGACTGATGTAGATACGGTCAAGCCATGCATAATGACTGGGTGTCCAGCGAATTCAAGGTTGCACCGGTAATACACACCTGAAACATAACACAGGTGTTTCTTAATTATCAGTTCGTTTGTGTGCCACACATTCAACCACAAGATTTTATACTTTTTGACTGTGTGTCAAAGAGGTAATTTGAACATCTTAGATTATATTATAAAATACGTAGCTTATTTTAGATCAACTTCTGGATATAGTTAAGGTTAAGATAACAATAATTTACACGAATCAGGATTGAAATTTCAGGGTTATTTCTTGTACAACTAGTTATTAATAATATATAACTCAATATTTGACATATCACTAGTACTGTTGTGTCAAATGCCTTGGTCAGATTAAAAGGCCAATCTGGGATTAATGTCGACATCATAAAGAAAGCAATACGTCCCCTGGGTTTCTGTAAGACTCAAGTATTTATGAGTGAAAATTCAGATCTCTCGCGTGTATGTGTGTAGGGGGCCGGGGCAGGGAGCTTGTGGTTAGATAGTTCGATCGTCACGCCGAAGACCCGGGTTCAATTCCCTACATGGGTACAATGTGTGAAGCCCATTTCTTGTGTCCCCCGCCGTGACATTGCTGGAATATTGCTAAAAGCGACGTAAAGATATACTCACTCACATAATCCAAATCTGCATCAGCATCTAATTCTCCATCTTATACATCTGCATCAAAACCTCTACATCTTTATCTGCATGAGCAGACACATTTAGGAGTCATCAATTTACAGTCAGCATTTTAGAGGCCACAAATCCAATGAGGCATATGACTTTCAAGATAATACCACATGGAAGTCGAATATGTTCACTCAGGAAAAGAAATCTACTAAAACCTTTCATCAGTGCTGACAACTCTTGGCTTGGCTCAGGAATCTGAAGGCATCTGAGAAACTTTCCGAATTCAGTTCTGTTAAACTTTTGCCTTTTAACGTTGTATACCATTATTCAGCTTGACAAACGTCATGAAAAAACATTCTTTGATCCACGGAGCTTGTATTAAACGTGCTTAGGATACATATACTTACATATCTTTCTACAGAGGTTCAGAGGTTCTTTCTATAAATCATCAAAAATGAAAGAAAATGTCATCTGAAGTTTACTAAATAAAGAGCATCATATGTGTAATGAGTGACTCTCCCATCACCTGCATAAATTTTGGGGCATGACATTAAGTAAGAACTAGTTATCCGTATGGGCACCATTTGCGCGGATTTCTTTCTTTATACGTGTATATATGAATCAGAATTCCTACTCGGGTTGGCAAATATCAAAATAAGGAAATTTAAACAAGAGGTGATCTTTCCCTGTTTGTTGAGCAATATGCCAACAGCTCTAGCCTTTGCTGGTTACATTTCAGAACGGTTGATTTGAGGAACAACCGAGCATGCTCTTTTTGCCAAGTTTTTAAAGATCAAGATTACAACATTCAGCGTCTCAGTAAAGCTTTCAAAATGTTTTATGGCAGACGTGTGGAGGGCATTTCATAATTCGACTGGTGCCATGCGTTTCCTTTTTATTCCAGGTAAACAGTTGACAAGCCTTATAGGATTTTGTAGCTTCTATTTCTCTTTCTGAACTGTACTATACCCTTCATGGACATACGTTTCACAGACACTCCAACTAATCACGTGATTTCATTATATACATTATAATCAATTCTTTATATACTTACAATTAAAGCAGCATGAGGAAACTAGCCCTATGACTCCAGTGGCCACAAATGCAACATATAGATGTGAAGTCATTGCAATCATTACTGTACTTGTCCCCTGAAGGATCATACAAATCGTGAGTACTAGGTTTGAATCCAGGAACTTCAACACAGCCATGGAGCCCAGGCACCCAACGCCTTCAGTTGTGGCAAGTATAAGGAAGAGGTTAGATATTTCCAACAGACCAACTTGGAAGAGACTCTCGAGATCGAGTAAAGTTGGTCCTAATGTCCCAGCAAATGCTCCCTGCAGACAAACAAGCGAATATTATGAAGTTATGCATTCCCATGAATTACTTTGTGTTTGTTTCGGAACTCATTTTCATGATATTTATATGCTACAATGTTTTAAAGTCAAGCCAATATCTCTCTCGTGTTTCAGCCAATTTGTAAAATGACTCATATTCAAGTCTGTATGTAAACTTACTGAGCGAATAATGCGTGTTGCAAACTGACTGAAATTACTTGTCAATCTCTTTATTCTGGTGTATGTAGGCCATCGGCCCGTAGTACAATATTACTTCATACAGCCAACAAACGGCTTGTACGCAGCTCATTCGCATAAAATAGATACATAGCTAGATTTCGTAGCACAGTGGAATTGTCTACAGACATCAAAGTATTAAATTTGCATAATGATGGATATGTATAATAGTTCACAGGAATATATGATGTACGTAGATAAACATAGGCAGAACATGCTAGGGGAAAATGATATTCATTTTCATTGTAAGCACCCGAACACATATGACATAATCTGAGATTCCTTGGCTTATTGATATATCTACCCGTCTCAATATTTTATTGATGAGAGCTGCAACGAAACTGTGCAAGAGCAATTCGGAATTTTTTCACATTTATACATCTTAAATATGTCTCAGGGCCAAATACATGTTTATACAGTGAATAGGGATAGGCTTTAGAACTAGATGTTAATGATTCATGCCAACCCTGTACATCCATATTCTGTGTTCTAGTAGTGAATTCAAAAAGAAATGAGCCTAAATTGTTAATACACTGGCTCTCCCATACATAACCAAATCCCATTCCTTTAAATAAAAACTTTTGAAGCCCAATTAATTTTACCGTGGGAAACATCTAGCAATATTAAGTTATAACACTTTTTAGGAAAACGCGATGCCGGTATTTTCAACAACTTATACCAATATTTGACACCGCGTTTATACGCATAAATATATATGGGATATCTGCCACATTCCCCACGAACAACCTCATTGGACGTAGATGAACCTCTCCACATTAGAATTGATATCACAATCTAGCCCCCAGACTTCAGCGCCATAAAGCAAATTTGGTATTACTTTCGCGTCAAAAAAATTGAAAAATAAATGGCATTGCAAAGGTTGTAACTTTGATAGAGATTTGAAAATACTGAACAAAGCCTTTTTTATTGTAAAATGGCGTTATCAAATTGGTTGTACCAAGCTAGAGATTGAGAGAACCGTACGCCAAGGTATCTATAAGAATCTACACAATCGATTAAGCTACCTCCAAGAAACCACTTTTCTCTTTTAGAAAGCTTTCCACCCTTTCTAAAAACAGTGAGATTATAATCAATACAATGCTGTTCTAGAACACTGATGTGCTTTTGTAAACCATATATAGTATCAGAGAGAAAAATAACATCGTCGGCAAACAAAAGGAGGAACAATTGCGTCAACACAGGATGTAGCTGAATACCAGGATAACAAACAGATTCAATATTATCTACTAACTCATTTAGGAATATGGAACACAAAAAAAAGTCTATCCTTAATGATTGATATATATAACTTACTGAAAACACATTTTTTTTTGTCATCATACGAATAAGCATTGTAATATTTATCGGTTTTCTTGTTGTCGGATTGACAGAAGGAACTTATGTATTGTGCTTGTTGTATACTCGGAAACTATGCAACAACATTGATCATGAGTACGTCTGCATTTTTGTCGTGTAACATTTGGTTGTTGTAACTTACAAGGAGGAAGAGGCAATAGCTCCAGACAGACGCCTTGACTACATCCTTATTAAAGACCATGGTGGACAGTTGTTTTCAGGAACGAGACCTACAAACAACCATACATATTGGACGTAAACTCTTTAGAAATTCATAACAATTCTATTCACGATTAATTTGCATATTGTATCATTATTCTCACCTAATACTTGATGGGAATGTCCAAAACAATCTTTATACAAATCCTAATAAAATGATATTGTATGTATCACTGCATCTTTACCTGGAATAATAATGATCATGTACAAACACGCTGCAGTTCCATCATCGAGAAATACATGATCGGAAACTTCTTGTTTTGCTGCAGCAATACATTTTCCCTATCTTGCTGTCATTTCCATTTCTAATGCAAGGAAACGTTTATGTGACGAAATTGTTAGGGGCAAAAAATTGTTGGAATATAAACTATGTGTTTAAAATCATAAATAGACAAGAACATCTATATAATTGAAATATAAATTATCAAACAAAAGCTGTTTTTAGGTGTCTGACATTGGTCAGTGCAGCTTGTCAGACATGCCGCTGCTTCCTAAACACACTTAGTGTAAACATATTTTATTCAAAAAATTGGTAAATAAGCCGTAATGGCTTATTTGAATACCTCTCCATTTCATTGACACATGAATAAAACAAATATTAAATAATATGCAGCATCATAGGAATGCAAGCAACCTGCGTATTGAACATCATTAATCATTTATCAAACCTATGCGAATGTATTATGAAAGTATGGACAGATATTATTATGAAAGAATTTTTAAGTTTATCTTTGTTTGGATTACCATTTAGGACAGAATTTAAATTATGTCCATGTTCGTAAAAATACACGTGATATCTGATGTTGGAATAATTGGGACAAGTAAAGAAGTAATGTAAAGAATCCTCATAGGGGTGACCACAGGAGCAGGATGGCTCAACTGAAATGGCAAAAACATGTGTGCTTTCAAATCACTGTACTCAAGTCTGAGGCGTGAGTGGATAATTTGGCAGAAACGTGTACCAAAGTTTTTATCAAATATATTAAAATTAAGTGGTTTTGATGATTGTAATACATTTTGGAATTGGCCTATGGTTTCAATATCATACATATTCTCAGGCAAATCATTCCATTGTCTTATTGTATCCGGTAAAAACGAATTGCTATACAAATCACTACGACATCTTATAGTTTGAATGTTATTGCTGTTTCTTAATCTATGGTCACTTAACTGTGATACTTTTTCAGGCAGTAGATGAGTTAAATAAACTGGTGTCATATGATGAACCATTTTGTAAAATAATGATAACTGGCTAATTTGTCTACAGTCAACTAGGGGCATGGAGTTAGTTTCCTTATATATTAAATCATGACTTGTTCCTCTATCTGACCAGCAAATCGTCCGCAGAGCGTCTAAATGTAGATTTTGGACAAGTTTTTCTTGTTCTTTAGTACAGTTATCCTAAAGGTGCGAACAGTAATCGAACATTGGTAATATATAAGACTTGTACATTTGCTCTAATGATTTTCTAGATAATCTATATTTAAAACTACGAAGACAATTTACCCCGATGAACCTTTTTGACTAATTCACCATTTACAATCTGATTGCAAGGTTACTCCTAGGTGTTTATGGTAGCCGACTTCATTAATGTCTACTCCATGCATTTTAAGCCTAGGAATTGGAAATTGATTACCGGTATTTCTGCGAGTGAATAAAACAGCTTCAGTCTTACCAGGATTAAGCTAACCTGCATATTTCAGCCCAGTGAGAGATCCGGTTTAGGTCATTATTTAAGGAAGTGGCAGTAGCAACATGATTATCAACAATAACATATACCGAAGTATCATCGGCAAAAAGACGAATGTTACTACTGATACCCTCAATGATATCATTTATGTAAACTAAAAACAGTAACGGCCCAAGCACAGATCCTTGTGGCACCCCAGCAGTGACTTTCTTTAGATCTGAATTGTAATTGTCTATAGCTACTCTCTGTAATCTATTGTCAAGATAACTGGAAAACCATTCAAGTAACTTACCCTTAATACCATAAGCTTCTAATTTCACTATGATTCCCTTATGCCAAACCTTGTCAAAAGCCATGCTTATGTCACAGAAAACTGCCCTGACTTCTTTGCCATTGTCTAATGCATGTAGTATAAAATCATACAAGTATGTCAATTGGTACACAGTACCATCCCCAGGCATGAATCCTGACTGCAAATTGGTCAATAAGTTATTATCTAAAAACAAGTTAAACACATGTTTAAAAATACATTTCTCAATTCAAATACCTTTGATAAACAGCTGGTAAGAGGTACTGGTCTGTAGTTTTTACATTCATTAAGACTTTTTTATGAATAGGAATGACAGTAGCTTCCTTCCATATTGTTGGGAATTTACAATATTCTATAAGCTAATGATAAATTGAATAGATTAGTAAGAGGAGTAAAAAAGGGATGGCACAATCATTTTGATAAATCTGTTATCTGTTTTATCTGGTCCACTGGCTTTGGAAATATCAACTGATAATAGGATGTCTCTTACTTCTTGCTTAGTCAATACAATAGACTCAAGTGAAGTCTCTACTTTACATTCAAGTGTAGGAGTCTCCTTATCAGGATAATCAACTTGTGCATGGTTAACAAAATATTCATTAAATATATTTGCTTTATGTTTACTATCATTAATCAGATTATCGTTATGAACAATCGAAGGAAATTTCTTTTAATCTGCATTTTTGTATTATATATACTTGTTACACACTTAATGCACAGCCATGCGCGTGTCAATATCAGACTGCCTCCAAATACCTAGCATACGGAATGGCTGAAAGTGTCACTACATACCTACTCCAGCATGTTCCAGAGATGTCAGGATGATTGTTTCGCTGTGAATGAGTCTTAGCTCGAATTAATGGTTATATAATCACAGTATTTTTCACGGAATATTTTCTCTCACGCCACTGGTGTTTCACTGGCGTAAATATCACTACAATGATTTTAAATGATGTTAGCCATAGAATGACATGAACCCGAAAGATATGAGAAATTATAAAAACAACACCTGAAATTGTACAGTTATATGGCATATTGAAAATTACAAGAATAGCATACTGAATTGCCGAAGTAACGAGCTCTTATTAAAATATTAATTTTGAAACGAATACTAAAATCAAATTGAATTTGCAAATTTATTAATAATGAATCATACCCACATTATCGTTTAAATAGCACATGAAACAGATTGCATAATGATTACTTCTTCTGTGATTTTATTACAGGTCACCTTATGTAAGCAATACTCGAGGTATTCTAGCAATATAACGGCTGGGAACACCAGAAACTATGATCTGGTCACATGGCTTACCAAAAATCCACAGACATGCAGTGCTTCGATATGGGACCCAGTCATCCATGACAACCAGACTTCCGCGAATGTCATCGTGGCGCCTTCAGTGTATGTTCCACGATGGTTCGCCTTAAGCTGTTGCCTGAGGAGTGTAACATACTTTTTGTCATTTACGGTCTGCCTTTCGGAAGGTAGTTCACGAGTAGGATTTTGAAGAATCCAGAAAAACAAAGCTGACACATCATGGGACTGGTGATCAACACACGTCAAAACATGTTTGACACCATACCAGGTTATGGAACTGGTCATCAACACATGTCATAATACGTCTGACACCTTGCCAGGTTATGGGACTAGTGGTCAACACACGTCATAATACGTCTGACACCATACCAGGTAATGGAACTGGTCATCAACACATGTCATAATACGTCTGACACCTTACCAGGTTATATGACTACTGATCAACACACGTCATAATACGTCTGACACCTTGCCAGGTTATGGGACTGGTAATCAACACACGTCATAATAAGTCCGACACCTTTCCAGGTTATGGGACTGGTGATCAACTCATGTCATAATACGTCCGTTATGGGACTGGTGATCAACTCATGTCATAATACGTCCGACACCTTGCCAGGTTATGGGACTGGTGATCAACTCATGTCATAATACGTCCGACACCTTGCCAGGTTATGGGACTGGTGATCAACTCATGTCATAATACGTCCGACACCTTGCCAAGTTATGGGACTGGTGATCAACTCATGTCATAATACGTCCGACACCTTGCCAGGTTATGGGACTGGTGATCAACTCATGTCATAATACGTCCGACACCTTGCCAGGTTAGGGGACTGGTGATCAACTCATGTCATAATACGTCTGACACCTTGCCAGGTTAGGGGACTGGTGATCAACTCATGTCATAATACGTCCGACACCTTGCCAGGTTATGGGACTGGTGATCAACTCATGTCATAATACGTCCGACACCTTGCCAGGTTATGGGACTGGTGATTAACACACGTCATAATAAGCCTGACACGTTACCAGGTTATATGACTACTGATCAACACACGTCATAATACGTCTGACACCTTACCAGGTTATGGGACTGGTGATCAACACACGTCATAATACGTCTGACACCTTGCCGTTAAGAAACCGGTTGCCACTTAGATATAGTAAGGGACCGGTCGCAACAGGTTGAGAACACAAGCCCCCGGTTTTCGTGCACGCCATCCACGTGACATGTCATCTTTGTTAATCATAGTTTTAGCTCTCACATAATGTCAAGGCGTAGGTGGGTCGACAGGGGAAATAGCTCAGAATGAACACGGGGAAATACATTGAGCCGAAACTTCTTTAGGTGGCTATACAATACATGATAAACAAGGGCCTTTCCTACGAGTGGTACATCCTGCTCGTGGTTGTCCTTGCACAAACATTCGGAATGAAGGACCGATCGACAGATATGATGATGATTTGGTGATTTTACCTGCGCTTTCCGACATGCTGCGTATTTCGCACACGAGGCCCCCCAAGGCCATATGGTGTTTGAGCGAAAGAGGGATGCTTATGACCAAAACATACATTAGGGAATTTCGGGTTTTATATCTAATTTTTGCATGAATTTCGAATAGATGGGATGATATGCCACCTAGGATTTGATTAGAAATATACCCCAGGCTTTGAAGGTTTGGGTATTATTTAGTGGACTCAGGAGTGGCTGTAGTGTTGGGGTTGTGTTTGTGTCCAGTGAATTGGCATAGTAAGTGTGGGTGGTTGCTCTGAATACACATGACACAAAAAGGGGAGTTTGGATGAGTAAACATTGAGGCATCTCTACAATTATCACGCTGGTGAATTTGACCTTCAAGGATCTCACTCCATAATGTCCATGCTTCAATCACGCCGAAGACCCGGGTTTGAATCCCCACATGGGTACAATGTGCGAAGCCCATTTCTGGTGTCCTCCGCCGTGATGTTGCTGGAATATTGCTAAAAGCGGCGTAAAACCCAAAAACCTCAGCCATGCTTGAAATAATATGGGGTTCTCTTGCTAATGCTAAAAATAACAAACCCAAATCAAGGACCCTGCCGACCACCTTGGTTAGAACATGAGAGTAAAGTGTAAATCGAGTGTTGTTTTGTGCGGCAGTCCTCTAAAGTCAATCACTGAAATGTCGGCCTGTACATATCCCAGCATGGTCAAGGAAAACAAAGTCATGGCATGACTAATCCTCAAGGTCAGCGTGTACAATCAGCCTGGTCGTTCACTGACTTGACATCTTCATTTGACGTACCTCTAACCACAAATACGATTCCGAGATGCCTATTATGGTCCAGACAACAGCATTCGTAGATAACAAATTCTCCCACATAACAAGGAAACATGTAATCGATAACATAAACTAAACTCACTCACTCACTCATAACACTGGAGTCTATATCCAATAACTTCATCACACCCAATGCCTTCAATAGTGCCAAGTATAAGGAAGAGGTCCAATATTTCCAACAGATTGGCTTGGAAGATGTGTTTTAGATCGAGTCTGAACATTTTAGCTTTAATATATAGTTTGGAATTCTTTTTGTTTTCCATTGAATTCCATCTGTTGTGTTAGTAATTTTCAGGTTGGTATTTAACTTGACAATTTCAATTTGTAACTGTTCTTTATTACTCACACCAAGTGACTACCATTAATCCCATTTGACGTAGTTATCTTTACGACCATGCTTGTCACGTCAGAGACATAAATATCCTACACAGTTAACACAAACCATTTCAACGCACTGATTCAGTGTGTACCAATCTGCTGGACTCTTGTGCAGCAAACTGGATTCGGTATGTAGCGATAACTTGTCATAAGATGGCAGTTTGATATGGTGGGTATTTGTTGTGTTGCCCAGCTCCTCTGGTTACCAAGTGAACAGGGAATGTTCAGAATGTTGGCAGAAACAATTTCTCGGACAGCGTGGATGGATCATTGTCAGCAAATTTTGTTGTTTTTTTTTAATATGTTTCTGTATATATATTTTTTTCTTTTATGATTTCGAAAAAAATAGCTCATATTCCAACATATCTGACTTTCACAGACACATTGCAAAGTAATTTAAAATTGACACAAAAATAAGGTTGAGAACAAAGGCGTTTGGCAAACGTGTCTTTCTCAATGTAGGAACTGACAGATGGCACATACATATATCGTTAACGTCATTTTTTGTAGATATTCATCATTATACCACATAAGGTACAGTGATGCATATATAATCATTTTTTTAAGGTTTGTTATAAGATGGTTTTGGACATACCTATCAAATAAGATTTGTGCTAAAATCCAAAATGAGCAAATCAACTGCGCACATTGTGAGTAAAAATGTTTGCCGATTGTTTGGATGTCATTGAGGGCTGTTGCAAGAGACATTGGTTGCCATTCATCGACTTTCAGGCGATTGTCCAGAAAACCTCAGGAACCTAATGACGTCAAGGACGGTCAGGGTACAGGCAATCGACGAGTGACAACTCCTGGGTAGAATACAGCCCTTCTCAGAATCACAAGCTTACTCTGTTCATGTCAAGCAACGCGTTAAAACCTAGTGGCTTCCACATTGTCGGCTGTCCAAATCGCCTAAAAGAGCCAGACGGCCTATCATTTTTTGAGGACTGTATGCCTGAATCTTAAAAAGTTGTTAACGTCATACGACCACAGATATCAGCACTACAGCATGATTCACCTTTTTACCAGGGTTCACATCTCTTTTTGCGTTTACAATGGAAATTGTAATTTTCCTTGACCGTTATTTTTTCTATAGAGTATGTTAAACTGGAGGTCCTTGCCATGGCTCAGATAACATGTTGATACTGTGAAAGCTATAGAGTGTTGCGAGACATTGTTCCATGTGTATATTTTACGTCCAGTATAAACGGTTGTGTGTAGGTCAAGGTTTGGATGTATCTTGTTCCTGATATCAGTTCTCCTCATCCACCATGGTACTTCCACAGGATGTGCTGAAAGTTTCTGTTTGGAGCTCTTTCCTCTTCCTCCTTGTAAGTAACAACAACCAAATGTTCATGTCACAAACATCATATTTCCGACTACACAATAAGCAGAATATATAAATTTAATTATGCAATTTGACATAAAGTAAAAATCTATTTAAAAGTTGTACAATGAAAGACATATTCAGTCATTTTGCAAAACGTATTATTCACTCAGAAGAAAAGAGTCATTTTACAAAATTGGCTGAAAACCGTGATGGGTATTTGATTCAATTTTGTAACTTTGACCATGGCACTGAAATATCATAAACTTGAGTTCTGACATGCAAGTAAATGGAATACTTCCTAAGGGACCGTTCATAATTTATGGCTTAGGTGTGTGTGTGTGTGTGTGTGTGTGTGTGTGTGTGTGTGAGAGAGAGAGAGAGAGAGAGAGAGAGAGAGAGAGAGAGAGAGAGAGAGAGAGATGATGATGATGATTTATGGAGAAGCATGTACAATGTAAATGACCCCCCTATTTCTATGTACAAAATAAGTGACCCCCCTGCATGTCATGTACAAAATCAATGAACGGTCCCTAATTTGTCTGCAGGGAGTATTTGCTGGGACATTAGGATCAACTTTACTCGATCTCGAGAGTCTCTTCCAAGTGGGTATGTTGGAAATATCTAACCTCTTCCTTATACTTGCCACAACTGAATGTGTTGGGTGTCTGTTCTCCATGGCTGTGTTGAAGTTCCTGGATTCTAACCTAGTATTCATGATTTGCGTGAGCCTTCAGGGGACAAGTACAGTGATGTTTGCGATGACTTCACATCTATATGTTGCCTTTGTGGCCACTGGAGTCATAGGACTAGTGTCGTCGTGCTGCTTTAATTGTAAGTGTACATTTAAATGAATTGTATCATTGTTAGTTTGAGTGTCTAAGTTCCAAACCAAGAATCACCCAAGAATCGAAAGTAATGTTAAAGTCAAAATAAGGAATTTGCATCGAATATAATTTTTGTCAGTGATTTCTCACGTTATTAGATGTCCTCCAGCTGTCTATCTAAAGCTTCACTGAGGCTATGAATGTTTAACTGCGATCAAACAAATTCCGACAGTCAGTCAGTCAACATATTGGACTTCTTTGTGGTATTATTTGAAAGTCGTGTAGCTCCTTGAATGTGAGCAATGTTTCATTATGTACTCTCTACTTAAGCTGACCTCAAATTGGTGTCACCTAACTATGTAAGGTATGAATTCCCAATAATCAGTTCTCGAGTCTTGATTACAGGAACCAAAAAGGACGTATTCTTCCTGTGTGGTCTTCGTCTACAACTGTAATTCAATCACATCTTACAAAATTCTGCTAATGTGTATTCCAGATTTGAAGTCTTCATACTTCTTAAACTTTCTAAATGAACCCATTTACAAGTCATTTAATTCGTCAATAACCATGACATGAAACATTTTATACATTAAGGCTTTGTTTATGTAGTAATTTGTCCAAGATTTCCTGAATTTTGAGTGGGGATTTTAATCATTACCCAAAAGTTTATCCTAAATAGAGAAATGTAGATGTGGTTATGCTTACATTATCTCTTTTCCGTCTTTACTTTAGTCAGAAAGTATGGAATCATTGAAGATGAGTGGTACACATACGAACTGATAATCAAGCAACATCCGTATCAATGTTTCTATTTTTCAGGTGTGCTTTACCAATGCAACCTAGAATATGCTAGGCCCATTATGCATGGCCTGACCGTATCCACATCTGTAGGAGCCGTCATTGCCCCTCTCATGGCGGAGCCTTTCCTTGAACTTCAAGAAAGAAGCATCTCTTTCTCGCCACAACCCAGTGCTGATATATCTAACAGAACAAACTGCTCTACTGCTTCAACAAAGACTGAGACATTGTACGAACCTTACGCAAATGACACATCAAAGTATAACTTCCGTAACTCTACCTTGAGTGATGTACAATCAAATGTTCATATTCTCTACATAATTCTCGGTTTGATTCACCTGCCAGTTGTTTTTGGCGCTGTTAATTTGTTAATTTTGGAGAGGAGAGATAGTTGCAAATTCAACGCGTTGACAAAGGATGATTATACTAACGTGGAAAAACAAGAACCAATGCATAGACTGACTACCATCGTATTGTACATATGTCTTCTCTCTGCATATATGTCTACCGGTGGCATACCGTTTGCCTATGGTAGTTATTTGTCTGTTTATGGTGTGGGAAGTCATCTGCATCTCAGTGCGCAGAGAATGGCCATGATGACGTCAGTATTTTGGATGCTCTTCACCCTTGGGAGGATCCTAGGAACAATTCTTAGCTTATATCTGGGGCAGACAGTACTAATCTACGTCTGTCTTACTGGGGTGATGGTAGCAGCAGTTTCGGTAATGTTTCTAACACCATTTGGGGAAAGTATGGCTTTGGATTGGATCAATGGCAATAGGTCTCTTTTCGGGTCCTCTCTTAGCTGCCTTGTTGTCCTGGTGCAATACCTTCATCACTCTGACACCAGTAGTGCTGGGGATTTGTTCGTTAGGTGACGTCACTGGTGTATTCATTTTACAGTACTTTACAGGTCAAGTTATGGGTCATTTTGGGTTACATTGGTTCTTCTATTATATTATCTTCTCTGTCTTTGAGTTCGTGATGGTTGTTATTCTCACAGTGTTTAGTTGTTTTTTAAAGCAAAACATAGAATACAAGTAAATCAAGTGGTGATTCTTTTGGAGGTCCAATTTGACTTTAGGAGTGACTTTCTCTTGCAGGACTACTTTACATCTAGCATACACACAGGGGAATGGCGAAATTGATATTCATGTTGAACTGTGTTTGCTCTTTCTAGGTGGATCTGGCTTTAAATTTAGGAACGAAGGGAATCTTCTAAAGAGTTTCATGTTGGAGATGTGGAGTATATTTCCACACGTGACCCATCCGTTGTCAGATGCTTTTCACTATTTTAATTTGTACTATATGTTCCTTTTTTCGGTTGAACTTGTCTTCGCATGTGTTCACGGCGGGTGCCACTGGTGGGGTAGATACACCCATGCTTTTGCGAACATCTGGTACTGTTATTGTCACTGTCACTGTCACTCGGTACTGACCGTGATTTCTAAACACAGGCTTCTAATATAGCCGGAATCATGGAATAGACACACCTTTTCCAGATCATTCTTGAGGACTGCCTCGTTGGTGGACTAGATACTATCAGTATCACGCTCATCACATGGAAGACAACTCTCGAGGAGACAGGAAAACCAACATCAAACTTCACCCTCACATCCAACCACCATGTCCACTGGACCGGACCCAATCCCCATGCCTCCAATCTCCAAAACTACTACAAGTGATCCACGTCAGAAGGTTCAAAACGACTATCAAAAGAGAACCAATATCATTTCATCTATCAGCCTACCACCACTGGATCCACACCCAACCAACACACAGGAGCAACACACTACATCCAGTCACATCTTACGAGCTTCTTTCAAAGCTTGACGACCGCACTTCTGTTAACCCTATGTATCATTAATTTCAACCATAAACCTATGCTACAAAAAAAAATATTATCGTTTGCTTGATGAAGGTAGCTGCATCTGTAAGAAAACGTTGTTTTAAAAGAATAAAGATATTCAGTTAGACGTATCAACCTTTCCTTGATACTATTGTTTTGTTGGGGATTTTTAAGATATTGTTACGTGAGAAGAGGAAGAAAAAAACAGATTGAAATCATCCATCTGATGAAAGGGCTAAACCTCACAACGTTGCGTCTAGAGAATACAGAGGTTGAAATGCACGGCTGTTGTAGACACCTGGTGTCTTTACTGTTTTTCCAGTGGTTCATTCATATAATTCTCTCTGCTCGTTTGCCTTATTACGCCAAATGGCATCTGTATTCTCACAGCCTGGATATTCTTTGGTGTTGACATTTTATGTTTCTACCTCTAAATTACTTTGATCCTACAAACAACCTTTAATGTATAATCGCTATACACACTGGAATCCACATAAAATAATTGTACTTTCATTAGTAAGGTAGATTATCAGCATAACAGCATACATAATTTGAAATAATTTCAATAGGTTCTTTGTGCAAGTTTAGCATCAAGCTCTAGGAATATCAATTATGAGACATTGTTCAATAATCTTGAAATTCCATTGTATTGATTTACTCGTTGTAACAATTTGATAGCAAAGGATTCATAGTAACTAAAACTCTCCACCAGAAAGTATGACAAGAGTATGCAACAAAATGGTAATTAAATGGAGGGATACACTTATATTATTTTAATTCGAAAACTTATTACTGGTAAGTAATAAGAGTGAATATGCCAGATGCCAGATTCTAAATTTATTCATGTATAATGTATAAATTGCTTTTGTCACCATATGGCTGAAATATTGCTGATTTGACTCTAAATGTTTACTCACGCTCTCATATAGAGTAAACTCCTGATAAAACGAACATAGTTAACAGAGGTTTAAACAACTTACCCAATGTTAGTTCACTTGCTTTGAGGGGTGGTGGAGTGGTGGGGTGGCCTAGTGGTAAAAGTGTTCACTGGATAGCCAAAGGCCTGGGTTCAATTCCCCACATGGTTACAAAGTGTGAAGCCCATTTCCGTTCCCCGCTGTGATATTGCTTTAATATTGCAAATACGTGATGTAAAACCATACTCACTCACTCACTCACTTGCTTTGATCTACTATATTTTGAATATCCTGTCATTTGTGTCTAACCAGAATTTACCTTTGAAATCCTTATTAGCCTTTGATGAAGCTGTCAGTCTTGTTATCATAGATGGCGTATGTCCCTTACCTACACACTGAATGTCATGGACATTTGGTGAGCCATGTGACCTGATTATAGTTTCATTGCTGAAGTGGGGGTAATAGTCTTGGTACCACATACTGTGGCAGTAAGTAGAAAGCCAAACACCATGTTTACAGCACACACTAAAACTATGGTCATTCTTAATCAATGTATCCTTACCTTTGTGGACTCAGATGTGTGCGCGAGTGAGTTTAATTTTACGCTGCTTTTACCAATATTCCAGCAATATAACGGCACGGAACACCAGAAATGGCTTCACACATTGTACCGATTCGATTGTGGGGAATCGAACCCTGGTCTTCCGTGTGACGAGCAAATGCTTTAGCCACTAGGCTACCCCACCGCCCCACAGATGTGTGAGTGAGAGTTTGTTTTCATGTAACTTCGAACATATCATCTTAATTGTGAGAAAAAAGCTGATATTGTCATTCAACAGTTTGGCAAACACCACAAGCTACTGTACAGTGCTGACAAACTATAGAAAAGGTTTGTGGTGAGTGTTTGCTCAAAACTGATAGTAATAGGATCCTAACATGCCAAAGGGGAGCAACTCGTGACAAGCAATTGATGAGTCCTAAAAAGCTGGTCCATCCATTCTCCCTAAAAGAATAAACCTAATGGTATATCCCGTAACTAAAAACAAAAGATCATCAAAATGTTTCAATTTTATTTAATTTTTCTGGCATCATCGTGGTTCATTTTACTGGGGCTGCTTGTATGTTGAGGATGTTCCCCAAGCCTGGCTGTTGTCTGAGCTCCTGAAAAACATTAGAGTGAGTGAGTGAGTATGGTTTTACGCCGCTTTTAGCAATATTTTTTAGCAATATCACAGCGGGGGACACAAGAAATGGGCTTCACACATTGTATCCATGTGGGGAATCAAACCCTGGTCTTCAAATGCCTTAACCACATGGATACGCCTCTGCCACTGTATTTGTCAGCATAAAGACTCAATGGTTTATCATTTGAAATACTGTAAACGTACTTATTTTCGCGTGGTGCAATTTTCGCGGAATTGACAGTTTAGACTACATCGCGCAATCAGTAATTGCCGGAACTGCCAGCTGTCTCTTTGGCCGCCACTAATAGCAGTGAAAACAAACAGAGTGGCTTTACCTGTCAGGCGGCGTTTATTGCTTACTCACAGGAAATCCCTATCTGTGCGATTTACTAGTACACAGTAATCCGCTTACTCCCGGAAGAGATGAAAAACACATCAGTCTTATGTTCCGAATTCTGACGATTTGACGAATTAACTTATACTGTAGATGAAGCTCTTTGTGATTTCAAACAAGCCGGGTTGTTGTGAATGAGATGATTGAGTGTTAGTGACTATTCGCTTCATGATGTACTGGTGAATAAAATCTTAATGAATAAATAAATTACTGCTTTATTATTTCTTTCCGAAGTCGTTTCCGCGGTAATCTGTTTTGTATCAAACCATCTGTCATGTGACCAATTTCCATGGCGGCCACAACACACATTGCTGTTTTCGCTAATTGGCAATGGATTTGGCTCATTATTTAATTATGTTTTGGGAAATCCATTACAGCGACAGTTAAGTATGATCAGTCGTCATTTTAAGATTCCCGTTGATTTCTGTCTTCAAACGTGATGTGTTATGGTAACAACTCAGGGGCGAGCTTGGCTAGACTGAATGAATGACAGGTTTATTCGCGGTGTATAAATTTTCGCGCTAAAATGTTTTGCGCGAAAAGCGTGAAAATAAAACCTGCGCGAAATATAATACGTTTACAGTATATCCCCTGCTCAGCTCTGCATTGTTCTTTATTCACTGATTATAAATACTGAGTGTATATTCTCAGAAACTATGCCAGAAATGTCAATCAGTTGTGCACGTTTCCTGCTACCAGTGGATCAGTTAAAACATTCCCAGCTTCATTTCTTCAAACAACTTTGAAGGAAAAATGAAAGAATTATATCTGAGACTATATTTTACAGGCACAATATATTCCAACACTGCTCTATTTTTGTAGCAATAGTTTTCATAACATCATGCGTAACACATTGGTTCAGTTGACAGCTGTGGTCAGTTCTTTTCACTGAGGAACTATTTCATGAGGCACAATTGGACCTTCCCGTGATAGTGAGTTCAGGTTTAACAACAATTTATTAACAGCCATGTACCTTTCAAATCAAGTAACATCACTGAGAATATGGACTTCCCTGATCTTCAGCCTGAGAGGAAGTCCAACCAGGAACCTACCTGCAGTTTCTCTATCTTCTTCTGATATTCATCTCTGTGTTTCCTCTTACTGTCATCCTCGAAGAAATCCTGGAAACTCAGGAGCACTCGTATCCTCTTGATATGTCGACACGATTCTGTGGATTGAACATCAGAAGTGCCATTAACCCAATAAAGGTAACCCTACAGATCTACGCCACTCAGTGCATGATCTTCTTAGGTATTAATACCCAATACAGGCAACCCTACAGATCTATGCCACTCAGTGCATGATCTTCATAGGTATTAATACCCAATACAGGTATACTACAGATCTACGCCACTCAGTGCATGATCTTCATAGATATTAGTACCCAATACAGGTTACCCTACAGATCTATGCCACTCAGTGCATGATCTTCTTAGGTATTAATATCCAATACAGGTATCCTACAGATATACGCCACTCAGTGCATGATCTTCTTAGGTATTAATACCCAATACAGGTAACCCTACAGATATACGTCACTCAGTGCATGATCTTCATAGGCATTAATACCCAATACAGGTAACCCTACAGATCTACGCCACTCAGTGCATGATCTTCATAGATATTAGTACCCAAAACAGGTAACCCTACAGATCTGTCACTCAGTGCATGATCTTCATAGATATTAGTACACAATACAGGTAACCCTACAGATCTATGTCACTCAGTGCATGATCTTCATAGGCATTAATACCCAATACAGGTAACCCTACAGATGTACACAATCAGTGCATGATCTTCATAGGTATTTATACCCAATACAGGTAACCCTACAGATCTATGCCACTCAGTGCATGATCTTCTTAGGTATTAATACCCAATGCAGGTAACCATACAGATTTACACCAATCAGTGCATGATCTTCATAGGTATTAATCACGACCTAAACTTTAACTGATAGTTCATATTTTCTTGTGCAAATGCCACACCTTCAATAGAAGACAGCAATGAGGAAGTAGATGCTTGATTGGCATTTTAGAAGATGATATTTGATGAACATAGAGATTTTTTCTGGGTTACATCTTCTTTTTATTCTCGAGTACAACGTTTCAGGGCTTGTTCTGGCCCCATCATCAGTTTCCTGATGAAGATGTAACCCAGAAAAATCTCTATGTTCAATAAGGAAGTAGGGATGAAACGGTATACCACAGTATTAGCAGAGCCATTATATTTTGCTTTCGATTTGGTATACTGTAATGCAATCAAAAAATCTGGTATGTTCGGTTTTCGTACCATCATTTTATTAACCTTTTTAAACCTTTTCCAAAAGGTCTAGAAATCAAATCATTTTGTCACAGTCTATGCATTTCTTTTTTTATGTCAATTTTCTGCATTATGATCATATCTCATATATCGAACCAAAACACACTGAACCAAAGGCCTTGTATGGCAATACATACCATACCATGGAAAGCATACCGTTTCACCCCTATGAGGCAGTGGTATGTATTTGCCAAGTGACAATTATCAAAAAGGTTTTTGTTACCTAGTTTTGAACTAAGTGTTAATTACTGGTCAGTCTTTGAAATAAACTGTAGCCTATTTATGTTGTTATGTGCACTATAATAATGCTATGATATGTATTGTGATCTGTGTTACACTTTAGATCCTTGTGATTTGTGTATAATGAAAGCTACCATACACACCAGTGCACACATGAATTGTGTAAGTAAGTCGGCCTTCCACCTTGACTGATGAAGATTTGTGGGGGTGGGGGACAATTTAAAACCAGAATACAACAGTTTTAATAAACACAACCCCCATCCCATTCCAACCCTCCCTGGTGAGTGAACTGGGTTTCAATAAGGTTTTGGGCATAATACCAGTAAGATGACAGCGAGGGACACCAATAATGGGCTTCACAAATTATACCCATATTGGAAGTTGAACCCAGGCCTTTGGTATGACAAGCGAACCACTAGGCTCCCCCACCATGCCTATTTTCAAAGAATATGGTACAAATCACAGACTATGTTGCGAGCACAGTGCACCATGGCTAATACAGACTAAAACCTATTATGAGCAGCATGATGACAGAAAGTGAGTGAGTTTAGTTTTATGCCACACTCAGCAATATTCCAGCTATATGGCGGTGGTCTGTAAATAATCGTGTTTGGACCAGACAATCCAGTGATCAACAGCATGAGCAACAATCAAGTCCGACCACCTGATCCCGTAAGTTGTCTCTTACGACAAGCATGAGTTACTGAAGATCAATTCTAGCCCGGATCTTCATGGGTAGATGACAGAAAGACTTACTGTAGATCTGTTTGACAGCTTCTGGGTCAATGGGCGTGGCTATCAGCTCCAGGACAGACAGGTTCCGCAGCCCTGCCCGACACAGTCCTGTGACATCATCACTTGTCAGTTCCATCATGTGATCCAGCTCTAGGTACTGCAAGCGCTGACAACCTTGCACTGAAACATATACATGCGTATACACTCAACATTACTCACAAAGATGGATTATATTTCCATGATGACAGACTGCTTTGAAATACTATATCGATAAATTTTGCCATTTGTGCATCAGATTTGCTGTTACAAATAAGCTTCCACTACTGCTTTGAGGTTAACACTTGATGAGTACTATATGAGTACAGTGTGTGAAGCCCTTTTCTCTCAGTGACGTTCCCGCAATGATATTACTGGAACATTGCTAAAAGTGATGTAAAAGTTTGTTTTGGGGTTTTTTTTGGTTTTGTTGGGTTTTTATTCCATTTCAAGTTGCATGTACAGACAGAAGAGTGACAGAAGAGTGTGTTGGCAGTTACATCATCAAGTTATTACAAAATTGTCTACACATATGAGGGTGTACATATATAGATAGACAGGAGCTAGATGACAATGTTATAGCTGTATTGGACACAATAGGTTGAGTAAATCAACTGCATGTGTGCTAATTTAAAATGTCAGTGTACAGTGTTTAAGTGATGCCATTTCCTAGTAAAACAACTAAATTTATTATTTTTCATTGCAATAAACCTTTTGATATAGCATATGTCCTTAAGCAACATGAGAAATTCTGCAAATGATATACATTGTATCTTGCTGTTTAAGGCTTGAAGTACAGACTAATCTTTTGGCAAGTAGTAAAATGTGATTTACTACCTGGTTGTTTGAGGGCAGTCCATACATAATGATGAATTTAGATAGTGTCAGATTGGTTTGGAGGTTATGATTAAGGAATTCTTCAACTTTAAACCAAAAGCTCGAACAAATTGACACTCAAATAAGATATGTGATATATCTTCTAGGCGGTCTTACAAAATGTACATATATCATCATCAACGAACTTCATCTTAAAAAAGGGGCAGTGGGGTAGCCTAATGGTTAAAGCGTTGGCTCGTCACGCCGAAGACCCGGGTTCGAATCCCCACATGGGTACAATGTGTGAAGCCCATTTCTGGTGTCCCCCGCCGTGATGTTGCTGGAATATTGCTAAAAGCGGCGTAAAACCAAACTCAGTCAGTGAAGCCCATTTCTGGTGTCCCCCGCCGTGATGTTGCTGGAATATTGCTAAAAGCGGCGTAAAACCAAACTCAGTCAGTCAGTCATCTTCAAAAATTATTTTTTTGTATATGTTATTCTGTTTATAAATTTGTATTGAAAGTCTACGAGTTTACAGTCATTTGTACATTTCCTAATGTAAAAGTTACCCACTCACTCACTCAGAATCTGGGCCTTGTTAGTATGGACCACTATTATTAAGGAAACTCCCCTTTAAGATGATTACTCCTTACTTACCTAGTACTTCCTGCATATCACTATTTCATGAAGGTACACACAGAATGGCAGCCATGGTGGATATTGCTAAATATGATGGAATACTATGACTACAGGCATTCTTCATTCAGTTGTATATTACCAGCGACAGGCAGAGTGGTCATATCTGGATATGATGACAATACTACTGAACTACTGTTTCCACCCTGTCACACTGTGAACTAACTCACCAAGAGGAAGCAGACCTCCAATACTGATTTCCTGACCACCAATTCCAAGCTCCTGAAGATCAGGGTAGAACTTGGCAATGAGCATCAAACACTTGTTGCTGAAAGACTTGGGCTTCAAACTAAAATTAAGAAAAGAAAACATTGTACACATTCAATGATGTAGATATTAACTAGATAACCAAATACTGGTGTTTGAATAATGAAAGCGCAGTACAGGAAGCAGACACAGATATTGTATTCTTTCATAACATGACAACATGTACAATAAAATGTCAGTGTTCATAGTTATCTCAATGATACAGTATTCCTTTCACATATATTAAGAGTGACTGAGTGTGTATGGTTTTACGCCGCTTTTAGCAATATTACAGCAATATCACTTCAGGGGACACCAGAAATGGGCTTCACACATGTACCCATGTGTGGATTCGAACCCAGGTCTTGCGAGACGAGCGAACGCTTTAACCACAAGACTACCCCAAATATTTCAAGAGACCTTGGAACACTCAATCACTCACTCACTCACACACACTCTCCTCACTCTCTATTGAAATGCCTTCAGGATGATTCCTGTATTTTCTCGTCACTCTCTGTCCACTGCTCTACAAAGAGATGCTGACAACTTGGAGGGTTGACATTACCATGGAAACTGTGGTGGCACCACCAGTGTCGTGATCCCCGGGCACCCTCCCCCAATGGCCCAGAGCACCTCTGGCGACACAGGATCCGTGCTGCTGATGTAGTGAAGCTTCTCCAGGAGTCGGCCGTAACAGCTGGCCAGCCAGAAACACCTGCATCAGCATCAGACAAGTGATGGATACCTTCATCGCCATACTACATCATCATATTAATAACATACTTAGTTGTACCCAACTTACAGTATATGAGAGTTTCTCATTTAAGATAAACAAATATATAACAGTGAACTTTAGATAATCAAGTCTGGACCACATAATCCTCTTACCTCCTACCTTTTGTTTGTTTGTTGTTTAATGCCACACTCAGCAATAGTACAGCTATATGGTGGTAGTCTGTAAATAATCGAGTCTGCACCAGACAATCCAGTGATTTAGCATATATCGATCTACGCAATTGGAACACAATAACATGTGTAAACCATCACCCCTTACGACAAACATGGGTTGTTGAAGACCCATTCCAACCTAGATCTTCGCGGGTGGCCAGCCCTATGACAGTTATTGACACCGGTGTAGCAGGCCATTTCTTCCCCAGTCTAAACTTTCCCCGTGGAGTATCTGGCCTAGGCCAAACTTTCCCCGTGGAAGTTTTGTCCAAGGCTAGGCTAAAGTTTTTCCCCCCAGGCCAAAGTCCCCCAGCCCCCCTGTTTAAACTGGGACATTTTGTTCTGTTTTCTATGAAAATGGGGAGATTCTGGCCTAGTTAGGCCACTTCTTCCCACCACTCGCTATTATATCTGGCCTAGCTGGCAGATTCTAGGCCACTTCTTCCCCACCCCGCTATTATATCAAAAGGGGGAGATTCAGGCCTAGTTAGGCCACTTCTTCCCCACCCTCGCTATTATATCAAAAGGGGGAGATTCAGGCCTAGTTAGGCCACTTCTTCCCCACCCTCGCTATTATATCAAAAGGGGGAGATTCTGGCCTAGTTAGGCCACTTCTTCCCCACCATTGTTCTTATATCAAAAGGGGGAGAACAAGTTATTACAAACATCAAACAGCAGTAGTTTTGACTCAAATTTTGGTACACATTTTTGCCAAATAGTCCATTCTAGCCTCAGACTTGGTGTAGTGATTTGAATGCATACATGTTTGAATGGCATATATCTCCAAATCCATGTCTTTTGAATTTAGAACAAGGCACTATAGTGGAATGATAGATGATACAGCATTTGATATAGATATTGTGTTCTGTTGTTGTTGTTGTGTTGATATTTATGTCTGCTTCCAACTGTTAAGTTGATGTCGCTGACATGGATGCCATATTTAAAGCCATGAGTGAGGGAATAAAATTTCAATGGATGTGGACATCCAAGTAAAAACTGGGTATTTAGTTAAATTTTTGAATATAGTAATGATTTTGAGATAAGCCAATTTGGAATAGGTGGGAATAAATTATTAAATTATTGAAATATAAAGGTAAGTAAATGAGGTGAGGTGAGGTGAAATTTGGTTTTACGTCGTGCTTGAGAATATTTCGCTTATATGACAACGTGCATGCGTGTGTATGTGTATGTGCGGCTGCTTGTAGTAGCCCAGACTTAAGCTGGTTTTATAGTGCTAGCCCACTGAGATACCATGCAGCAGTGAAGCATGAATACCCCACTCAGACACATTATACTGACTCCGAGCCGACCAGTCCTTGTTGTACCCAATAATGCCGCGCGCCAGGCAGGGACCAACAAGTACCATATTTAAACGTCTTTTCGTATGACGCGGTCGGGGATCAAACCCGCGACCTTCCGCTCTCCGGGCGGACGCTCTAACCACTACACCGTGGAGGTGGTCGGTAAGTAAATGATAATGTAAAACAATATATGAGGCTATTGAAACAAAATGTGAACCATGTACATATTATATATGAAGATGAAGATGACCTGTAAATTGTTAATGGAACTTGACATCAGCATGAATATCTTATCAATGTGTTCATGTGAATAGCTATGTCATGTTTTCATTTCTGACTTTTTCAAGACGAACATAAACATGAAAACAAGGTTGGGGAGGAAATAGCCTAGCTCGGCCAGAATCTCCCCCTTTTGATATAAGAACAAGGGTGGGAAAGAAGTAGCCTTTAAAGTTGATTCAAGGGTGGGGAAAGTTTGGCCTAGGACAAACTTTCCCTGGGGAAGATTAAGCCTAGGGGGGGAAAGTTTGTCCTAGGCCAAGTTTCCCCAGGGAAGGTTTGGCAAGGGGGAAAGTTTGGCTTGTTACACTGGAACTGGGCTTCACTAAATGCACCCATGAGGGGACCAAGTTCTTCAGCATGGAGATGCTTTAACCACCAGGAATCCCCACACCCTAACTATTTAATAATAAGCATTTCCCATCAGAGACCTCAGATATTCAACAGTTTTCTCACTACGAAACACAATGACAGCTTACTTATCAGTGATATGATTCCCACAGGCTACAATGTTGAGAGAAATGAGACTATCTTGACAACTTTTCAACAGTTCTTCTAGACCAGTTTCAAGGCATGCCCTGAAAAAGAAACAAGATCCATTTAAAAATACAATATTCTTTGCTTTCAGATACATGAACAGAAACTAAAGAAGCAAATACTCTAACAACTGTTTCAGAAATCTTTTGTAGCAATAAGGCCGCCTTAAGAAACTTCAGATTAAAGCCTTACTCTTACCTAGTGAGAATCAAACATATTTTCCACAGGACAAGTCATTACTTACCCCCTGTTTCCTCCCAGAAAACATACTTTATAGGTTGACTATATATTATCAGTGTGTTTGGGTCCCAACAGCTTCAGTTTTATGACAAAATGTACAATTTTTTGAGTAATTTTAACAGCCTTTACAACACCCTGCCAATCTGAGATAAATGACTGATCATGGAGCAGTAACTGTCCCTCGAGAGATTTATTAATTATTCAGCAACTTCTAGTTGTGTACCTGGTAGCTCGGTGATATTCTTCTAGGGTTTCGTCATTGTTTCTTTGTCGACACTGCAATCCTGGGAAGGAAGGAAACACTTCAAATCTTATCTCAGTGAAGCTAATCATGAATGTGATGAAGATGACTGATACAACAGTTCCTAACTTAGTTATAATAGTATGCATAGAGCGACCATGATAGTCTGACATTTAGCATAGGACAAAGTCTGAGCAGGAACAGTTACCATGCAGTGGTCTATTGAAGCAGCATTCTATTGGAAAAACTCCTTCAATCACTGACAGTCTTACATGCAGACTACCTACTGAGCATGACCCAACCATTCATTAATGTTTTGACAGAGAAACCTCAACATATTTTTCAAATACGTGTATATTATTTGAAACAGAAATAAAAACTAAACAATCATTTCAGACCATTATCACAGTGGGCCATTTTGTTTTGACTTTGTTTAGCAATACAATCAGCATATATCTCTCTGTATCAAGCTTTTTTTGGTATTTTTAGTCAAATCTTCTCTTACACATTGGATACAGAGAATCATTTGTGTCCTTGAAGCTAGGGATTGACTTTAATGTACACCACTACAACAAACTGCACACACACTACAGTTAGTAGTACAACTAGCACTAAAGCATTACATACATGAAGCCACACAATCAAAACGTGTTAGATACTTAAGTTAATACCGGTACATATATCAACAAGCATATATGACAGGCAAGTGAGCTTTTACGTAGTCTGTACCAAGGAATATCACTTAATAGTGAGTGAGTATGGTTTTATGTCACTTTTAGCAATATTCCAGCAATATAACAGCGGGGGACACCAGAAATGGGCTTCACACATTGTACTCATGTGGGGAATCGAACCCGGGTATTCGGCGTGTTGAGCGAATGCTTTAACCACTAGGCTACCCCACCTCCCCTATCACTTAATAACAGATAATGGTAAAATAACCCTGACAGGGTAGGCTTAGGGTGAGTGAGTGAGTGGGGGTATAATAATATTCCAGCAGTATCAGTACTGACGACTAAAGTAAGGTCGGGAATGCTTTGAAAATGCTTTTTGGCTTCAATATCAATATGATGAATTTGACACAAGATAAAAGCACAGATATGATACATGTACGACCCTACCTAGTTGGATATTAAAGCTCAGACGTAAAAATGAACTTGAGGGGTGACTTCACAGGAGGAAATTTTGACGTTTTAACAACATTCGTAAGTACAAACTGTAGTTTTGAAATACAGACTATAATTATTCATATAGCCTCAAATAATTAAATTACATAAATGATTGTAAAATGTTTTGTTTTTTTGAACATCTATATGTGAAAAGGATGGAACTCTTGTAGTAGTTATATTCAAAATAAATACGTAAAAAAGTCTAAATTCAATCGCATAGATAATCTTGTTCACCCACAGAAGTTTCACTTTGTGTATGAGCATTGAACTGGCAACCTGCCACTTGATATCTCTGCAGAACAATTAATTTCAAATTTATACCAGTATTTCATACTGGAGAAACAAAGGGGAAACCTCTCAGCTATGACAGGGTTTACTATAGAATGTGTAAAGCCCTTAATTTGACATATAGTCAGGTTTACAAAGTTGTAAACAAATCAGTTACCTCAGGGTCATGTCAAAATCAAAACCAGGTAGGAAACCACAAACTGGATAGCTTTGATACATACTTGGTGTCACAAACGCGCCCGTGCAGTTTATAAACTGTATGAACATAAAATTTGATAACTGACGTGTGCTAAAATACAAGATGAGTTCAAAGATACAATAAATGTCTCGAAAACAACACTTATTGTAGCTCTGGTAGAAATTGGGTTCAGATACACCAAAATGGGAGATGACAGTGCTGTGTTTAGAGAAAAGTACTCAATCCTGTCCATGCGATCAGCTTATCTCAGAACAGTTGAAGAATACCGCAGTTTGGGGTTTAAAAAATTATACTGGGCAAAATAAGTTAGGGATATTGGTATTTTTATGTTTGATATGTTATCAGTGTGTCAGTGAATAAATAGATCATTGTTCCTAATTTTGTAACTTACATATATCCCTAACTCTTTTTGTCCAGTATTTATACCTTGATGAAACCTGGTGCAATAAAAATCACTCAACCGATCCGATGTGGCTTCCTTCAGATTGTTCTAAGGCACCAGTGTTACCATCAGGCAAAGGTAGACGCCTGATCATCTTGCATGCTGGTACCCATAGCAAGGGACTGATTGGGGGCTGTGACTTTGTTTTTGAGGCCAAGAAATCTGATTGATGATTACCATAGCGAAATGAATGGGCAGGTATTTTTGGATTGGTTGTAACATCAGCTTTTACCGCAGCTGGACGAACCAAGCGTTATCATTTTGGATAACGCCAGTTACCATAACCTGAGTGTCTCTGGTACCATCACACCCACCATGAGCAATCTCAAGGCTCAGTTGCAGGATTTTCACACTTCCTGTAACGTGCCTTACAGACAATCAGAAACAAAGCCCCAGCTCATGGAAATAATCCGCAGCACAAAAAGCCAATCCAGTACATTACTGACGAACTAGCTGCAAAACAAGGCCACATAGTTCTGCAGTACACCAGTACGGCACTGTGAGCTCAATCCCATCGAGCTGATCTGGGGTAACTGTAGGAATATTATTGCTCGCAATAATACCACATTCAAGCTTTCAGACGTTACAGCTCTTGTGTATGCTTCTTTTGCGAGAATTACCCCAGAAGCGGTGGCAAAAGGCTGAAGACCGTCTTCTCAAAATCGAGGACGAATACCGTCTGCGGGACGGCGTTAACGTCAGCCGAGTTGCACCTGTTGTAATTCCGCTAGAGTCCTCTACCAGCAGTGATACTGACACTTCATATTTTGAGACAGTCCCTGACATGCACTGCCTGTGCGTTACATGAACGCTGTCACCCTGTCTGCCTGCCAGGTGGGTCACAGTATAGTTTGTTTCTTTGAAGTGTTTCTACCATGGAATTTTTTCAAAGTATTTCGATATTTTACGAGTAATCATTGTGATTAGGGAATGGTACATCGTGATTACTCATATGCCATATTAGGTCGAGGTGGTATGAATGATTATATATGAGTTTTGAATCTGAAATATCAACCATTATCAAATAATTGCCAAAAAGCATTTTCCAAGCATTTCTGGCCTTACTTTAGTATTTGGTACCAATGCTAAGAGCATGAGAAATGATCTAGGCCATCATGCATGATGTCATACATCACGGTCCATTACGGTTAAGCATACAAAGTGAGTCAGTGAGTTAATTTATCTTAAAACTTTGCTTCAGCTGTATCCCACAGTGCCAGCCTATTGTGGGTGGACGGCCCAAAGTTTATCACACTTTGGTGACATCAGTGCATAGGTGCAGTTCAGACAAACCCAGAAAAAATGGATTGGGTAAACCAAGATTCGAACCACAATAATCAGTGTCAGGAGTGACCAAGGGATGCAACTCTGCATCACCTTAGAAAACTGGGCCACCTGTGATACTGGTACTGTCAGAACCCCAACTCACATTCAAGGAATTCATTAGTACATATATTCACATACGGTTATTTTATACATAAGTATTCAGCTGTGGTAAGGCAAAACAATCTTCAGTCCATGATCATGTCTGGTTCTTTCATCCCTTTAAATCCTTATGTCTAAAACCAATAATTCTAGTGTCCAAGCAGCATCATTTAGCTGATTTCAGTGCAACTTATTTTTGATGAACGCCTCGGGGGAAATATTGGGAAATACATATTGCATACTAAATGGAAGTTCTGCTGAATCATATCTAATACTGACAGAAGCAACAGCAATATTTCAAGTATATGACAGCAGTCTGTAAATAATCAAGTCTGGACCAGACAATCCAGTGATCAACAGCATGAGCATCGATCGGCGCAATTGAGATACGATGGCATGGTTTAGCCAAGTCAGTGAGCCTGACTACCCCATCCCGTTAGTCGCCTCTTACGACAAGCATGGTTTTCTGAAGATCAATTCTAACCCGGATCTTCACGGGTCGGTCTTAATACAGAGAGGTATCATATCAGAGTATGTACTGTAAATTAAATGAGACACAGGTGTATAGGAGACTTATGCTTTTAAGTCATTGACACCGACCAAACCTTTTCCCTGGCCTTTAAAAAAATAGAATGATCATTTCATTATTTCAAAGTTTGAACTGTCCTAAAGCTTTCAGCCAAGCATGACTACATTTCCATCATTAAGTACAAATATCTCTGATATCAAGTCGACCATGGACTGAAGATTTATGTCAACAGAAACACAGATCACTTCACACACATCTCACCATGCTGGTCAGCTCCCTACAACAAAACACACTACTAGTCACAGGCAAGTCACGAACAGACACTTACACACTCTATAAGTGTGTAACGACTAGTTGATACTCTGTGCATTTAGATACTCTCTACGAGTATCATATCAGGAGTTTATATAGTAAACGTGTGTGTATTGTGTTCCTATTATATTATGTTGGAATGTCACCAGGGTTTTCCTGTATGAAATCACTTTATTTAATGATTGTGTATCAGTATCTTACTTTGGAGACATATATCCTATCACTACCTTGATATCTAGGCAGTAATAAGAAAGGAAGTTGAAACTTTATTTTCCTCCTAAATTTGGAATGTCATTTTGGCAGATCTGTGACAGTTTGACGCTGCCATAGTTCACAGCTCCATGTTTCCTTCCACAGCCGTCAACATTTAGCAGCTGTACCGTGTTGTGTCTGTTTGCTGTTGTTTAATACCATGCTCAGCAATATTCCAGCGATATGATGATAGTCTGTAAGTAATCAAGACTAGACCAGACAATCCAGTGATTAATATCATGAGTGTCGATCCATAAAACTGGGATCCACTGACATACATCAACCAAATCAGCAAGGCTGACCACCCGATCCCGATAGTCGCCTCTTACAACAAGCAATGGTTACTGAAGATCAATTCTAACCCGGATCTTCACGGGTCTGTATCTAGTAGTGTAGTTCAGCTGTGGTCTTTGTCAAGTTTATCTTAACTGTCACTGATCAGTTCTCATTTTCTAAGTAAAGACCAATCTATATTTCAGATTCTTGAACAAGCCAAATTATTCTATTCTGTATTCTATCTACATCATTCAAACATTTCATGCAATGCATCATTTGACAATCATGAAATATCAAATCCTACAAAATTAATGTACTTCCCTGCATTCATTTAAAGAAATCTAAAACCTTTAGGAAAAATTAAGAAAATATGTTTCAATCACTTTGGTATTTAATGCCACTCCTTGCTACAGCTAAACCAAAGGTTGTCAGGGTACTAAGGTACCTTATAAAACAACCCCTGACTGGTGAGGATGATCCTACTGACCTTCTAGGGTGAGATGCTGGAGCCGTGAACACCACTGGGAAATGGTAACCAGGAACTGAAAGTGATGGCAGAAACACACATTCACACATGCAGTGATGACATCATTCTCCATTAGCCATGGTATTAAATCTCCTCTTGGTCTCTTTCAATACAAGTTTGTAAAGCCCATTTCTCAGGAGTCAGTAAGTTTTCACACTGCTGTTAGAAATATACCAGCAACATCACAGCGGGAAACATCAGATATGGACTTCATGCATTGTATCCATCTGGGGAACTCTTTAACCAACTGGGTACACCACTACCTGTTTTCTCATGAGTGCCCCCTTTCCATTAGGGTGAAATGGTATACCGCGTTATTAGTAGAACCGCGTTATTAGTAGAACCACGGTATTTTGCCTTCAGTTCAGCAATCCAGCAATACAGTATTACTGTCATTTTATTAACCATTTTAAACCTTTTTCTGAAATGTCTAGAAATCGAATCAGTTTGTCAAAATCTATGCATTTCTTTGCTGGGCGGCCACTATTTTCCAGAAAGAAATTCTCATATACCGAACCGAAACAGGCCGAACCGAAGGTAAGACGTAATACGTACCGTGGTAAGAGCATACCGTTTCTCTCCTACTCTCCATCATCAAAATGTTATTACAAAAACATGGACCACTTTCTACTAATCAGATAGCTTGATGCTGGTACTGTCATGAACAGAAGTTTCTTTTAAAGTTAGAGGTATCATCCCCAGACAAAATTTGAAGAGATCCAGGGTATTCATAAAGAAATGGAGATATTAATACTTGACTAACTGAGAATGTGTTGTGATGAACCTAGGAATGGTTTTCTCTACAACTGTACATTGAAAAGAATAAGAACTAAACTGTGAATTTGTGAATTGTAACTGATTTCCTAAATGCACAAATCCAAATGCAAAGATGTATATGAATTGGTGGTCAATGACATCATTATCTTCAACTTAGATAATCACTAGCAAAATACGGAAATTATCTATGCATATCATGCACTCTGTGATTCAATGTCACAGTCTTAAGCAATGTTCCAGCCATATGGGGGACAAACCAAATGGGCTTCACACAATGTATTCCAATGGTGCAATAGAGAGTGCTTAATCCCACATACGCATGCACTCAGAGAATGTTGATCATGCCAGTGTGATCAATGAAAAGTGAACGCTAAATTTTGAAACAAGACATCAAGTGAATGTGCAACAAATGACGAATCCTTCATGCATATAGCAAACAGTCTCAATGTGTACCAAACTTATCCTATAATTTGATAACTAAAATATTACATACCGAGGATGAGATTCTCTCATTCTTCAAAGTCACACGCTTCCAAAGATCGGGATGTCGACAAACATGTTTCCATTCCCGACACACCAAGGCCATATGGCTTAGTGTCTTTGTATCCAGGTAGCGAAACACACAGTAGAGCGCTACACGGCGCCGTTTGGCAGCCTCATGCCGATGTCCACTCAGTCGACTGGTATCTGAAGCTGCCTCACTGCTATCTGCTCGGACAAACAATGTGTGTACAACCGGTGATGAATATCACATGCATGCAGTTCTTTCTGGGCAGCTATTCTAATCCAGAATTTCCAGATCCAAGAAAACAAATAATCATGTCAATTTGCAAAGGAAGAACTTATCAAAGGAGGTGATATACTCAATCTTGACATTTGTTTTGTTAATGAAAATATCCACAATAAATCTCATCCATCTGCACATGGATTGAAACAGGTATCTGAATCTGGGCCCGTTTCAGAAAGCTATCGTAGCACTACGACTGTCATATGTTACAGTATAGAAGGTATGGCGGTGGTAGCGCTACGATAGCTTTCTGAAACAGGGCCCTGAACTGAACGTCAGACAAACCACTGGTTGATGATCAACAATTCATGCTATCAGATGACACACACACAGCCAGCTCAACAACTGTGACCTCTCAATCCCAACTAATTACTCTTATGACAAGCTCTGAAACCCCAACAATGGTATGACCTAATTGGGAACAGAAGTAAAAAGACATTTGTACGCTTATTACATATCTCACCATCAGCATGAACTTTTGGGGCACTTTTCCGACTAGCACTTCCGCCCCTTGGCTGGGCCTTCTTGTGGGTGAGGACCTTGTTCTTCTTGGAGAACTTATGGCCCTTGGTTGGCTTGAATGGTGTACTGAATCTCTCCAGATCTGACTCAAAATCAAAGTCTGTGCTCTCTTCTCTGTAGGGAGCTGCTGAAGCTCCAGGCTTGTCCAGAACATCATCCCTTGAACACTCCTCATCAGTTGTGGCATCATCAGCAAAGGTGGCTCGGAGAGGTTGAGCCTGTTTCCGAGGAATATTGTCATACTTTGCCAGGTCATCCGAGTCAAAACTGTGTGAGAAAGTCAGGTTGTCCTTACATTCAGCTTTATCAACATTGATAGCATCATTGCTGTCTATGCCGTCTAACTGCACTCCATCAGGCTTATTGGTTTCCGAAGCATCTGACAGCAATTCACCATGCTTAATGACATCAGGACTGTCCATAGCATCTGACTGAGGGCGAATTTGCACTTCATCATGTTTGATGGCTTCGGGTGCATCTTTTACACCTGACTGCAACTGTTCATGATTGATGGCATCATTGCTGTCTATGCCGTCTGACTGCACTCCATCAGGTTTATTGGCTTCAGATGCGTCTGTAGTATCGGACAGCAGTTCAACATGCTTCATGGCATCAGGGCTGTCTGTAGCAGGGCTGTCTGTAGCATTTGACAGCAATTCACCATGCTTCATGGCAACAGGACTGTCCATGCCATCCGACTTTGGATGAACTTGACCTTCATCCAACAGATCATAAGGTTTGGTGTCTGGACTGACTCCTGAATCAGACAAAGATAACAAATCATGGCCCTCTGTTATCCGATCTTTATGATGTTTCTCTTCACAAACCTGTTCTTTGTCAGGTTGTTGACAATTCAACTCATCTTGCAGAACTGGAGTAACCTGCTTTTCCTGATTGACCATTTCTTTTATCCCTCGCTTCTTGACACATGGCTTCCTCCTTGGAGAAAGACTCAGAGATTCAGATGATGAACTAAGCAAATCTAGCTTCCTTGACATTCCATCTAGCGACATTTTGGGACGTGATCTAGACTTAGGAAGTATCGTCTCTTCAACCACCTCATTTTCATCTCTGACAATGGGTCTGTGTTTTGGAACCTTTCTTGCTGTAGCAGTATAAGAATGTTGTTTTGTTGGTTCCTGGGCCATGTTAACCACAGCACCATCAGTATCAATGGAATCTGCCCTTTGAAACTTTGATGTGGAACGTTTTACTGGCGACCAGCTACTGGAGGAAAGATCATCAGAAGAGTCAAAAGCATACCTGGACTTGATGTTTTCTCCAGATTTCAGTTCATTGTGAATTATATTATCACCATTCTCTGCTAGTGCCCTGTCCTTCTCGTATACAGGCAAAGATGTTTTTCCTTGACTGTTGTTCAATTCACATGTTCTATTCGAAGCAGTTTTTGTATCTAGCTGCTTTTCCTGTATTCTGCTTGTAGCACTTGCTGGAGATTTCTGTTTTGTTCCCTCATCATCTTCTAAGTACTTCATCATCTTGTCTCTCACTGACATGATATCACTAACCATTCCTCCCTTATCTCTCCTCAGGTCAGAACTAGTTGTTCTTCTACCCATGTCATGGCCTTTTCCACTTCTAACACCACTTTGACCTTTAGATGGAGCTGCTGGTAATCCCTGATACGATGACTCCTCATCTGTCTCTGCAATCTCCTCCAGAATCTGCCTGTGACCTTCTCCGCCTTTCGCAGGAGCAGGCTGGGAGCCAGAGCCTGACAGAATCAAGGAGGAGTCTACATCACCTGCTGTCTCACTGCCAGACGGACTCAGACGGAAAGAGTCCAGGTCTTCTGAGGCATATGTGGTGTCAGCCTGATCTTCGTCCCACATGATTCCATTTTCATCAATGGAAAGCTCCAGACCCGCTGATAACTCACTATCTACCGATGTATTTCTGGAACTTTCAGCAAATGCTGCCATCTTCTTTGACATTTCTGAATAGAAAAACAGCAAAATATGAAACTGTACTGAAAAGAATAGAGGTTGCAGATCAGTTCATTGTAACATTATCTTTTAGAATATCTTATTGAGGTGCCGACATGGAAATTTACACCACCTTTATTGCTCCTTGTTGGCTGAATGATGCCCTTCACTGACGTTTCTTGAGCTTGTGGCTGCATCTGTGAACAGAATACACTACTTTACCATAACATGAATCAGCAAGCATTTTAAGATCTTGAATGGCCAGGTCCAGACTTGTTGCTGAGTTGACTTTATTATACAGACAAAACTCAAACTCTACATGTAGATTGAGACAATGTTACTTTTTGGTCCTTGAAGAAGCTCTTCTTGCACTAACATTAAAATAAAAAACTAAAAATATCAGACACCTATGCAGACAGAGCTGATGCATGCATTTAAACACCTTTATTTTTCCAATGTCAAGTGTGAAGTTCTGTGCAGGTGATATTACAGTCATCCCACCATGTTCAGGAATATTATATATACTTGATGATAAGACATATTACTAGTAATTCCATATATTTCCAATGGTCCTCATCCAAAATTTTTGACAAGTTTCCTAGTACATGTGTTCCAGTGATTGTAATCTTCCAGAGAGACAGTATCTACAGTAAAAACGGTTTGGCTAGAAAAGGAATATCAGTGTTGAACACTATCAATGATTTAAAAACTGATAATGTATGTCACTAACCTTCTGGGTGTAGGGATTTTAATCTCTGAAAGGTCTTGTATGGAGACTTTCAGAGATTAAATACTTTACACCCAGCCTGTGATGCATGTAACAAATTTATAATAACAAATTTAAATTACTCAAATCATTTACTCATGAAATTATTTCATATTAAATTTAGATTTGTTACCAATGGAAAGTTAAAAGTAGAAACAGCCTCAGTCATGACAAGACAAGAAGTGACATAACACTGAACATCATGATCTCTGTACATACAAGCCAGTTGATTTGGCAGGATTTTATTAACTGAGTCACTTGAAAATCAGAGAGTATATTATGAAATATCTGCCACTGTACCTGTCTGTGAAGCATGTGTGGGTGAGGCAGCAGCACCCCATCTTCTGTCACATGCCCATACTGGTTGTGGTGGTACAGGGCATCACCTTGAAACAGCCTGTCTGGTTGACTGTAATACTGTAAAGTGGGATCTGAATACCCCAACCCGGACACGCCAGCATAACCCCCAGCATACTGACTGTATGGCATCGAGGAAAGTGTTCATAATTCTGTCTGTTACTTAACATTGGCTGCAAAGTCACATGAGGAAATGCTCTTTCTCCATCTCCACTTAGAACCATGTTAGGCTGGAGATTTGTCCTGGAATACATCTGTGGCCAGTGGAGGCCTGCAAGAGGGTTTGAAGAATATTGGTATGATGGTGACACAGATGTTGGATAAGAATCAAACTTTGATGCAGATCCTGATATTGGCTGAGACCCAAACTTTGGAGGGTCAGTCAGGTTCTGGTCATAGAACTTGTTCCTGATGACCATCCCAGGTTCTGATGATCTGTATGTTGACAATGACTTGGACACTTGTTCCCTCAATGGTGACACAGTGTCTTTACTTGCAGGAAGACCAACAAAACTGTCTGGAGACTGTGGATGCAGGTATGAAGAACTGTCAACCTGTCTGGAATCTTTCTCTTCAACTGCCCCTGCACCTTCTGATCTGCCTGTTGGGATCTTCTTGACCTCAGGCTTGTCAAGCTTCAATCTTGGCTTGATAGAATCCCGGAGTCTCTGTATATTTTCTCTTGAGGAACTTTTATCAAGATCTGTTGTCACTTCTTGTAGCACTTTCTCAAGCTTCTCGTCAGATTTTGACCTAGCCTCTGTTATCATGTCTTCTAATCTATCAATTCTGTCTGAAAGCATTTTGTCACGAGAACTGTCACTGTTTTCCTTTCTAACCTGGAACATAGATTCACCTCGACTTTCTTTCATTCTCCTGTTTTCCAGTGATCGCCTAGTGCCAGAAAGGTCTGCCTGAGGTGTTGTTGGATTTCTTTCTGACACGGCACCTGTTCTCAGCCTTTCAGTACGACTGTCATACATTCTTTGTGAGGACCTTGTTTCCCTTCCTACTGATGGAGAATGGGGAATGTGATCTACAGCATTAAGAGTTGATCTTGGATTACGAATACGATCAAAACCGAATGTTTTGGGACGCCAAGTAACACTGTCCCTTTGCCTGTTACCCATCACATCCTGTTGCGAAGTAGAAAGGGTATTCCTCTGTCTAGCATCAATTTCCAGACCTTGCCATAATTTCTCCTCTCTTTGTCCTTGACCTGACATAATTCTTGCCAGAACTGCAGCTCGAGCTGAATGAGGATTACTACTGGAATGTCTTTGCTTTGGTTCAATGTCAGAGTCACCGGAATCTGTGTCAGTGCTGGATGTCAGATGAAGACAGTGTCTACACACAGCCCTTGGCTTCTTCAATCTAACTGGCTTCTTTGGAGTGCTGGAATGGATAGGAACTGGACTCCCTTGGAGTGGAGAAACCCTTTCTTGTTCAGATACACTATTTAATTTGGAACAATCAGAACATTTAACATTTGTTTGTGCTCCTTCTGCATTTGCTGCTTTTCTTTGAATGCTTAGTTCCTTTTCTTCGTCCAATTGCAAGACTAAATGATTATTCTCATTCACAGATATCTTGCATCCATGACGTAATTTCTCATCTAAACCTGTTGGATGTTTGTTCGAACCATTACCTACATTCTCTTTAGGTCTTTCACCCAATCTGTCTGCACCTTTCTCTGGATTTGTCTCCTTACTTGTATCCTGGTCACCCGGTAACTTATCTGTCTGAGTAGCCATTTCGGACACTGTCTGGACACCAATCTCTGACACAGCATGTCTCTTTGGAGCAACTTCATAGCCATCTCTGACTACAGACCCTGGTTTAATCACTGTTGTTTGACCACCAACTGCACTTTTGTCAACTGAAGGCTTCTGAAGTTGTAGCTCCCCATCGTGAGCCTTTAACAATGGAAGCCTCCTAGATCTCTTGTCCTGGTGCTCTCTGGAAGTGGAAGGGTTGCTAGGTCCATGAGATGTTCCTTCAGCTGACCTGGTGTACAAATGACTATCATCTGTTGGTCCTGAACGACCTGCTTGCCTGTCTACAGGAGGCAGTGTCCTAGGAATGGTCTTGTTTCTGGGTGCTGCTTTTGGAGGCCCTGTTCCTTCCCTTGGTGTGCTGATAAGAAATCAACATTATTAAAATCACACTTCAATTATTTCCCTACCAGTGTTCAAAACTCAGACAAAAACTGACATACCACTTCAGAAGTAGGAATGTTTTCAAATAATATTGTCCCGCAAGTCACACTCAAAAGAGTGTGGATGTTGGAATAACTGATACCATTTATATGGAAACATATATATATATATGTATATGAGATATATCTGATACTTCTCTTCTGCTAAGAAATACAATTTCTCGGTCAGTCAGGTATGGCCCTATTAGTAAACGAATTTGAACTACTTGAACAAACAGATTTGAAATTCATTCTTTTTGTCCAGGGAAATGGCTTCTCTGAACGTGCTTATGATGAGTGATGCACACAAGTCAGTTGAGCTAACAAAGGGCACATTACATGCTAATACAAACTTCCTCATCACAGTTAGATCATCTCACCTCTGTGGATGATCAGTGTAGAGGACTGGCTCAGTTAGCGTGTTGTGTAGTGCTGCAGGTATATGTGTCGATCCGATGCTCTGCAACCAAACAGACATTTCAGTCAGCCAGAGTGAGTGAGTGAATATAGTTTTATGCTACTTTTAGCAATATTCCAGCAATATCACGTCGGGAAATGGGCTTCACACAGTGTACCCAATTGGAGAATCGACCCTTTTCTTCAGCCTGACTAGCAAATGCTTTAACTACTGGCTATCAAACAGCCCCAAGTCACCCAGAACATAGTGATTAGACACATCTTGTTTAAGTTTAAGCAAATCTCATTTGATCATCTGGGGGGATGAATCTAGGATTATTTTTTTCATGTGCACAAAAATAACAACAAAATATCTCTTGTCTGCTGGTTTCACACAAAATTGTTCACTTGGCATGTTGGATCATCTAAAGGATATGTTTTCAGCATAAATATTGTTTCCTTTCAAAGAAAATATCCTAATCCTTAAGTGTTGACAGAAAATATATTCTGCCAGCAAATATCCCAGACCCTCTAAAATATTAAATGGACGATCCCATTGCAGAAATTTCAAGGGACAAAACCTGGGTTTACTATTTATGTAGAATTATAGGGATTACAGCTTTTTCCCACAAAAAAAGTCATACTACCAAACAAAAATGAATCATGCTAACAATTTTTACTTGTTATTTTCAAAAATGTATTCATATAATAAATAATAATAATAATAATAATAATGGACATTTGTTATGTGCTATAATCCACACACTTGTGCATGCTCAAAGTGCAGGGGGAAGAGGGAGAGAGTCAGGTATATACAGAGGAGAAAAGGTAAGTCTTAAGTCGTGATTTGAAAGCTGTCAGAGAATCAGAGTCTTTGATGTGGACTGGAATTCCATAGTCTTGGGGCTGCATGAAAGAACGATCGTTTACCAAATGAGGAAAGTCGAAAAGTTGGTACAGTAGGTAGGAGCTGGTTCTGAGATCGAAGAGTTCTGACTGGTGTGTATACAGCGATCAAGTCAGTGAGGTAGGATGGGGCTTGGTTGTGGAGGCATTTGTAGACAGTACAGAGAACTTTAAAGTTGATACGTGATTCAATTGGGGGGGCAATGAAGTGATTTGAGGACTGGAGTGAGTGAGTAAGTTTGGTTTTACGCCGCTTTTAGCAATATTCCAGCAATATCACGGCGGGGGACACCAGAAATGAGCTTCACATAATGTACCCATGTGGGGATTCGAACCCGGGTCTTCGGCGTGACGAGCCAACGCTTTAACCACTAGGCTACCCCACCACCCCTTGAGGACTGAATTAATGCGACATGATTTTGACTAATGAAATGATGCGGGCAGCCGTATTCTGTATTGTTTTCTTTTTAAAAGATCTGATTTTATAATATGGCATGTTCATGAAAAAAAAAAAGAGTGAGACAAGACCCTTGCAACATATCACTGAAGATATCACACATAATGAATGTGTCGGGGTTCTTTTAAGGCAAACTATTTTTCACGAATATTGTTATCTTATCAAATGATTAAGCAGGACTTTATTTCATACACAAAATGCCTGTTGAATGTTTTGTGGCTATATTGTCCTACAAATACAGTAAACTTAGTTTTATTGTACATCACTGTAAACCGTTTTCCATCATAACACACAGCATGTCTGTTTGATGTGATACTGATGTCATGCAGTAGGTGGATATTTACCAATTTCATACAATCTTAAAGCATAGGCAGAACGCTGCCAAACCTACGAGTCCTATCAGGGTGCACCATGGATTTGAACCAATGATCAGTTTCTCACTTGACTAAGGGACACAACTCTGTACTGCTAATTATGGCATCTTAAACAGGTTGGCCATTTAATGACTGCTATCTAAAACAAGGGGAAGTGGGGTAGAAAAGTTTTTTAAATTCTTTGACTGTTATTTCAACTATGACATCACTCAAATATTGCTAACAGCAAACACTCAAACTTAAATGACAAGTTTTGTAACAAGTTTTGGTTATTTATTAGCAATAACAATTCTTCCAGAATATTTCAGCATATCTGAAAAAATATGGTCAAAAGAATATCCAGATGTTGTTCCACGCTGACTGAACTAAATCTAACCTAACACATCTGTCTTGTAACATAAGCTTCAAAATAGGCATGAAAAATGACATCATCTCATTAAAATCAATGTACGGTAACTCAATACTGAGGGAAAATAAGTTGACATTCCTGGTGAATGTGACACGTTAGACAGCTGTTGTCAACAGACCAGCCCCCAGTCGCCATGTGTGCAATACAACACATATATACACAGTGTGTATGACACATCTGCATGGGCGATACAGGTGCCATGGACAGGATATATAGTTTATATCAAGAGGAGTGTGAATGTTTGACAATCAATGCTAGAGGAAATTACGAGAGAAATTAGTCACTAGAGCTGTGACGATATTTCGTAGTATCGATAATGGTGATACTTTTTTTGATGATAAATATATCGATACTTTTTTTCGTATCGTGATATGTATCGTTGACCTTAAAATTGTTAGTGTTCACTAGAAATTGACGTTTATGTAAACATTTACACTGTTACTTGCTATCAAAATATACTTTGTAAAAGAAAATAACTAAACTAAGTATCGGGTATATTTGTTAAACCTGATACAGAAATTCACTGCATGGCTTGGGGAACAGGTTGCAAACAATAGAAAGGTTTAGCTATTGATTATGTGTCACAATCAATACAAACATGTTAAAATATTTCATATACAATTGCTATTTCAAACCTTCCAGTCCAACAGCTGTTAATTCAAAACATCAGGCTCACCTTGTGCAAAATATACTTGATACTACCCTACTGTTGGTCTGTGCTGAAGTATTTCAGCAATAACACTCTCAATGCAGAAGTTGCTCTGTACAGCAGGGTCCATGGTTTTAAGTGATTTTGTTTGTTACTGTTTAGAAAATGTATCATAATATAGCTACTTATTGGATATAGAAAGTCTGAGATATAGGTAAAGAGATATAGGTCTTGCCACTTGAAGATCACATGTAGATACGATTATAACAAGCCCATAATAATATCCTGGCATACCCAAGGGATGCAACTGTGTATGGCAAAACATAGCGACTTGGAGTACTTGGCATTCAATGCCCACTTACCAAAGGTTCTGAAACTAGTAACTTTGTAGTGTTACCACTATTGAATTTCTTTATATCCTTATATCCTCGAGAAGAATATTCAACTATGGACCATATATTTACTCTCAACAGTATTATCCATAAATATCTGCGGAAGAAAGGGGGAAAGTTTAATTGTCTATTCGTAGACTTTAAGAAACTGTTTGATTCTGTTAATTGATCAAAACTGTTATATGTACTACTACAGTCAGGTATACATGGCAAACTCCAACGTCTTTTACGTAATATATACACCAATGTGAGAGCATCTGTTAGGACCAGGAAGTTTCAAATGAGTGATATATTTGATACATATGCCGGAGTGAGGCAAGGTTGCATTCTATCACCTGTACTTTTCCTGTTGTATGTTGAAGAACTTGTTAAGGAAATGTTATCAAATGATACGAGAGGTGTATTTATTAATGAACATATCAGAGATCTTGCAATAATGCTATTTGCAGATGATGTCGTGATTCTTTCCGATTCTGTTGTTCAGTTACAATGCAAGATAGATACAATATTGTTTGAAATGGGGTCTTCAGATAAATATTAGTAAAACTAAAGCAATGTTTTTTAAAAATGGGGGTAAAATCTCTAAAAGTGAAAAATGGTTCCTTAATGGCCAAAAATTGTAAATGGTATCATATTACAAATATTTAGGTATTATATTTTCTTGTAGAAATATATTCTCCAGAGCCTGTGAAACATTATCTATGCAAGCTGAACGAGCCCTACATGTCATAAAGAAATTCATATGTAAATATAAGTATTACCGATCCATGCACCATTTAAACTGTTTGATGGAAAAATTCAACCAATTTTGTTGTACGGCTCTGAAATATGGGGCATTAACATAAACAAGAATATTGATAAGGTATATTCAGAGTCCCATTTCACAAAGCGATCGCAGCACTAAGGTGATCGTAACTCCCATACTTTAACATAGACTTACGACAGTCATACTGCTACGATCGCTTTGTGAAACGGGCCCCTGGTTATTTACAGGGCACCACTATAGCTACAGCATAAAAGTCCTTCTTTCAGAGACACACTCCATACCTGTGACTCTTCACTTGCTGCCCGTACTTTTCGCTTCAGGGCCCGTAACTCTTTCTCTGCCTTGTCGGCTCTCTCAATCAGCTCAGTGATGAATTTTTCCAGTTCCTGACGTGCAACTGATTCTTTGGCTGCCGTCGTCTGCAGGAATGTCTGGAGTGTTTGTAGATCACTGGAATGAAATGGATAATTACTCACCTGTAATATTACACATCTATATTTATGGTTCTATGACCAGCAAGTTCAGTAGCACTTTTGTATGATTTCGTAGTTTTATACTGGTACAACTATTGTATTTGTTTGTATTCTGGCTGAGGCTGGTAAACTCATTAAACAATAAATACACAAAAATGACATGATCTTCAGATTTCCGTAACAAAATACTTGGATGCAGAGTTTAACTGACGTTGACAATGCTGAAGAGAAAAGATGATGCATGAGGCTTATCTTCATATTGATACACTTTGTTACTCACAAACTTAAGGATTCTTATTACAACATAAATGGGATCAAAATGAGGCCAAAGCTATAAATTTGTGGTGGCAATATTGGAGTGAGGCCTTGTTACCTTGAGAACTTTACATATTGCACATACTGTAACAAACTTTATATCATTTCTCAGGCACTCTGACATTCTCATCAGAAAATTACAAATGAAAATAGATACGTTCAAGAGCTGCACTGGAGAAAGTGTCTTTCCCCTGAATGTCAGTCAGGGTGTTGAATTATATTGTTATTGTGAACAAGAAAACAGTAAAACTTCAGTTAGTCTACAATGTCTAGATAATTGATCTAGATTCTCATTTTGATCATATTTGTACCATATTCAATACAATCATAGGCAACCATAGTTCTACATTGGGTAGAGTGTATCTCTTAATGTATCGCCTAGTCTGTCTCACAGTCCATGAACCACATTATTTCCCCTTCTGCCCAGCCCTTTCTGCAATGCTAAAGCCCTAAATGAAACAAGTCTAGACTTCCTCAGGCTCTGACATTCTGACAGCCCTAAATGAAACAAGTCTAGACTTCCTCAGGCTCTGACATTCTGACAGCCCTAAATGAAACAAGTCTAGACTTCCTCAGGTCCAAATCTCCCAACTCACTGGAGCTCCGTTTCAATTTAAATGGAAATTTTGTTTATTTATTCAGAGACTAAACTAAGACTTTTCAAATTCCATTTGCTTCATTTTGCAATATTTCATTCCTTTTCACTTTCCAGTTATTAGAATGTCAGAATTTGTTTTTCAAGAACTTATGATGTCTATATATTGAGTTTATATATTGAGAATAAACATTATCGTCATCTTCTAAACGAAACTATACAAAAGATCTTACTTGTTTGTTTTCTGAAGTTCGTCTTCCTTCATTGTCACCTCCTCCTGCAGCTCTGCTAGTGACTTCGTCCTGTCCACAACCTCCTGTTTCAAAGTTTCAGCTTCTTCCAGGAGTTTATCCTTCTCACGTTTTGTGTCATCCAGCTCTTTCTCCATCATTTGTAAACTCTTCTCCGTTGTTTTCAGCATGGACTCCATAATACTCCCTTTCTCATCCGCGTGTTGTACAATGCTCTCACTCTCAGCTAACAGCTGCTCGTTCGCGACCTGGAATTGATTGAGTTTTTCGTTTGCAGCTTTCAGCTGAAAGTCTTTCAAGGCCAGCATTTCTTTTAACTTAGCAATATTTTTATCTGCTTCACGATACAACTCAAATGTTTCACCAACAAGTTTAGCCTGTTCCTTTTTCGCATCTTCAAGATCTGAATTAAATACATGCAGTTCCTCATTTTTGCGTCGGAGTTCTGTTTTCAGATTCTCGTTATCATTATTTGCTTTTGATAACAAGTTATCCATCTCATGAAGAAGAACCAATCGGTCTTTCTCTAGCTTTTCTGATCTTTTCCTAGCTTGTATCAATTCTTTATCTTTTTCCTGCATCTTTATCACTGCATCCCTCTGCATCTTCCTCAGTTCCTGACTCAAGATGTCCAGTTCACCAATATCCTCCTCAGCCTTCTCAAAAGAGGAATTACGCTGGTTCATTGCATCAGATTCTCTGGCTTGAAAACTCCTTGCATTAGTCCTCCGATTCCTACCATCAAACTGATCCATTTCATCCCTCACTCCATGCATGTTCATCTCAGCTCGCTGCCTCATCATGTTCCTCTCCATCATCATGTTTTTAGCATCTTTGTGAGACTTCCAAGAAGGACTACGAGTCTGCATGCCAGCCCAGTCTCCCAGACCATTGTCCCGGAGTCTGGACAGCTGGGTATTAATCCTGCTCAATTGAGATTCCTTTGCTTCAAGTTCTTCACTAAGCCTCTGACTTTCATCATTAGTCTTTCTGGACAGGATCTCAGAGCTTTCAATCAGCTGGTTCTGCTCCTTCTTCAGCCTATCCAGTTCTTCCTGAGACTTCTTCAGATCCGTTTCCTTTTCCTTTAGTTCAGCATGGAGCTTTTGAATCACATTCTTCTGGTCCCCACACCGCATCTCGGCAGCCTGTCCTACACCCATCAACACTTCCTCAGCTTTTATCAAAGCATCAGCAGTTTTCCACTGCTTCTGCCGACTAAGAGTCACTTCTTGTGTCATGCTATTTAAGGTATTCTTCAGATGATCATCTTGGACGGCAATAATCGAAGGTTTCACAAATTCCGAACTCACCGACATCATATCACTATTGCTGAAACTACTTTGACCCTTCTGTCCGTATCTCTTCCTCTTATTGCTCATTTCAAGATCTTTGGCTTTGAGCACATCATTTTCAAGACGTTTTCCCTCATCCAAGAATGACTGAAGCAATGGCGAAAAACGCCCAGATCTGTCTCCAGTGTTTCCATTGAAAACCTGTATCCTCCTTCGTGGACTTGGCACATAAGAATGTTCCTGTGACAAATGCTTCTTTAGATCATTTAATACTGGAAACACCTTCCCGTCTCCACACTTTGGGCACCTGTATGGCACATCCATTTTGAATACTTCAAATACTACATCTTTTCATCAACACTTCTAATCATGTCTTAGGTTTCAAACTTGTCCCAACACTGTTATCACAGGTACTTGTCATAATCATTCATTCAGTAGAATGTGTATCACTTATTTACAGGTTGGTACTCTTGTTTATCACAATAACTCTATCAAATGTTGCTGACACCACTGCCTGTATCACATACTGAAAGATGGAATATGGTCATGTATTATGCATGTTTTACTCTGTTATTCTCTCATGACCCTTCCATTGTTCAACAACAACACAGCTTTCTTCAGCAGTCCACCATCTGGCATCTGCAAGAAATATTAGTGAAATTAGTTCAGAACAAGAAGACAAAGTCATCAATATCCCCAGCAACGGCAAAATACTCTTCATGAATATCTCAACTAGTCATGACTATGTCAAATGTTTTGGCGTGTACATAGCAAACTACGCCAAAGTGGAAGGAGAGTATTGAAAGGTTTTTAAGTTCTGCTCCAGAAAGGAGTTTGACCACCAAATTCAATCGAAGTCAAAATGTTGCCATGGAAACACAGAAAATATTTTATTCAGAAATCCAAAACTACCAAAAGGCACCAGTTCACCACCAGACCTATCTATGTGCCAAATTTGGTGAAGAAATATTGAACGGTTTTTGCCATGGAAACACAAGAAATATCTTATTCAGAAATCCAAAATAACCATAACCTTTGTTATTTTGAATGAACAAAACTGTCATTTTATGACTAGATAGAAGAACGGTACGAAAACTGAAAATACCAAATTTTTGGATTGCATTTCGGTATACTGAACCGAAGTCAAAATACCGCTGTTCTAATAACGCAAAAGGCATTGCAGGGGGGTAAATATATCAAAGACATATGATTTAGTTTTGATACAATATAATGTTAAGTACTACATCACATTTCAACACTAATGATATTCATGGAACATTATTCCCTCATCAACATCTGGAGAAAGACTGTTTGTCCCTTGCCCTCTTACGAAAAGCATGGTTTGAAAAAAGACCAATTCTAACCCGGATCTTCATTGGGTGGTGTGAACATGCATTACCGGTACCAGTGTTTGCCCTTAACCCTGAAAAGCTGCAGGCCCTAAGGACCCAGAACCATAAAAAGTTGTGGGTTCTGATCAGAATGTGTAGGCCCTGTATTTTAGCTACAAATTTGTACAATATAAGTAATTCCCAGCAAACAAAAAATGTGACAACTAACAAACTGATTTAAGAGTTTCAAGTGACTGTCTAGTCTTCATTTACAACACAATGAACATCCAATGTCAAGATCCTTCATTTACAACAAAATCAACATCCAATGTCAAGATCCAAGTCTGAATCAGAATGTTCAGACAGGGATATGTCAGAGCAGTCACAGTCAGAGTCATTGGGGATGAGTGGTTTTCAGTCGTCTTCGGGCCTAAGGACAGACGTTAATTTCAAGCACTGACCAGTACTTTGTAGAACCCATACTGTTCATCCTTTGTAGAACCCATACTGTTCATCCTTTGTAGAACCCATACTGTTCATCCTTTGTAGAACCCATACTGTTCATCCCATACTGTTCATCCTTTGTAGAACCAATACTGTTCATCCTTTGTAGAACCCATACTGTTCATCCTTTGTAAAACCCATACTGTTCATCCTTTGTAGAACCCATACTGTTCATCCTTTGTAGAACCCATACTGTTCATCTTTTGTAGAACCCATACTGTTCATCCCATACTGTTCATCCTTTGTAGAACCAATACTGTTCATCCTTTGTAGAACCCATACTGTTCATCCTTTGTAAAACCCATACTGTTCATCCTTTGTAGAACCCATACTGTTCATCCTTTGAAGAACCAATACTGTTCATCCTTTGTAGAACCCATACTGTTCATCCCATACTGTTCATCCTTTGTAGAACCCATACTGTTCATCCTTTGTAGAACCCATACTGTTCATCCCATACTGTTCATCCTTTGTAGAACCCATACTGTTCATCCTTTGTAGAACCCATACTGTTCACCCCATACTGTTCATCCTTTGTAGAACCCATACTGTTCATCCTTTGTAGAACCCATACTGTTCATCCTTTGTAAAACCCATACTGTTCATCCTTTGTAGAACCCATACTGTTCATCCTTTGTAGAACCCATACTGTTCATCCTTTGTAGAACCCATACTGTTCATCCTTTGTAGAACCCATACTGTTCATCCTTTGTAGAACCAATACTGTTCATCCCATACTGTTCATCCTTTGTAGAACCCATACTGTTCATCCTTTGTAGAACCCATACTTTCATCCCATACTGTTCATCTTTTGTAGAACCAATACTGTTCATCCTTTGTAAAACCCATACTGTTCATCCTTTGTAAAACCCATACTGTTCATCCTTTGTAGAACCCATACTGTTCATCCTTTGTAGAACCCATACTGTTCATCCTTTGTAGAACCCATACTGTTCATCCCATACTGTTCATCCTTTGTAGAACCCATACTGTTCATCCTTTGTAGAACCCATACTGTTCATCCTTTGTAGAACCCATACTGTTCATCCTTTGTAGAACCCATACTGTTCACCCCATACTGTTCATCCTTTGTAGAACCAATACTGTTCATCCTTTGTAGAACCCATACTGTTCATCCTTTGTAAAACCAATACTGTTCATCCTTTGTAGAACCCATACTGTTCATCCTTTGTAGAACCCATACTGTTTATCCCATACTGTTCATCCTTTGTAGAACCCATACTGTTCATCCCATACTGTTCATCCTTTGTAGAACCCATACTGTTCATCCTTTGTAGAACCCATACTGTTCACCCCATACTGTTCATCCTTTGTAGAACCCATACTGTTCATCCTTTGTAGAACCCATACTGTTCATCTTTTGTAAAACCCATACTGTTCATCCTTTGTAGAACCCATACTGTTCATCCTTTGTAGAACCCATACTGTTCATCCCATACTGTTCATCCTTTGTAGAACCCATACTGTTCATCCTTTGTAGAACCCATACTGTTCATCCCATACTGTTCATCCTTTGTAGAACCCATACTGTTCATCCTTTGTAGAACCCATACTGTTCACCCCATACTGTTCATCCTTTGTAGAACCAATACTGTTCATCCTTTGTAGAACCCATACTGTTCATCCTTTGTAAAACTTATACTGTTCATCCTTTGTAGAACCCATACTGTTCATCCTTTGTAGAACTCATACTGTTCATCCTTTGTAGAACCCATACTGTTCATCCTTTGTAGAACCCATACTGTTCATCCTTTGTAGAACCCATACTGTTCATCCTTTGTAGAACCCATACTGTTCATCCTTTTGATGACCATAAGGACCTTACTACAAATCCTACTCTAACCTCACCATGTCACAAAACAAACAGAATCATAGCACATACACTAGTCTGTCTCACAGTCCCTGAACCACATTATTTTCCCTACTGCCAAGCCCTCTCTGCAGTGCTAAAGCCCTAAATAAAGCAAGTCTAGATTTCTCAGCTCTGGTCTCCCTGGGGCTCCTTTTCAATTTAAATGGGCTTGTTTGTTACTATCAAAATTATATATATTCAGAGACTAAGCATTAGTCTACACATACACATGCATCACTACCTTTTGTACAGATGCCATTTAGTATTCTTATCAATAAATTCAATAAATGAATCATCTACACACTGTCAGACTTAAATGACACTTAAACATCTTGGTTCACACAGTGCAATATCCATAATGGATCACACATACAGCCTGCCATGCTCTAAGATCAAAGCATGGGTTTTGACGAGAGCTAATTTTCAGTGAATATGACGTAACATCAAACATGATTTTATCATGTGGATCAATGGACCCTGCATTTAAAGAATTAATTACTTTTAATGGCCATCAAATAGTTCAATTCTCATGCTTAATTTTGGACAGAAATGATAATAAATGCCTTTAAAAAGAACCAGTCACTTGAACGGAAACCAACTGTCTCTATGATCAACATCAACAAAAGCATTATCCTAATTTTTGGACAATTGATAATTATTGTCAGATAAACTGGAGCAACAAAACAATTATTCTAGCACATATTGATTTATTGTAGACCGACCATAATACCATATACTTTAATAATCAGTCCAGGGTCACACACTTTTTCTAACCTGTACCCCAAACATTACAACACAACACCTGAATCTTGGGTTACAGTAGAACCATTGTACAACCAAAAGCCTGGTTACTCTTGTCTTTCATTTGCAGTATTTCATCCATTATTCAAAACAAGCAAGAATGGTTACCAGATTTAAACACATATGTAAAGGAAAATATGGAAATGCATGTCCATACCTCACCTGTAAATGAAAACAGTCAAATTTCTAGACAACATACTGATTTCTAAACCATCCAAAGTCACCAATTTACTCACCTGTAAATGAAAACAGTCAAACGTCTGGACAGCATGCCGATTTCTAAACCATTCCAAAGTCACCTACCTATTCATGACATTCAAGCCAGCTTAACCAGACAATCTGACAGCATCCCTAACGAACTTCAACAGGTACAGAGTCTGATAAATAATGCAGGACAGGCTAGGAGGCAGACCTAGTCACAGCACACGCTGATTACAGATGAAATATTGATCATGTCAGGCATTCAATCATACCATCTGTTCAAAGTTGATTTCCAATAATTCTGATTGAAGTCATAAAATATGATATAGTCTACCATTTGAATCTCAGACAAGCAGTCCCTGAGCTGGGAAATAATCTGGTTTTATAAGGATTGTTTGTTTTACAAGCAAAAACCTGGCTGAAATTAAGAATACTCCAGGGTGCCCTTCCTCAAATTGATCTTAGCACTAAGATGATTGTATCTCCCGTACTTCAACATAGGCGTAATACAGTCTTTGTGTAATGGAGGCCTTTGCTTTCTACAGACTACAGTGTGAATGGTTAAGAGATTCCTTGCAGACAGATTACACCTTGTTAAGGCAGAACAAAAGTATATGTAAGCTGATGTTGCTCAATATTACTTATTTGGCATAGCTATATGGGTTGTTGGGTTTGTTGGTTGGTTAATAATGAACAGTGGAGGCAATTTAACAGTTTTACAGCAATCTGTACATGATTGGTTGTAACTGTTGCAGTGGCCATAGAAAGACAATACATTGGATCATTATTTAGAGAGTTTGTCACTGTATTGACGTTATATTGTTATATTCTAATCTGTGAAGAATAGCAAACTATTTTTATATTCAGATCGTGACTTTGTTTCACGGCAGATGGATCTGTAAATTGATAAAACTCATAAATATGGAACATTATTTACCTTCAACTCTACAAGACTTGGAAACTTTTGAATCTTTTTGTGTGTTTTCAACTTGTCAAACAGTCATTTCTTTAAGCTAAGATTTGCTTCCTATTGTGTGTGTTTTGTGCGTTTTAATCATCCATTACCCAAGCTGTAATGTATGTTACAAATAAACCAGTTGTAGTCTTCACTTTACTACCGAAGGAGATGCTGCTGCTGCTGTTGCTACTGTTGGTTTATTTGTTGTTGTTCAGATAATTTCTATATAAAAGTGAGACCAAAGTACCAGCCTCACTATTAAATATCATCCTGAAGTATGTCTGATCTGCTTGTGTATACGCTATGTACATCTTGTGTTGTCTTCCCATGACTGCTGTGCTTCAATTATTTATATAACAAAACCAGGTAACTACAATACATTTCTCTTACTTCACTTAGCATTCTGCTTTTGTAAACCTTACTTGTTATTACAGCCTTGCATAGATGTGAACTTTAAGCTGGGATTGTCCTCATATTGTATTCAGGGTGGTAGAGTAGCCAAGTGGTTAAAGGATTTGCTTGTCACGCCAAAGACCCGGATTCGATTCCCCACATGGGTACAATGTGTGTAGCCCATTTCTGATGTTCCCACCGTGATATTCCTGGAATATTGATAAAAGCAACGTAAAACTAGACTCACTCACTCATATTGTATTCCCCTAAGTAGGATACAAACATTTTGTGGGTGTTGAATGTCAAATCCTTCAATACATGTCATCATCTGTAAATCATGAATATTGACAGGCTATTGCACATTCTTGAGAACCAGCTGTGGTAAATAGAAAGCCCATAATGACAATGTAAACACTGCAGTTATCACTAACTGTCCCAGGCTCGCTGACTTGGTTGACACATGTCATCGCATCCCAATTGCGTAGAACGATGCTCATGCTGTTGATCACTGGATTGTCTGGTCCAGACTCGATTATTCACAGACCGTGCCATATAGCTGGAATGTTGCTGAGTGCGTCATTTAACAAACCAACCAACCAACCACAGCACTCTCTTCCTGTACATGCTGACAAGCGGTGACACAGTCCTAACAGCTGACTGTCAGTCACATCATTAACACTGCATGATTCATATACTTCCTTGGTGACTAAACCACTTGGTCAGTACAATATCAGCTTGAACCTTTCTCATAAAAAATATAGTGATAGATAAAAAATTCATTTTAAATATCATATTTTGCAAGACCCATTTTCACAGCAACCCGTTGAGATCCGGGTTTGGATTGATCGTCTGCAAAACCATGCTTGTCGTAAGAGGTGACTAACGAGATCGGGTGATCAGACTCGCTGGCTTGTTGACCTACCCGGTAAGTCATAGTATCCTAATTGCGTTGATCAATGCCTATGTTGATGATCACTGGATTGTCTGGTCTGGACTTGATTATTTACAGACCACTGACATATAGCTGGAATATTGCTGAGTGCAGCATCAAACAACAAACAAACAAAACATTTTTGTAAAGTTTGCCTTTGAAAAGAATTAATTTGATTGCGATAAGTCAACTATACAAAGTCCAGAATATAAAGAAAAATGTTTTTCTTACAAAGACAGAGGTATTGCACAGTTTAAAAATATAATATTTCAATACCGTTATTTCAAGAATCAAAATGTAGCTAATGTAACCAGGGTTTTATATCTCGACTCACAAACATGGAGTCCCAGGGACCACTCTATTAGTTTTAAGGTTTTAAGGAGGAGTTGTAACTTCTATGATGCTTAGTGAGCTTTTTGTCCGCTGTGGGTGGGTGGGTGGAGTGAGTGAGTGAGTGAGTGAGTGAATGAGTATTGCCACTTTTAGCAATATTCCAGCAACATCATGGCAGGGGACACCAGAAATGGTCTTCGCAAATTGTACCCATGTGGAATCAAACCCGAGCCTTCAGCGTGACAAGTGAAAGCTTTAACCACTAAGCTACCCCATCTCCCCTTATGGATCTTTGCAGGCAATATGAAGGTCCTGTGAAGTAACGGTGTAGAGAACTGTACATTTCAATAATTTCTCTAAAACCTGGAATGAATCAGTGATCATGTGGACTGACGTATGAAATGATGCATGTAACTGCTCTAGAAACAACCAAACACTTAGCAAAGTCATAGACGTGTGGTGGGTACAGCGAATAATATTGTGCGTCCCTCAGGATACAGTGAATGCTTTTTCTGCATCCATTCTCTACATTTGTGTACTGGATGCACAGTTGCGGGTCACATAAACCCCTGTGTAACAACTTTAAATCTGTTACACCACTCTTTATACTTTTTACTTAATTATGTCATCTCAAAAGCTTCAATGGTTGTGCAACGGTTGTGGATAATGAGACGTTAGTTATTACAACCATGATACTGGATATATGTCAGACGACTAACACAATTATTTCCTTCATATTCTAATATGAATTTTATATGGGGAATACAGAGGCTATAATTGAATTAACACTGGGGCACTGGTGCATGGAGAGTTTTTATGCGATGATGCGATGACGATACACAATATTTTTATTCTGAATCGATACAAGACAATAAAATTGCTAAAATATATTACTAGTTATTTTTCAATGAGCGTTTCATTAGCTTTTCCATCTGAGACAGCTCTGAAATAGTTATAGACAAGAAGTTACTACATGATATGACATAAATATGTATATCTCGATACCTGTCATATACCTAGTGTGACCTTGCTGTATTGTTACTGCCTGTGAAGATCCAGGTTAGAATTGATCTTCAGCAACCCATGCTTGTTGGGTGGTCAGGCTTACTGACTTGGTTGACACATGTTTATATCCCAATTTCATAGATCGATGATCTCATCATTGTCTGGTCCAGACTTGATTATTAACAGACCGCCGCCATATGACTGGAATATTGCTGAGTGCTGCATTACACAACAAACAATCAATGTATTGTTACTGCCTACCAAACATGCTCATCAAATCACATTAATGACCTCTAGCCTGTCAGTTTTTCTGCTAAATTAACAAATTTCATATCATGTAAATGGTTTAAGATGGTCATCAATACTGTCAAAGAAATTATCAATCTGTAAATGACAAATGACTTCAAAGAGATCCACTAGATTTATTAACATCAGGGTGTGGTAGCTTTTGTATAGATTTGATATTTACTTAATTAGAAATCTTTAGTCATCAATAACAACGCAACTACAAATGAAATTAATTGATTATTTCTCACTTCTTGTTATAGTTGAAGCATTACTTCAACCACGCCCTTTTACATTGCCAAACTGAAATTTTCATTTAGTGTGATGCCTTTCAATATATTCGTTTACATCTCAACTTTGTGTGTGAGAAAAGCCTAAAGTGAGGTAGATCATCGAACAAAATTAACACATGAGCATGGGTCCCTGGTGCTGACTGACCAGTGATGTATACATATGAATGCCTGTCTCAGAACAGATCGCAGAACCCCAGTCTTCACAGAAAAACAGGATCATCTTAGTGAACATAAGCACAGGCTTCATAAGTTAAACTTCAAGACCTTAAGCCACCAACTTAACAAAGTAATTAATAGTCGGAATTTTACACAATTGTCATTATGGCAACTACAGAATTATCTCCCTTGACTGACTGACCCTGTGTAAATTCCAGTCACTGTTTTGTTAATTGTGTGCACTAATTTTTCATTCAAAGCTACTTTTCATTCAAAAATAATGTTTAGTTTCAGAGTGCATTTGAAAAGTAGTACAATCAAAGAAGCTCTTAATTAGCATGGACAAACAAATGACTCTTGTTCATCTTAAATCATGTAGGCCTATTAATCATACTGATCACTATTAGAGGTGAATGATTTAATCATTCTAAGTTCACTGTTGACGACGACGACGACAACGATGATGATGATGATGATGATGATGATGATGATGATGATGATGATGATAACTCATCCGAACAGGCTTGAAAACAACACCCTGCATTTGTGATATGTAAGTAAATAAATTGCCATAAACGCTAACAGGAAAACAGATGTCTGATACAGGACACTTTCCATTCACCGCCCGTACTGTCAAATCCCGTAGCAGTTCCGGTCGCCTACCTTCCCTAGAACTTTTCCCACTATAGATCTAGTTATCTACATTCAGATGGCAGTGATGCTGATATGTACGTTTCAGAATTAACATCAAACTGGTACCTGCTGGTGTAGATATCCTCCCCAAACCACCGCTTGAGTTCATGACGAACGCCGCCCGTCTGGTCAAAGTTCCATCGCCAGACATTAATACTGTACAATTCTGCTGTGGAATGACCCACTTTGGCACCCACATCTGTTGCATGTTGTTGGAATAGTCTATTCAGAAGGGGGTTAGGCGGTTATTACGTTTGGTGGCACCTTGGCAAACATGTCAAAGAACTTGAGTCAGTGTCGTCGGCGGTGTACAAAATATCAAGATGGTTAATTGTTGTTTATACAGGATTGTTAAATGTCCTTAATTACAATGCAGTGCACTGAATGAAATTCATCCTAAAACCATACATGGGTTTGCTCCCTTGGACTGTCATTCCGGTGGAATGCGTGGGGTAGATTTTACGGACGGTTCTTTCATTTAAGATTCTCTCATTTTACAGACGCACCACGCAGTTTAGACTAACGCATAGCCACTGAATATATATCATTTTGATAGTAACAAATAAACCCATATAAATTGAAAAGGAGACCTAATGAGATGGGAGATTCAGAACCTGAGGAAATCTAGACTTGCTTCATATAGAGATTTAGCTTTACAGGGAGGGCTAGGCAGTAGGGAAAATAATGTGGTTCAGGGACTGTGAGACAAACTGAACGCGGTTATGGGATAATCGACATCATTATGTTTAATTTTTAGTAGTTTTTGTACTAATACCAAGGTCAATGAAGTGAAATAGGCGAATGGGTTATCATTTCTTTAAAGTATAATAGCAGACACGATTTGCAGTATTATTATTTTTTTTTTTTTTATTATAAATAAACGTCATTTTCTGTTCTAAAATATATGGTGCGTTTGAGGTTAAACCACTTTTAATAAGCCTTCATTCTTGTCTCATAATAATACTCTGTTTACACACAACTTCCAAAGAACTTCGGTAAGATATGGAATATGTGTTATGCTGGCTTGCAATTCTGTTCTGATGTTATACGCTATGGGAAACGACCCGAAAACAATGTTTGGTTTTCTTATTTATCTGAATGTTTTAACTAATTGAAACCTACCTGCATGATTTGCTCATGCATTCACAGAATTGTTGTGCTTTCGGTTATACTGCAGAGATCTTAACACTTTCTGTATACTCACAGAAATGTCGTTTATTCGGTGCATGTTCGACGTGGAATATTGGATTGGAGGTAATCAGGCATGAGATTAATACAAGACTGACACCTTGAAGATTATCTATCTATCTATCTATCTATCTATCTATCTATCTAGATATCTATCTCATGACATGTTTTAATATGATTTATGATTTCGAAAAGGATATACCTGATTATATTCTTGGTGTGAATAGGGACTGCAATATACTTTGATTTTAACATCAACACAATTGAATATATGCTATTTTGATATTTGCTTGTGAAGAAAGGCTTAGTGTGCAATGTGCGTATTACGGGTCCAGAGCCTGGTAAATGGACCGTCACTCTTGAAGTTATCTCCCCTGAGACACACGCACCTGTACCGCTAGGGGTCTACAGAGATGCGAGTGGCTGAAGATAATCGGAAGCGGGTAATTTGGTTTTTAAATTCTTAGTGTTGCTAGGCAAAATGGATACATTTTCGACGAAACGCAAGCGAGATGACCAATTTCAGTCCGCTGACGATCTGGAACTTAGTTTTACTGTCCAGGGGTGTGGTCTGATCTCGAAAAGACGACGCAGAACAACCATACACGGCACTGCAATTAAACGTCTACAACAGGTGAGTAGTGCTTAAAATTTCAAATGAATGTACATAAATATCATATTGCCAGCTTGAATACAATGAAAGAAAGCTGAATAATCTGTGTAAGTGCTTCCATAGTGATTGCACTTGATGAAGATTTGCACGGTTTATTATTTTTAAAGTGTTTCGAATTTATCCACGGGTAAACCGGGGTTAATAATCACAATTCATTCTTTTATCTTGCAGTCGAAGGACAACGATCGTACAACTTTGAATATGTTAAACTCCAATCGACCCCCATCAGAGTCTTCTAAGAACAACACCTTGTTGAAAGGTGACAAAGATACACTTAAAGGTATGAAAGACGACTTAAACATCTAGTGTTGGTCAGTGAATTAAGGAAAAACTATTCATATTTTTAGTTGTTTTGGTCACTGTTTATGTTGAACAATTCTTTGATAAGGATGTTACTTTTGCCAATTAAAAGTGTTATGTTTTATTATTGTGTACTGAGCTTAAAACATTGGAAATTGATATAGAAAATTGTGAAGGGGTATTTTGGGAATTTGTTCGTTTGAAGAAAAGTGATATTGATAATTTTAGTCGTGTAATTATATGATAAGATCCATAAAGTCGACACCCGTGAAGATCTGGGTTAGAATTGGTCTTCAGTAACCCATGCTTGTCGTAAGCATAGTAAGAAGCGACTAACGGGATCAGGTGGTCAGGCTCGCTGACTTGGCTGAGACATGTTGTTATCGTTTCCCAATTTCGTAGATCGATGCTCATGCTGTTGATCACTGGATTGTCTGGTCCAGACTCAATTATTTACAGACCGCCGCCCTATAGCTGGAACATTGCTGAGTGCGGCGTTAAACAACAAACAATCCACAAAGTCGACTTTTTTCAAAAAAGCTTAGATTTTAGGGAAAATTCTAACAGGAAATCTCCAAAGGTTCCAATTTTGTTGCCTCTTATGAATTACAAGCAGCAGCTAGATTCTCGGGACAGATTATACCTATGGTTCCAACAGATTAACAAATAATGTACCCATACTAAATCTCTAACCATGTATAATAGTTTACAATGACTAACAGATGGATGATCTAATTGGGAAATTTGATGGCATAATAATCATGCAATTGTTTTATTGCAAATTTTTGTATTACCATGTGCTGGACATACATGCCTTTATGCTGTTTTTAAAAATATTTGTGAACAAGCTGATTGTGTGTCATCATACCTTGACATTATTGGTGATTGCTCATGTTATCAGTCACTGGTTTTGCAAGCTTCATTGTTTTTTGTATAGCAGGAATGTTCATTAGCTTTCAAAACTTTCAGTGTTAATAATGATAATTATAAAACAACATTCATGCACTTACAAGTTTTCCAAATGAGTGAGATATGTACTTGGCTTGATCATGTACATATTACCTTCTGTCAAGTACTTTTAATGTACATATTTTCTACATTACAGGCACTTTCAAGCTGTCGCATGTCAACAAACCTGGTGAAACACAGGTTAAAGAATAGGCAAGACTATTCCATAGACGGCAACAACTTCAACGTCCTTCGCTCCATGGTACACAACAAGAAGAACATCACCAACACTGTAGTTAAGGCTAAGAGGGTAAGTTTTAAATTATTACTCCAGTGAAACACTTCAGATTGCAGGTTGTTTCCTTTTGGCTGGTGATACGCTGTGTATTTCCAGGATATGTTATAACACACTGTATCATGTGTATGTTTCCAGGATATGTTATAACAACGTGTGTTTCCAGGATGTGTTATAATACACTGTATGTTTCCAGGATACGTTATGAGACACTGTTTCCAGGATATGTTATAACACAATGTGTTTCCAGGATGTTATAACACACTGTGTTTCCAGGATGCTATAACATAGTCTTTCCATGATATGTTATAACATACCATGTTTCCATGATGTTATAACACACTGTTTCCGGGATGTGTTATAACGCACTGTGTTTCTAGGATATGTTTTAACATACTGTTTCCAGGATATGTGATAATACACTCTGTGTTTCCAGGATATGTCATAATACACTCTATGTTTCCAGGATATGTTATAGCACACTGTATGTTTCCAGAATATGTTATAATACACTCTATGTTTCCAGGATATGTTATAACACACTGTATGTTTCCAGAATATGTTATAACACACTGTATGTTTCCAGGATATGTTATAACACACTGTATGTTTCCAGGATATGTTATAACACACTGTATGTTTCCAGGATATGTTATAACACACTGTATGTTTCCAGGATATGTTATAACACACTGTATGTTTCCAGGATATGTTATAACACACTGTATGTTTCCAGGATATGTTATAACACACTGTATGTTTCCAGGATATGTTATAACACACTGTATGTTTCCAGGATATGTTATAACACACTGTATGTTTCAGGATATGTTATAACACACTGTATGTTTCCAGGATATGTTATAACACACTGTATGTTTCCAGGATATGTTATAACACACTGTATGTTTCCAGGATATGTTATAACACACTGTATGTTTCCAGGATATGTTATAACACAGATCTGCATCCGTGGATGTTTTTATCAGAACAAATAATCATGTAAAAATAGAAAGTGAAATTTAGTGATTATAATTAGTTAAATTACATCATCATGAACAAAATATACACTGTACAGTGGTAAACATTAACCTGAAATGTTTACTAGCCAGAATAACATCTGATCTGGGCTAGTTGCCTGGTATGACAAGCATATATCATTGTCAGGCCATGGATTTTGAACTGTCATATACAACTATTATTATCATATTGCTGTCCACACCAATCAGATAAAGTGAGTGAGTTTGGTTTTACGCCGCTTTTAGCAATATTCCAGCAACATCACGGTGGGGGACACCAGAAATAGGCTTCACACATTGTACCCAAGTGGGGAATCGAACCCAGGTCTTCGGCATGACGAGCCAACGCTTTACCCACTAGGCTACCCCACCGCCCCAAATCAGATAAAGGCAGCTGGATTATCATAACTATTAATAGCTTTATGATAAGGATTATTTTAATAGGTAACTGAACCCAGGAATATAGACCATATTACTGCTAGAACCCAGTGCATTTCATTTACCTGTAAGTGTGAATTTCTATCCTTGAAGGACATAAACATGATAAAGGGAAATTCCCTTCGGTATGTTTTTGCAGGCATAGCACTGGAGGCTGTAGAGTGAGTGAGTGAGTTTACTACCCATTTACCACTCAGTGAGGGGTATGTTGTTGGGTTGGGAGAATGGTAGTTAATGCAATTTCACTTAAATTAAACGGCAATATGATATTGGTGATAATGAGTGGCAAGGTAAAGTTAAAAAGTTAAATGGCATTGTGTTGAATTCATCACTTTGCAAGCATGACAGCAAGTATTCTTTGCTGGGTACCAGACGACAGACTACAACTAGTACAACACATTCTATCATGACTTACGGTTCTACCATACCTGGAAACACTATTTTTTGTCATTTTTCCTGTATTGCCTACAATTGAAGAATTGCCTATGAAGGTAGAATAGGTCAGCACATTTACCTTACTTCCTGATCACTGGACCGTATCATGTTGTTTTAACATGTAGGCAGAATGGGACTGAAGACAGAATGGGAGGACACCATGCACTGTACCCTATGTGTATGCCTGGTCCAAAACCAGGGTCGGGGTTTTTTGTAGACAAGTGAGTTTTGTACCAGGTATATGGTACTGTGTTGTTTTTCAGCATCACTGTTGTATCAGTGGTGTTGTTTCAATAAGCATGAACAACAAAAAACAACCTGCATGTCAATAGCCTATCTGACCTACGAAACATTGAAGGGTATTGTTTATCCTTGGTCTGTCAGCACCTTCCCATTGTTGCCAGCTGGAAAACATCTTCAGCTTTCATCACTTCGGCCTTTCCTCCATGGGAGAGCTGTTCAAAACATGATCAAATCTCACTCACTCATTCACTGGTGCACAATTTGTTTGTGCAAGGTGCTGCTGTTTGATGTGCATTGTTGCTTCCCAGGTGCATCATATCCATTCCACGGTCCCGATCCACAGAGCGTTTGTAGTGCTACAACAGTGGTAAGCCTATGGTAAACTATAGTTACGACAGGTCGCAACATTCGAATGCTTTGTGGTTAAGGACCCACAATCTTGTGATCCTGGGTTTGAATCCCAATCTTGGTGATAAAGTTTCCATTTTGTAGGGGTGTCTATTGAGGGGGAACAACTATTGCGATAGTGATAGTCTTTTTTTTATCCCCTGCCGCTTTTATCGCGAAGCGGGGGGTATAGTATTAGGCTCCGTACGTATGTACATACGAATTGGAATATCTTAAGAACCGTTGACTAGATTATTTTCATATTTGGTACCTAGGTTCATCACAGTATAAGTAAGGTCCCAGTCAGGTTTGGTGACCTTGACCTTCATTTCAAGGTCACAAGGGGACTTTAATGTTTTACTCTTGTCGGCGAGATATCTCAAGAACCGTTCACTAGATTTTCTTCATATTCAACACCAAGCTTTATCTAGGGAAGGCACAGGGCCCAGTCGAATTTGGTGACCTTCACATAATTTTCAAGCTAATGGCGACACTTTGAAGATTTCAGCATATTAACCTGCATGGTATGCTTGTCAGCGAGATACCTCAAGAACCATTCACTGGATTTTCTTCATATTTGACGCCTAGCTTCATCCAGGGAAGGCGCAGGGCCCAGTTGATTTTGGTGACCTTCACTTAATTTTCAAGGTCACAGCGACACTTTGAGGATTTCAGCATGTTAAATCGCATGTTAAGATAGTCAGCAAGATATCACAAAAACAATTCACTGGATTTTTTTTCATATTTGACACCGAGCTTCATCTAATGAAGGCGTAGGGCCCAGTCAATTTTGGTGACCTTCACATAATTTTCAAGGTCACTACGACACTCTGAAGATTTCAGCATGTTAACCTGAATTCACTGGATGTTCTTCATAGACTTTCAAGACTTCCCTTGAATGTTTTTCAAGAAGCAATTTCTTTAGTACCAGTTTTGCATATTTCATACACTATGACATTCATGTCAAGGTCAAAGTCAGTCTTGAAAATATGTGTGTGTTTGAACAACTAAAGAGCAATATATCAAGAGAGGTTGACTGGTCATGTTTTTATTGACATTTAACTTCATCTTAAACTTTCATTACTTTTTAAATTTGATTTGATAATTTGCGGCTGGGGATTATGTCACCTTAGTGACAATGCTTGTTCTCCTTGAATTGTCTCATTTGAAGTCATTTCCCAAATGAATGTATAGTTTTTATGAAATAAAAACAAGTTGAAGTATTTTCAGTATCTTTTAATAACTGACAAGAAACTTGACACCCAGATCAAGTTAAACAGTTAAAAAATGAACTCAATGAAGCTGCAAGTCACAAAATGAACGAATCCGAATCTGGTGCTTCAACGGAAGTCAATTACTAAACTATCGATAGTAAGACATACTATCGATGCATTGAAATTTTTTCGTTTCTACCATCAATTAATTGCTATCGGACACTAAACAATTGCAATCCATTGATAGTTTGATGCATCTTTACAGCCATACTGTTTTCGGGGTTCACCAAAGTGGTTAGCGTGTTCTGCACAACTTCAACCTTCCTCCTATGTCAAGCTGACTTACTTTGATGTTACTGAAGCACAGAGTTGAACCCAACTCACTCACTCGTGTGTCAAATACTGACTGGCATTATAAAACTCTCTATGGCATGTCTGTTATCAGAACTGCTCTGATGGATGGCTAAGTATTGTGTTGTCAGTCTGTCTCTTGTTTAACCTATAAACAAGATCAAGGTTTTTATTACTGAAAGTGCACATCTGCCTTTAAATTCTCCATTATGAGCTAACCATGCTAATAACATCATTATATCATTTATGTTGGCTTCATGTTTCAAGTTGTGTTGAGTCATGCAAATGAACTTGATTCAAGACTGTAAATAACTTTTGTCAACAGCCAGAGAGCAAACAGGATACAGATGTTTTTAAACATGTTAAATGGGAAGCACATTTCATGTGTTGTGTAAATATAGGGATAATATTGTGTCCTGATTTGTTGGAAACTAAAAATATAAGCCTAACAACTTCATATATGATCTTATATTGTGATTTTAGTATTTATTATTGGGATTTTGAGGGGAAAATATGATTAATTCACTATATTGATAGCAGTCATATCAATCATTACTGTCACATTTATGATGAAAAATGTATCTGTCATATTTTTCCCTCCATAATCCTCCAGTCACACACATTTACAGCTGTTTACATAGATCTAATTGTTTTTAATCACTTGTTATTGTATTTGTATACAATGTTTTGCTAAATCTGGCAACTACGCAGCAGATATATCTGCATTTATGAGCCCTCTAGATTGTCAACATGTTGTTTACCAGTAGTCACATGGAGTTGAAAATACTGTTTGGCAATCTGAATAATCAGCCAATAGCTGGCTAATTGAGAATATATGTCTATAATTATGTTGATATATTTGCTGTGATATAATACATTTTTCTTGATGTTAGGTGTTACTGTTATTGCATGGTCAGTTCATATAAATCATAATGTTCTATTTTCACCAGGGCGGTGGGGTAGCCTGGTGGTTAAAGTGTTGACTCGTCACGCCGAAGACCCGGATTCGAATCCTCACATGGGTACAATGTGTGAAGCCCACTTCTGGTGTCCCCCACCATGATATTGCTGGAATATTGCTAAAAGTGGCGTAAAACCATACTCACTCACTCACTCACTCACTCTATTTTTACCCAGTTTGTGCAACCACCCATTTGTTGGAACAATGTTACATATTGTCTATTACTAGATATAGAATGCAGCATTTTACAAGTACTTGTAATTTCAATGTAAACATCTGTTTTCTGTTGATAGATGTTTAATGGCAGGTGTTCATTGAATTCCATTCCATTTAAATGATACAATGTGACTATATCCTGTATAGAGTGTGTTTTAGACATACCGGCATACATGGCTTGTAT